CTGTTTCCAGATGGCAGGGTTATTGCAGGGCACCAGCAGGTAATGCATTCATATATTCTTGCTGCTTTAATATACCGTGAATCTATTGTGTTCTCTTTTCTGTCTTTTCTCTCAACCATCAAAAAAGTTGTTAGAGCTGCTCTTGTCATTTCTGCTGTCTTCTTTGACTTCTCAGGCTCTGGATTTCCTCCAGGAAAACTCTCGGCGCCTAAAGTTCATGCGGACCAAAACTCTCCCAGTCAGTGGTGCGTTCCATACTGAGCTGATGGCATCGGCTACTGAACCCCTCAGAGAGGTGCTCCGGCAGGTGGAGGTCAGTCAGCCACTTTATCCAAAAGGGATTAACATATTTTCTGAAACATGCATTCAATTACTCTGTAAAGCTACACCAGTCCTCATTTTTTTAAGATAACCCATCCTAGTCAGTCTGACTCGGAAAGTTAAATGGAAAGTACACCCAGGATTTTACATCTGGTCCTTAGCAGGTCTTAAAATTAAGTAAATACAAGCACATATGAGCTGCAAAACAACATATAACACAGTGTCATTTATTTAATTAAAAAATAAGCCTAAATAAGCAACACTGTAAAGAAGATTTGGCCATGTTAGGGACTGATAAAGTCAGGGTCCATGTGTTGTTCATCGGACATTGTATTTAAATCATTTTTGAGCCTCCTAACCACAAGTTCCATGTGCGATTTCCTATTCGTCCCCTTCCCGTCCAGGTACGACGTCCTGAGATCAGCGTCTACTCCAACGTAGATGGAAAACGTTACATGAACGAGAGCCACGTGCGCAGGCAGCTTGTTAAGCAGCTGGTGTCACCCGTGAAATGGGAGCAGACCCTGCACGAGATCTACGAGAGGACGCAAGGACAGCATTTCCCACACACCTACGAGGTCGGACCCGGAAGGCAGCTGGGCGCCACGCTTCAGAAGTGCAACAGGAAGGCATACCAAACGTACGCCCATGTGGAAGTCACCGCATATGAAGACTGATAAAGCTCCTGTGGTTGCTTCTTGTCTTTATACAAGTGTGTAATTAAAGATTTTTGTAATTTCTTTTTTTAATTTACAATGTTGTCACATTTTTGTCATTAAGAAGTTTATTTGGCGTCACATGAAAAGGCAGTTTCAAATCTTGAACAGAAAGTCCAGCTCCCTTCATTGTACACTAAGCAATGCTACATATCATTTGAAAAAATTTTGGCCTCTTAAACCAGTAAGAAACAAATCTGGATACAAAAGACTGCAAGCCAGCAACAGTCCAGTCAACATGTTTTCTGACATGAATCAACATGTCACTGCTACAATAAACTGGCCAACTCCTTAGGCAAGGCTAGATTTCCTTTAAACAATTTACTCCCAACTAATTTTACATTATACTTTTTTTTTTCCTTCTCTTTTGAGAGAAGAGGTTGTCGTCCTCACTTTCAACTTCAATACCGCTCAATAAAAACAGTTATTAAAAAAAAAGGGGAAAGTCAAAGTAAACAGCAAGAGAAAACAGCAGTAATTCTCACTCGATAGCAAACATATTTTGACAAACATGGCTGAGAAGACCTGCTCGTGGCCCTCTTAAGCTTTCTGCTCCGTCCATAGTGCACTGAAAATGGTCACCATGGCCACCAGTGCCACAGTAACAAGTGCTCCTCTGTTCCACCCAGTGCAGGTTACTGGGTTAAAGTTGGATGCCTGTAAAATGAGACATAATGAGAAAAAAGTGGGCTGTTTTGGATAGATGCACCAAATTATATTTAATATAACACGACCACACAACAGTCAACAATGCAACAAAGCAAGACTGCTCAAATCCACCTATTTTGACTATTTTGGCTCTATTATTTTTATTTTGTTATGTTTAAATTGAGTTTCTCCTTGTTTTATGTATAGGTTCTTATCTAAAAATCATATTTATATTGGGGTTCAAATTGAGAAAGTAGTTCACAGATGGGATCCACTTTAAAATCTTTGGTTCTTTATTAAACTGTCTGCCAATTAAACGTTTTTGCAGGTTATGCATCTGTTGACAAATTTTAACTAAATAAATAACTGTCGGTATTTTAATCTGGATAATCCACGTGTGGAAAACTGAGCAAATTATCAGTTAATAACAGGTATAAGTGGGATAATGATGTTAGGGATAAATCTGCTGCAAACTACTTGCTTCACATATTTGGTTTGGCAGATTTTCTTTTTTTAACACTGGATGACTTTGCTGACACAACCTCCAAAGGAATTAAACCAGGAAGCTTTGCTTGTTTGGCACATGTGTAAACCTCTACACTTTGGAGTCATTGGATAAACCCGCTGCTGTAAATGGAAAGATATCTCTTTTCCTTGGAATACAAAGCCTTAATGCAAACACTAAGAGCAATGAACCTTTATGCATACGTATAATGCAGAGATGCGTTAAAGAGAAGAGTTACCCAAGCTGTCAAGGCCTCAACTCTGAGGATCCCCTGCCCAGGTGCAGTGCTCACTAACCAGGTCTTCATTGCAGCAGACAAACCCCGAAAAGTTCCTAACTGATTGTGAATATCCCTATGAGGAAGCAGTGAGAAGTTAGAACCAATCACACAAATGTAATAGTTTGATAAGTGAAATAAAATAAGAGGGAAATTTTTTTTTTTTTTACCTATAGATGGTCCGAGTCAGTGCCTGGGCAGGTCTCAGGAGGTTTAAGGGAGTCGGAAGCTGGTTTGGCATTCTGCTGGCATACTCTCGGTCTAGCTGGTCACCGATTAAAGCCAACTGGCGGCCACAGGCCCGTGCAACCCTGTCACTGATCCTGAGGGAGGAAAAGGCAGGTGTGTTTAGAATCCATCATAAATATGGGGAACTCAATAAAAATCTCTTTTTTATAAAGTTGTTTTTGCCCAAGGCACAAGCTGCCCGAGCTGTGTGTTTGTTTTTGGTATTAATAGTCGAACTGGGGCAAGGGCGGGACTATACAGTACCTCAGGGTGCCAGGGTCCACCTCACTAGGTCCAGCCTGGAGGGCGATGACACGACTTGGGCGTCTTGTTTGTTCCACCATTTTGTTTTCTGAGAACATATATGCAAATTGTTCATATCGTGCAGCAGACTGCTAAGAACATCAACAGGACAGACAATGGCTCCACAGCCTGAAAGTGTCTGTGTGTTATCTTTGCTCAGGCTCCCAACGGTCAATAACAGGCTGTGTAAATACTGGCTCATGTGACCAGGATAGGTGTGGACTGGGTTACTAGGCTGAAAGAAAAAAACAGCTCCAGAGATAACATCATCTCTTGGCTCAAGTCCAACCTTTGTGCTGTACTTTCTTTTTAAACTGCAGCAAAAATGCATTGCAATGCTTTCATGTTTACGACCAACTTACGACAACTCAAGACGTAACACTTTACATTCAATTTGCCTTTTTCACTGAATTTTTTGTTTTTGTCTTAAAGTCCAGCTTAAAACAGGTTTATAATCTCCCAGGTACACCTGTCTTGAGATCAGTTCCTGTTGCACCTGCAATCCTGCCATTTAATGCAAATGCTGAATTTCCATAACTCAAATTAACCAAACTGCCATTTTACTCTCACAGAGAAGGATAGAAAAACACCACCGGGTCAGAAGAATCAGATCACAAGCTTTAAATACTATAAATCTTGACAAATCAAGAACTGGTTTTCCCTGGATTTAATTGCAACGTCTTTATTTTTACAAACCCTTTTTCTTATGGCAAAACATCAGCAAACTGAAGCCTTAAACGTGGAAACATAAACACCACCATTAAAACGACAGGCAGCCATCAGGTAGAAGCCATATTGCCACAACAAAGTGCGGAGTCATTGCTCTCAGCAAACAAAGGTCGTTTTGAAGATCACACATATTGAATTAGATAAACAATAAACAGGTATTAAACCATTTAAAGACTTAAATTAGTGTATTGTATCATGTTTGAGCAGTATAATATTAGATATTAGTCGAGTATGAATATCCCAACCCTGAGAAGTAAACAGGTGCACACTCTCGTTCTCTCTCTCTCACACACACACAAAAGGAAATTAAAAACTACCTTTTTATGTTGATTAAGTGGACGCCGCCCTGAGATAAAAGCAAACAAATTAAAAATAAACATTGTAATGTTAAAAATTGCTGGAAAATACTGAATAAAAGCATCATTTCGAAGTGTTTTCTTCCTCTACTTACAGCAGCGCCCTTTAATCTCGACGCTCTCAGGTAACTGCTGCCGCTAATGACAGGACACACCTTTATCTATCACCGCTGGGGCTTCCGCCGACAGTGAACACCAGGGGGCCACCTGTAAGATGCATTCTGGTAATGTTTGCAGGGTTATTATTAATAACCACAGCTTAAAATTACTCTGCGAGGTGCGCGGTTGGGCTGGGGTAGGCTCCAGGCTGGGTTATTTACAGGTCCAAGAGGGTTTCTGAAGTCCGGAATGGAAACCAAGCTCACAGAGGAGCAACTTCTAGGAAAGAGGACAAGGTGACGTTAGCGAGGTAGGACAGGTGAAGTTCAAGCAAACACGAAGCCTAAACTGCATGACTGCACCAAGCCTGTCGTCCAGGCATCTACCTGGAAATCCACATTCCAGCCATAATCCATTTTCTTTCGTTTTAAAACTAATTAAATTATTTTAATTAGTTATAAATTAATTTAATGCTATTGTTACACTAATTCTATCTACATTTGTGATGTTATTAGTCATACAGTTTCATGTGTTTTCTTTTTTTTTTCGCAACCGTGTAGCAGGTTGCATATTACTAAACCTACACTTTCTCATGCGTTAGAGTAAGAGCATGCCTGTGTTGCCTGTCTGGTGAGCCACAGGCAAACAGGCAAAAGCTGTGTATTATTGGCATAAAGTTAGGTCTGTTATATGCAACTTTATCATCTCTGAAATGGGGTGGTGATGGGTTTGTGGTGATCACGATTCGTAGAAAAAGATTTATAATCTATGAACGGAGCTACTGATTCCACTTTTTGCTGAAAACAAGTAAGCAGCTGATAGCCGAATGAATATCAGCAGTTTTGAAGTCCTGAATTTTTAAATCGGACATGTAATTGAGTCAAACACATCAAAATGGTTGTCTTTTATGCTTATATTCCATATGAGCCATTTAATGACATTACATCCTGCTGGACAAAACTCATCTCACAATCATGTAATAGCTAGCTGCCTAGTAGGTAAGTCAAATACCAATATTACTATAATTTTTAACAGTATTACTATAACTAATGTTGTTACAAAAATATTAGTATTAGCATACCTTTTTGTCATCTTTTTGTACATAAAACCTGAAACGCATTGAACACGTATTTAAAAACGGGTATTGCTAAATGAATATGTGTTAAAGTATATCATCGTTAGGAGAGTATTTATATGTGAATAAACAATTGTTCGTATTTGATTATTACAAATGAAACCTGTGTGAATTTCATGACGCAGATCAACTTCATATGGAATTTGAATTGGGTGTAATCAGTCAATATGCTTTGTATCAAAGCTTCAGGCTGCTGTAGTGTAATGTTGTTGGGGATGTTTTCTTGGCACGCTTTGGGCCCCTAACTGATTATCATTTAAAACCACAACCTACCTGTTTACTTTTGCTGACCATGTCCATCCCTTTATGACCGAAGTGTACCCATCTTCTCATGGTTGCTTCGAGCAGGATAATGCACCATGTCACCAAAACTAATAATAATAATAATCTCAAACTGACCTCCACAGTCACATGATTTCAAGCCCGTAGTGCACCTTTGGGTTATGCAACCGACACATCGTTAGGCAATGATGCTACTATATCAGGAAAGTTTCCAATACCTTACTGAATTTATGTCATAAAGAAGCTCTGAAATTAATAAGTGGCCAACTCTGTACTAGCAAAGTGTACCTAATGAAGTGGCTTTAGGGACATTGTTTTACAATGACCACGATGCGGTGCTTGTCTGTTAACTCGGACCTTATTATCTTGAATGAAGAAACAAACTAATGCTTACTGTTCACGAATACATACAAGGTAGTAAATAACTGATGTTTCATTTTTCTGGAAAGACGCGATGCATTGTTGCCACCCACAGTCCAACACTGACCTCTCCTGGTGCTCTCTTGTAGCACGCCACACAATGACATCACTGCGTCCTCGGTTGCTAGGTAATTCTTCCGGAAGGACCAAGCCCGTAACGACGTCCTTTAGTGGTTTTGAGACCTTTTCTTCTTTAAACGTGTCGCTAATTTTTTTTTAACGTAGTTACTAATCTGTGTACATGAAATTACATTTACATAACAAAGACTTTTATTGTGAAGAGGAGTTTGACTGTGCTGGGCGTTTTCGTCTCTGTCCAGCTTCACGTCGCCGGGATCATTAAAAAGCAGCTTGTTGGCGATAAAAAACAGCTAGCATGGAGGTAGCTTTCAGTCGCCATCGCTGATGGTGTGTTTCGCTGTGAGTTTAGCTCAGGGACAGTTTGTGGGTATTGCATCACTGACCGGATGATGTCCGCCCAGCCTCTGCGGCAGCATCAGCAGCCCGGGGAGGATTCAGCAGCTTGCTAACAGAGCCAGCCCGGCTAGCTGATGCTGATGACTGGCTGTTTCCTGGCATTGACTTTCAGGTAGTTCACTGGTGCAAAATGCTTTAGTTTCTTGTAAAAGAATGCAATTTTTCAAATATATGTCTATGCATTGGTCCTGTCTGTCTGCGGTGCTTTTCTATGTGTTTACCTGTTGTTGTTTTTTTGTACTCCACCCTAGTGGGAGGCACCATGTCCGGTAAGGTTAAGTGGGTGACAGATATTGAGAAATCAGTGCTTATCAACAACTTTGAGAAAAGGGAATGGATTCAAGTTACAGAAAACGACGACTGGAATTTCTACTGGTAGGTTTTATATCTACAGCACACCTGCACCTGTCCAGCTTGGATAAATACATTCAATTGGCACATACACAGGCACATAAGTTCTTCCTGCTTATATGATGCAATTACAAGTAAAGGTCCTGCATTAAAAAATCATACTTATAAAGTATTCATATGATTAATCTTGACCTCAGTAGAGTGTTTAGATTTAAGCAAGGGCGTGCTTTAACTGGTTTACAACAGATATTGTTATGTAGGGTTAGGGTAGGGTTATGTAGGGTTAATAAAAAGTATAGTTATGGTAATCTTACAAATAAAGAGAATAAAATATAAGAAATAGCAGGGGGTCAGTAAGAAAAAAATCAGGAAAGGCTCTTTGATAACTGTCTGCTCCCAGAAGACATTTAAGATGTCAGAGATCGGTTTTCTTCAGGGAGATTGTTCCAAAGGTTGGGATGATTATTTGACATGTAGGCTCATGGGCTACTAAGAAGTCAGACGTATAACCAGACAAGAGGTCATAGTGTCACCCTGGACCTCCTCACCTGCATCAACTATTACCATATAATAAAGTTAATGGTGAGATTTTAAAATCTGCCCTCATATCTCCAAAGAGCCAGTGTAATGAGACTGGTACATGTGTCTCTGAGGTTAAAAGAAGAATCTGAAGGACTGTGAGATGATTAAGAGGATATGTAACTGTTTTTATAAAGCTGTCACAAAGAACTGGTGTAAACCTGATCCTCTGAGTCTTAAAGGGAGGGAAATCTTTATGATGGAAAGGATGACGTTCTTGCTAAGGTCTGAAGGTCTAAAAGTGGAAGAAATGGATCATCTTTATGGGTGCTGAAGAAGATGTTGCCTTCTTATAAATTAGATGGTTACGGACACTTAGGACAGTATATGATTTGTTTAATTAAATAACATGGATCCTCAGCTACACAGTTCTTTTTGTAAGACTGAAAAACTGAAATTTAGGATCTAGGTTGGCAAATCAGATGCATATTTATCGTGAAAATATCAATTAATATATTTATTAGTGTGATACTCATTTTACCAAGTGTATTTTGAGCGGGTTATTTGTACCCACATGCAGGATGAGCATCCAGACCATCAGGAATGTGTTCAGCGTGGACACTGGTTACCGCCTGTCAGATGACCAGATGGTTAACCACTTCCCCAATCATTATGAGCTGACTAGGAAGGACCTGATGATCAAGAACATCAAACGCTATCGCAAGGAGCTGGAGAAAGAAAGCAGTCCGTTAGCGGAGAAAGACGAGAATGGAAAATACATTTATCTGGGTACATGACTTGCTCCTATTTTGCCTCACAAAACTCAAAGAGGCACGCTGTTTTCTTCAATGAAACTGCTTTTTCTCTTTGTGCAGATTTCGTCCCGGTGACGTTCATGCTTCCTGCTGATTATAACCTCTTTGTGGAGGAGTTTCGTAAGAATCCATCCAGCACCTGGATAATGAAGCCCTGCGGGAAGGCCCAGGGGAAAGGCATCTTCCTCATTAACAAGCTGTCCCAGATTAAAAAGTGGTCGAGAGATAGCCGCACCTCAACGTGAGTTATCGTGTGACCAGACAGAAGCAGCAAGAAATATTGTGAGAAATTAGCATATCTCTAAATTTCACATTACAAAAAGCCTCTATATAACTGTTCCCCTCTTGTTTTGTCAGATAGTCTCATCTAAGGAAGCTACAAAAGTTCTTTCTGGATTTGAACACATGCAAAATCTGTTTTATAGACAATTTCTTTCCTGGTAAATCTAAAATTGTTTGGTCACAGGCTGTCGTGTGCTGATGCCTGGCTGTGTCTTTGCCCCAGGTTTGTAGCAGCATCTAGTGGCAAGGAAGCTTATGTCATCTCTCTGTACATTGACAACCCTCTGCTGATAGGGGGGAAGAAGTTTGACCTGCGTCTTTATGTCCTGGTGACCACATATCGACCCCTGAAATGCTACATGTAAGCCTGTGATACTGTTGATGGGTTTTTTGATCATGTCGAAAACATCAGTATATAGGAGATGTTAAGAGGATTTTTTCCTGTTTTGTTAGTGGTTATTCTCAAACGTGCACACAAAAAACTGTTGTTTAATGCTCTCTCTCTCTGGCGTTCGACTTTCAGGTACAAGCTGGGCTTCTGCCGGTTCTGCACAGTGAAGTACACACCCAGCACCAGCGAACTGGACAACATGTTTGTGCACCTCACTAACGTGGCCATCCAAAAACATGGGGTAGGTCTGGTGGGGTTCACAGGAAGTAGTATAAAGCTTTTGTGTTAGTAACAGGGGACTTTCTGTTTCTCCATCTCTTGCTAGATCCTCATTGACTTGTAAATGTTCACATTTTATCCAAATCCACAGTCACGGTTTATAACACAGGGTTTCTGTTTGAAAATGCAATGTTTCAACACTTTCAGGAAATGTCACTACTTGGAAAATTGGTAGCTTGCCCATTGTTGAGAATAGTCTGAATTCTGCACATATAGCACATCTATGCACCTGCCTCACCACATTACAGGCAGTCCCTAACATGGCACAGAGTCAGGCCACTTTTAGCTTTCTGGGAGCTGGAGCTCAAACAGTTACTGCTGTATCACATTCTGTTGGAGGGATTCAGCACAGGCCTCTTTAAACTCAGGAAACTCTTTAAGAAAAAGATGTGCAATTTCTGCAGGACATCTCAGTTTTTCTACAAGATAAGAAATGTTGCTGTAGTAAATGTCAGCACAATTCTTAGAGCCTAAATTGTAAGAAAGTTCTGGTAGCTCACTGCTCATACTATCCTGTAATTATGAAACGAAAAACTTATGTTAATTCACAGAATTTTCTTTTCTTACTGTGGATCTATCATAAAAAACGGGACTTTCTATAGTGAAACAAGAACTTTTCTGTCATTTAATTGTTTATCTCAATTACTTTAGTGTAGAATAAATGACCATAAAAGACCATAAAACTAGGAAAAGCAGTAAAACTCATGAAAATAAAACAACATTTATGCCCTACTTCATATTTTCCAAAGCTGTCCAGTGGGCCGAATTGGAGTTTGTGTGAGCTGGTTCAGGCCCCCGGGCCTTATGTTTGACACCTCTGCTTTAAATAAACTTCCTGTTTACACAGAATAGTTGAAACTGTTCTCTTGCCAAAACTGAGTGAGAAAACCCAATGACATGATCGGATCGAGAATGATTTAACATAACTTTATGAAATAGTCCCTGGTTACAGATATTTGTGACTCTTGTAATGTGGTAATTTGTAACTCAAGTTACCACAATCATCAAGATTAACCTTCACTTTCTGTATTTCTATGTCCAGCCTTTATGTCATAAACAGAGTTAATAGTTGAGTGACCATTAGCACTTGCAGCATAAACAGTGTCAGTTGTACACTTGTCGTAAATACTTTGCTTTGACTGATTCTCCGATTGACCAAGAACCTTGGTTAGTCCGGGTTTGTGACAGCAGCTTCCTGTTGCTGAGCAAGTTCCTGATACTCAAGATAAGAAACATTTTGCATAACTTAACGCAAAAACATAACACCCGTGACTTTTGTGCAGCTCCAGACTTTGCCTGCCCCTAGCCCTCAGTGGCACGGTGGTTGTATTCTGACTTCTAATCCTGCCTCAGAAGGGTGGCTGGATTCTGACTCATAAGAAGAAGGGAAGAGGGAATGAGGCACCTACTAATAGTCTCTGATCTGTTAACATCTTTTACTGTGCTGAATAACTATATATTTATATGTATAACTTCTTATTTATTGAGACACTCACTGAGCATTTTCAAGTCTAAAAAGTGATATGTGCGTATTTTGTAAAATAAATTGATACAATCATGATTAATTTCTACTTAGACTCTTTACCTTTGATGCAGGATGACTACAACCATGTCCATGGAGGGAAGTGGACTGTCAGTAACCTCCGTTTGTACTTAGAGAGCACCAGAGGAAAGGAGGTGACAAACAGGTTGTTTGACCAGATCCACTGGATCGTGGTGCAGTCACTGAAGGCTGTAGCTGTAAGTTGATGTGATGTTAGTTGTTTTTTTTTAACAATATATTAAGAAGGTGTGTTCCTAATCCATATGATGTTTCGCTCATAGGTGACTCTATTAGGTAAACCTTGATAAGGTCAGGTTGGGCCCCCTTTTGCCTTGAGAACTTCCTTAATTCTTTGTGGCATAGATTTGTCAAACTGTTGGAAACAGCTTGACAAATCTTGCTTCATATTGACATTCTAGCAACAAACTGTTCTTGCAGATCAAACCAACAACCATGCCATGTTCAAAGGCACTTGAACTGAGGGATGACTGTGATGACAGCGGCTATATGTGCAGGCGGGGCCGTGCGCGTGTCATCACACGTCATCTGCCTTAAAGGCGTGATTAAAGGTTTCTTCAGCCAGGACACGCGAGGGCGTGATATCCCATACTTATGTGTTGTACCGAGTGAATCGACTGAAAGGGAACTGTTCTTGCAGATCAAACCAACAACCATGCCATGTTCAAAGGCACTTCCTCATGCTAATGCTCAGTTTGGACTTCAGCAGGTCATCTTGACCCTGCGTTAATGCCTAAATGCATTGAGTTGCTGATTTGAGTTAACACAAAAATCCGAACAGCTGGACCTAATAAAATGGCCTGTGAATGTATTGTTACCTACCACCATATATTCTGCAGATCCTTTTTCAGTTTTCAGGCAACACCAGGAAGTTTAATGGTTTTTTTTTTTTCTTATTACAGTTTTCACATGAAGTAACAGTTAATTGTGGAGAGTGCTGCTAAAGTAAACATATTGTCTGTACATTTTTGCCAGTGTATATTATAAGATTATGATGCATATAAATTTAGTTCTTTAATTTCGCTCTGCAGTAACTTTTTGGCAACTTGGAGGGTTACAGTTCTCACGTAGCTTATCATCACCCTTAGATGTGGTTAGCTAACAGTTCCTAATTTAAACATCTGACAGAAGCTGTTTTCAAGCCACAGCGTTCACCCTGTGTAAAAGTTAATGTCTGATTTGTAACTGCTTAAGCTCAAACATTTTGAAACACACTGTTGCAAAGCCACCTGGTTGTGGTGGTGGCTTTTTTGTTTTTAGAACAACTGCACAATCAGCCTAATGCACACTTCCTCTTTCTGCTAAGTGATTGGACTTGCTTCCTGTCTAAAGCCTCCATACCCAGGCCACTTTGTGTGCCTATAGTTATGACTGATTATTTTTTAACATCCTTCATTGATGAATCGCTCTGTGCTGCATCAATAAGTTTCCACATAAAAGAATCACTCTTGAGAAGATCCCTCGTGCTAAATCACTCTCTGCTTTTCTGTCTCACAGCCTGTGATGAACAATGACAAGCACTGTTTCGAGTGTTACGGGTATGACATCATTATTGATGACAAGTTGAAGCCATGGCTTATTGAGGTAAGAAGTTTAAAAAAGGAATTAACAATTTAAAAAAGTGTTTTTCTTTACTTATTTTTCTTTCTTTTCTTTTTTTTTTTTGCCATATTTGAGTCCTTGATTACTTATCGGGGTTGCACAGTAACACCATGTTCCTTTCCTTAGATTGTCGAGTAAATTTGAATGCCCTTGAGGTATGCTTAGATGTGTATTCAAATGTGTGCTGAAGGTCTGCTTTTAACTCATGCAATGCTGCTGACAAGCACTGCTCAAAGGAGAGGGAACTGAGAATTGCCATGCAATACATTCTTTTGTTGTCACGGTATGAGACTTTCATATTTTGACAGCTGTACAATGTGTTGCTAGGTTTTGAGGCTAGGTCTGAGCTATTTCTGTTCACAGACACCATTCTGCTCTATTTTGGGCAAAAACAAGTTGGTTGAAGGGCATAAAGGCTCCTCAGTGAGCAACTTGTGCCACAAACCTACTCAAGACCACGCTCTGTTGTTCATTAATCTTGCAGCTTCCTCTGTTACGCTACGAGGAGCTAAAGTAGGTCTTTGTGTTGCTGCCTTTCACATTGATGATAGAGTAACTGCTCCATCTCGCTCTCTGCACTCATGTAAATCTTCCACAGTGTATCTAATGTTCTAATGTAGCAGCTACACTTCCTGATAAAAGCTTCTCTGTAAAGACAGAAAGAGATTAAAACAATCTGCTCCTACCTGTTTGGATCCCTGGGGTATTATTAAGCACTGCCCATTTGCTGCAAAAGCAGATCCATTTGCGCATGGTGCAACCCCCCCTTTTAAATGTAAATGTGGTTTTCTTTGTGTGATCCTCAGGTCAACGCCTCTCCCTCGTTGACATCCAGCACAGCCAATGACCGCATCCTTAAGTACAACCTCATCAATGACACCCTCAACATCGTAACACCCAATGGGGATATTCCGGACTGCCGCTGGAATCGGAGTCCGCCTAGAGAGGCCCTGGGCAACTATCAAGTCCTGTGAGTGAACACGTCAATCATATTAAGGCCTTAAAGACCAAAATTGTATGAGAACTAATTTTATTTTTAAGCTCCACATTCACAAAGTGTATAGAAATGTGTCAAAGAAAGACAGCAGGGATGTAGACTAATGGCCACTGGGTATGGTTTGTCTGTACAGAATATCTGGCCTTCAAACTACTTTTTGTTCAGGCTATACAGATACAGATATCATCAGTCATGAAAGGATCGTTGCTGTCTTCCTTTGATAGCTCAGCTGGTTGAGCAGAGGACCGTAACATGAATTCAACGTCATATCCTTAGGTAGAGGATTGGGCTGACGTTGTATCCGTGGCATTCTAATAGTCGCTGAAGTACAGTATATGTACATATATATATGTAGAGAGAGAGAGAGAGAGATAAAACTATAGTGTAAATAAATAAATAATTAAGTATAATCTTCTGAACTTGTAATAAAAGACTGACTTTTTTTCTAAGCCACCTGTTTGATAACCAGTGCTTTGTGGATAAAATAGGTCGTCCTAATGAACCTGTGTGTGTGTCTCCCTTTGATAGCTCAGCTGGTAGAGCAGAGGACCATAACATGGATGCAACGTCATATCCTTAGATAGTGGATTGATGGCGTATCCGTGGCTATCCTTAGTCGCTGGTTCAAGTCCAGCTTGAAGGGACATGTTAGTGAAATCCTCTTTTTCTCGGATGACTGATCAGTTCATTTACTGCCTAATAGAGCTCTTTTAACTGCTGCCCTTTTTAGAGAATTGTTTTTTGTCATATATTCGTGTAAAGATTTTGCTCTAGTGGAACTACTCCAGTGGGACACTGTGGACGAGCTCCCTTTGATAGCTCAGCTGGTAGAGCAGAGGACCATAACATGGATGCAGCGTCATATCCTTAGGTAGTGGATTGGACTGACGGTGTATCCGTGGCTATCCTCAGTCGCTGGTTCAAGTCCAGCTTGAAGGGAGATGTTAGTGAAATCCTCTTTTCCATAGAGGAGTGTCCATCTGCATTAGAGCTGGGCGATATATCGAGTTTTTAAAACATATCGATATATTTTTATACGAGATATAAGATGTGACAATATCCTTTATATCGATATAGTCTATGTTACGTTATAATTATAGTTGTGGAGCCGCAAGTTTGCCTCTCTTTCGTCCACTTTTGTCTCTACGCAACGTTACTCCGCCTCGTCCTTCACTGAAGACAACTCCCCCTCCTCCCCCATCGCTTCACGTGCAGGCAGCGACAAGACGGACACGGCAAATCTCCGTTAACGAGTTACTGCGCATCGCCCCATGCGTGGGGCTGGACGGCATCAACGTGTTAATGAGCTAAACATGCTAACGAGCTAACCGCGCTAACCCTAAAATCCTTTCATTCTCTCAAAAGTTGATAGTGCGCCTTATGTATTAATTCTGGTTGTGCTTGATGGCCGCGAACCGATTTTATGTGGTACACGGCGCTCAGCAATCTGTCAAAAATGTTTGAGTACGACTTTGTAAGCTACGGAGCTGCACCGCTTGATCGATTGTCGGCGCATTACGGCTACCGAGGAGCTTCGCGGAGTGATACGTACTGTGCATCAACGTAATATTACCGTATTGTGTGTGTATAAGGACCATAAATGGCACCTGTAAGAGACGTGGTTATGAAGCGGATTTCAAACTCCAGGCTATCAGTCACACAGTAAAACTTGGGAACAGAGCAGCTGTGAAATCTGTCTGTCTTTGTTATTACGCTCAGCGTCTTTTAGTTTACATTTTGACTGCACAATTGTGAGCTCTTTGTTTAGCACAAAAACAACCTTGTTTTCTTTTATTTATGGAGCATTATTATTTAATGAATGCTCATAATTTAATTTTGAGTAATTTTTCATGTACATCTGTGCTGTATGTTAATAAAAGTGCCTGTGTGACATCTGGGACACAGCTTTGACTAAGAACTCTCTTTTTGTTCTTACTTTATGGCTTAAAAAAAAATATCGAGATATATATCTTATATCGCCATCCAGCTAAAAAATATCGAGATATGAATTTTGGGTCATATCGCCCAGCCCTAATCTGCATTGCATTTTACTTTCTTACTTCAGTTTTTAGCTCATAATCTCACTCAAACCAGAGACTTTTAATAGTGTGTGGTGCTCAGTTTAGTAATTAAAGTCAGACCACTTCTAAATATAGGAAAATACCAGTATATGTACATATATATATGTAGAGAGAGAGAGAGATAAAACTATAGTGTAAATAAATAAATAATTAAGTATAATCTTCTGAACTTGTAATAAAAGACTGACTTTTTTTCTAAGCCACCTGTTTGATAACCAGTGCTTTGTGGATAAAATAGGTCGTCCTAATGAACACTGTGTGTGTGTCTCCCTTTGATAGCTCAGCTGGTAGAGCAGAGGACCATAACATGGATGCAACGTCATATCCTTAGGTAGTGGATTGGGCTGACGTCGTATCCGTGGCTATCCTTAGTCGCTGGTTCAAGTCCAGCTTGAAGGGACATGTTAGTGAAATCCTCTTTTTCTCGGATGACTGATCAGTTCATTTACTGCCTAATAGAGCTCTTTTAACTGCTGCCCTTTTTAGAGAATTGTTTTTTGTCATATATTCGTGTAAAGATTTTGCTCTAGTGGAACTACTCCAGTGGGACACTGTGGACGAGCTCCCTTTGATAGCTCAGCTGGTAGAGCAGAGGACCATAACATGGATGCAGCGTCATATCCTTAGGTAGTAGATTGGGCTGACGGTGTATCCGTGGCTATCCTCAGTCGCTGGTTCAAGTCCAGCTTGAAGGGAGATGTTAGTGAAATCCTCTTTTCCATAGAGGAGTGTCCATCTGCATTGCATTTTACTTTCTTACTTAGTTTTTAGCTCAAATCTGACTCAAACCAGAGACTTTTAATAGTGTGTGGTGCTCAGTTTAGTAATTAAAGTCAGACCACTTCTAAATATAGGAAAATACCAGTATATGTACATATATATATGTAGAGAGAGAGAGAGATAAAACTATAGTGTAAATAAATAAATAATTAAGTATAATCTTCTGAACTTGTAATAAAAGACTGACTTTTTTTCTAAGCCACCTGTTTGATAACCAGTGCTTTGTGGATAAAATAGGTCGTCCTAATGAACACTGTGTGTGTGTCTCCCTTTGATAGCTCAGCTGGTAGAGCAGAGGACCATAACATGGATGCAACGTCATATCCTTAGGTAGTGGATTGGGCTGACGTCGTATCCGTGGCTATCCTTAGTCGCTGGTTCAAGTCCAGCTTGAAGGGACATGTTAGTGAAATCCTCTTTTTCTCGGATGACTGATCAGTTCATTTACTGCCTAATAGAGCTCTTTTAACTGCTGCCCTTTTTAGAGAATTGTTTTTTGTCATATATTCGTGTAAAGATTTTGCTCTAGTGGAACTACTCCAGTGGGGCACTGTGGACGAGCTCCCTTTGATAGCTCAGCTGGTAGAGCAGAGGACCATAACATGGATGCAACGTCATATCCTTAGGTAGGATTGGGCTGACGGTGTATCCGTGGCTATCCTCAGTCGCTGGTTCAAGTCCAGCTTGAAGGGAGATGTTAGTGAAATCCTCTTTTCCATCGAGGAGTGTCCATCTGCATTGCATTTTACTTTCTTACTTAGTTTTAGCTCAAATCTGACTCAAACCAGAGACTTTTAATAGTGTGTGGTGCTCAGTTTAGTAATTAAAGTCAGACCACTTCTAAATATAGGAAAATACCAGTATATGTACATATATATATGTAGAGAGAGAGAGAGATAAAACTATAGTGTAAATAAATAAATAATTAAGTATAATCTTCTGAACTTGTAATAAAAGACTGACTTTTTTTCTAAGCCACCTGTTTGATAACCAGTGCTTTGTGGATAAAATAGGTCGTCCTAATGAACGCTGTGTGTGTGTCTCCCTTTGATAGCTCAGCTGGTAGAGCAGAGGACCATAACATGGATGCAACGTCATATCCTTAGATAGTGGATTGATGGCGTATCCGTGGCTATCCTTAGTCGCTGGTTCAAGTCCAGCTTGAAGGGAGATGTTAGTGAAATCCTCTTTTCCATAGAGGAGTGTCCATCTGCATTGCATTTTACTTTCTTACTTAGTTTTTAGCTCAAATCTGACTCAAACCAGAGACTTTTAATAGTGTGTGGTGCTCAGTTTAGTAATTAAAGTCAGACCACTTCTAAATATAGGAAAATACCAGTATATGTACATATATATATGTAGAGAGAGAGAGAGATAAAACTATAGTGTAAATAAATAAATAATTAAGTATAATCTTCTGAACTTGTAATAAAAGACTGACTTTTTTTCTAAGCCACCTGTTTGATAACCAGTGCTTTGTGGATAAAATAGGTCGTCCTAATGAACGCTGTGTGTGTGTCTCCCTTTGATAGCTCAGCTGGTAGAGCAGAGGACCATAACATGGATGCAACGTCATATCCTTAGTAGTGGATTGAGGCTGACGTCGTATCCGTGGCTATCCTTAGTCGCTGGTTCAAGTCCAGCTTGAAGGGACATGTTAGTGAAATCCTCTTTTTCTCGGATGACTGATCAGTTCATTTACTGCCTAATAGAGCTCTTTTAACTGCTGCCCTTTTTAGAGAATTGTTTTTTGTCATATATTCGTGTAAAGATTTTGCTCTAGTGGAACTACTCCAGTGGGACACTGTGGATCGAGCTCCCTTTGATAGCTCAGCTGGTAGAGCAGAGGACCATAACATGGATGCAACGTCATATCCTTAGGTAGTAGGATTGGGCTGACGGTGTATCCGTGGCTATCCTCAGTCGCTGGTTCAAGTCCAGCTTGAAGGGAGATGTTAGTGAAATCCTCTTTTCCATCAGAGGAGTGTCCATCTGCATTGCATTTTACTTTCTTACTTAGTTTTGTAGCTCAAATCTGACTCAAACCAGAGACTTTTAATAGTGTGTGGTGCTCAGTTTAGTAATTAAAGTCAGACCACTTCTAAATATAGGAAAATACCAGTATATGTACATATATATATGTAGAGAGAGAGAGAGATAAAACTATAGTGTAAATAAATAAATAATTAAGTATAATCTTCTGAACTTGTAATAAAAGACTGACTTTTTTTCTAAGCCACCTGTTTGATAACCAGTGCTTTGTGGATAAAATAGGTCGTCCTAATGAACGCTGTGTGTGTGTCTCCCTTTGATAGCTCAGCTGGTAGAGCAGAGGACCATAACATGGATGCAACGTCATATCCTTAGATAGTGGATTGCTGACGTCGTATCCGTGGCTATCCTTAGTCGCTGGTTCAAGTCCAGCTTGAAGGGACATGTTAGTGAAATCCTCTTTTTCTCGGATGACTGATCAGTTCATTTACTGCCTAATAGAGCTCTTTTAACTGCTGCCCTTTTTTAGAGAATTGTTTTTTGTCTATATTCGTGTAAAGATTTTGCTCTAGTGGAACTACTCCAGTGGGACACTGTGGATCGAGCTCCCTTTGATAGCTCAGCTGGTAGAGCAGAGGACCATAACATGGATGCAGACGTCATATCCTTAGGTAGTGATTGGGCTGACGGTGTATCCGTGGCTATCCTCAGTCGCTGGTTCAAGTCCAGCTTGAAGGGAGATGTTAGTGAAATCCTCTTTTCCATCGAGGAGTGTCCATCTGCATTGCATTTTACTTTCTTACTTAGTTTTTAGCTCAAATCTGACTCAAACCAGAGACTTTTAATAGTGTGTGGTGCTCAGTTTAGTAATTAAAGTCAGACCACTTCTAAATATAGGAAAATACCAGTATATGTACATATATATATGTAGAGAGAGAGAGAGAGATAAAACTATAGTGTAAATAAATAAATAATTAAGTATAATCTTCTGAACTTGTAATAAAAGACTGACTTTTTTTCTAAGCCACCTGTTTGATAACCAGTGCTTTGTGGATAAAATAGGTCGTCCTAATGAACTCTGTGTGTGTGTCTCCCTTTGATAGCTCAGCTGGTAGAGCAGAGGACCATAACATGGATGCAACGTCATATCCTTAGGTAGTGGATTGGTGACGTCGTATCCGTGGCTATCCTTAGTCGCTGGTTCAAGTCCAGCTTGAAGGGACATGTTAGTGAAATCCTCTTTTTCTCGGATGACTGATCAGTTCATTTACTGCCTAATAGAGCTCTTTTAACTGCTGCCCTTTTTAGAGAATTGTTTTTTGTCATATATTCGTGTAAAGATTTTGCTCTAGTGGAACTACTCCAGTGGGACACTGTGGACGAGCTCCCTTTGATAGCTCAGCTGGTAGAGCAGAGGACCATAACATGGATGCAGCGTCATATCCTTAGGTAGGATTGGGCTGACGGTGTATCCGTGGCTATCCTCAGTCGCTGGTTCAAGTCCAGCTTGAAGGGAGATGTTAGTGAAATCCTCTTTTCCATCGAGGAGTGTCCATCTGCATTGCATTTTACTTTCTTACTTAGTTTTTAGCTCAAATCTGACTCAAACCAGAGACTTTTAATAGTGTGTGGTGCTCAGTTTAGTAATTAAAGTCAGACCACTTCTAAATATAGGAAAATACCAGTATATGTACATATATATATGTAGAGAGAGAGAGAGATAAAACTATAGTGTAAATAAATAAATAATTAAGTATAATCTTCTGAACTTGTAATAAAAGACTGACTTTTTTTCTAAGCCACCTGTTTGATAACCAGTGCTTTGTGGATAAAATAGGTCGTCCTAATGAACGCTGTGTGTGTGTCTCCCTTTGATAGCTCAGCTGGTAGAGCAGAGGACCATAACATGGATGCAACGTCATATCCTTAGGTAGTGGATTGGGCTGACGTCGTATCCGTGGCTATCCTTAGTCGCTGGTTCAAGTCCAGCTTGAAGGGACATGTTAGTGAAATCCTCTTTTTCTCGGATGACTGATCAGTTCATTTACTGCCTAATAGAGCTCTTTTAACTGCTGCCCTTTTTAGAGAATTGTTTTTTGTCATATATTCGTGTAAAGATTTTGCTCTAGTGGAACTACTCCAGTGGGACACTGTGGACGAGCTCCCTTTGATAGCTCAGCTGGTAGAGCAGAGGACCATAACATGGATGCAACGTCATATCCTTAGGTAGGGGATTGGGCTGACGGTGTATCCGTGGCTATCCTCAGTCGCTGGTTCAAGTCCAGCTTGAAGGGAGATGTTAGTGAAATCCTCTTTTCCATAGAGGAGTGTCCATCTGCATTGCATTTTACTTTCTTACTTAGTTTTTAGCTCAAATCTGACTCAAACCAGAGACTTTTAATAGTGTGTGGTGCTCAGTTTAGTAATTAAAGTCAGACCACTTCTAAATATAGGAAAATACCAGTATATGTACATATATATATGTAGAGAGAGAGAGAGATAAAACTATAGTGTAAATAAATAAATAATTAAGTATAATCTTCTGAACTTGTAATAAAAGACTGACTTTTTTTCTAAGCCACCTGTTTGATAACCAGTGCTTTGTGGATAAAATAGGTCGTCCTAATGAACACTGTGTGTGTGTCTCCCTTTGATAGCTCAGCTGGTAGAGCAGAGGACCATAACATGGATGCAACGTCATATCCTTAGATAGTGGATTGATGGCGTATCCGTGGCTATCCTTAGTCGCTGGTTCAAGTCCAGCTTGAAGGGACATGTTAGTGAAATCCTCTTTTTCTCGGATGACTGATCAGTTCATTTACTGCCTAATAGAGCTCTTTTAACTGCTGCCCTTTTTAGAGAATTGTTTTTTGTCATATATTCGTGTAAAGATTTTGCTCTAGTGGAACTACTCCAGTGGGACACTGTGGACGAGCTCCCTTTGATAGCTCAGCTGGTAGAGCAGAGGACCATAACATGGATGCAACGTCATATCCTTAGGTAGGGGATTGGGCTGACGGTGTATCCGTGGCTATCCTCAGTCGCTGGTTCAAGTCCAGCTTGAAGGGAGATGTTAGTGAAATCCTCTTTTCCATAGAGGAGTGTCCATCTGCATTGCATTTTACTTTCTTACTTAGTTTTTAGCTCAAATCTGACTCAAACCAGAGACTTTTAATAGTGTGTGGTGCTCAGTTTAGTAATTAAAGTCAGACCACTTCTAAATATAGGAAAATACCAGTATATGTACATATATATATGTAGAGAGAGAGAGAGAGAGAGAGATAAAACTATAGTGTAAATAAATAAATAATTAAGTATAATCTTCTGAACTTGTAATAAAAGACTGACTTTTTTTCTAAGCCACCTGTTTGATAACCAGTGCTTTGTGGATAAAATAGGTCGTCCTAATGAACGCTGTGTGCGTATCTTCCTTCAATAGCTCAGTTGGTAGACCAGAGGACCATAACATGTTTACTAAGTCATAATCTTAGGTAGTAGACTATGCTGGCGTTGTATCATTAGTTGCTGGTTCAACTCCAAGGAAAATGTTAGCAAAGCCGTGAAATTTTCTTTTCAGTTCCACTACTGTGATTTTTAACTACTGAACTTTTTGCTGAATCGTGCTTATCATATAATCATGTTAAGATGTTGCTGTAGTGCGACTACTTCAGTGGGGCATTGCACAGGGTTTGCCTTCGTTAGCTCAGTTGGTATTATGCAGGACTGTAGTGGGTTACTTGTAAATTTTTACACAACTGGTTAAAGTCTTGCTTGAAGGAACCCTTTTTGTTATTATTAACTAGTCAAGACACTGTTTACTGCAGTAAGCCTATACTACTACTCCTGACACACCACAACATCAAGCCCACTCAAAATAATTTCTTCCCATGAATTCCTGTGAACCAGTGGAAAATACCAGCTTTATGTCTGTACATGTCTGAATTTCTTCCATTTTTTTCATTACAAATTTCACAAGAACATTTTAGAAGTGGAGGTTTACTCTGTATAAGGTCTTTTATTTTGAAAACTGAGCAGCTTCTTTATTCTGTTCCTGCGTCTGACTTTCTGCCCTCTTCTTCTGCTCTGCAGTTATCTGCAAAAAAAAAAACCAAAAAACAAAAAAAACAGTACCAGTGTCTGGGATTGTCAAACATAATAAGACCAAATAAACCAAACTTAAGAAGGTTATTATGCCAGTTTTCAACCTATGGATTTTATCTAAACACTCACTACAATCCTCTGCTCTTCCAGCTGAGCTGTCAGAGTGATGCTGCATAGAGTTTCAAATACAGCTGTTGTGCACAATACGGGGGTGTTGTTTCAGGAAATCCCTTTGCTTACACATTCACTGAACATCCACTGTTTCTGTGTCATCAGGTATGACGAAGAGCAGGCGCAGAGCGAGAATGCTGAGCGTGACCTGCGGAGCCGTTCCGGTCAGTCACTTGGGTCAAAGGGCACTAAGGGGAGTGCAGGCGTTCGCCCCACTGCCGCCACCTGGAAGTGAAGCGATAATTTTTCTCTAAAATTGACTTCCTGTACAACACTCCAGGGACCTTCTGTGGTGAACCACTTGGACTTCTTTTTTTAGCACATTGGACAGATGCTCCCTCCGTCCAGATTTCACTGACTGTGGCACAGGGAGCAATGGCACTGCTGCTCAGTGGAGGAAAATCAGCTATATGCTCACATTGAGAAGGTTGAAAAGCTTGTGTTTGTCACTGTTTATATGAATGTAAAACAAAATAAGTGGAACTGACAGTGCTCTGACAGGTTTAAGGTCAAATCAAGTAGGTCAAATATCACATACAGCAGCGGTTTCCACACTTAAGACAAGTGCTGATGAAATCTTCGGAGATGGACATGAAGGATTACTATGCATGACATTGGATTGCTGACACTTTAACTTGACCTTCCACACCGGTGCTAATGAGAACATACACTGTATGGTAATGAAGTGGTATAAAGTTATCAAATAGAAGTGATTTAAAGATTTAATTTATTAAAAGGCAGTCGATAGGCAGAATTAGCAGTACTAAATGTTAACAGACTTTATTCATTTTTTGTACGTTCATTATCAGTATGTTTTGCGGGGTTTTGATGATTGTATTCCTCTTGCACTTTATTTCTTTACATGTGCTTTAAAAAGTATGTCTCATTTCGAGTCTGACCCGTTGTCACATCTGCTGAAAATTTAAATGCTAATTATATGTGTTGGGATGTTTTCTTATTGCCTGCTCATTTCCTTCAACTACTAAAAAACTGAAACACTGATAACTGGATTTGGGGCTAAATGATATTGGCGACAAGCTGAGAAATAAATCTTGGTCTTTTAAAATAAAGTTACAAAACTCCCTCTTACCTTACTGATTCTGTTTTGGGCTGCTGCTAACATTTTTTCTGTAATTTTTTACTTTTTCCATGAATTCACTAATGACTTTGCCTGTGAAATGATATAAGATGTATTAAAATGAATTACAGAAGGTGTAACTTGAAAAGGTTTTCAAAAGTTCTGCATTTATTACTACTTCCACTTCTAATTCAAGTCAACAATCAGGAGTATTATCCATGATCATTTTCTCCAAAAAGCAACGAAAAGACAGTGAAAGGGTTTAGATAATAGTGTCTGCCATCAAATTGTGATTAAACAAGGTTGAAACAGTATGATTCAGCTCTGTCCTGACACAGTGTCCTTTGTGCTGTTTTCTGTGTAATTAAATGCTGCTTTTCTTTAGTTGCATTATTTGTGCGGAGTCATGATTTGAAATAACAAGCTGTGTAAAAAAGTACACCTTTCTTTACTTTACTAAATTCATTCTGTTTAAATAAAAAGCTGTCAGGTTACTGTTAGGGGGAGGGTTGTAGTCTTTGTTGAAAATAAATGTGTAATCTAGAGAATAATCAGAGGTCAAGCCTTCAAAAAGCCTAAGACCTATATGTTCTTGCTGTTGCCACAGCAGCAAAGTCAGGTCTCTGCATGGTACTGTTTTTTGGTTATCAGCAGGTTGTCAAGTGGTGTAAGCTGTACATGCTGTGGCCTGTGATTTCTGACTGAAGTCCCCAAAGTAAACACTCTGTTTTTACGAACCAAATTTAAATTTAGAAACCAAATTTACTGGAAGGTTAGGTTCCCACGGCTGCTTGTCTTTAACCCCTTTACAAACTTTTGTGAACAATACATGAACAGAAACTCCTTTAAATGTTTTTTGCTTTTATATTTCAATAAAATATCGTGCTGTTGATGCGCTGATAAACAGTTATGGTTGCAATTTGTCAATTTGTGTGTATTGACCCTTCAACAATAAGAGCAGTCAGTTTATTTGCATGTCATATGTCATCTGCTGGTGTGAAAGAAATCTATTGTTCATTGGAAAGTGACCATTGAACATCTCTGTTAATCATATCTTAGCTCAAGTTACAGAATTAGTCAATGGGCTTTACATGTGTTATTTTGGTGGAAGCACAAGGCGGTTATAACTTCCTATTTCTGAAAAGCCATCTGTGGTTGTTTATTTTTTTTAATCATCTTTCATTGATAATATTTTCTCACGGATTCATTATCTGAATAAATATTTGTAAGAGGATGAAAAAAACATGCCTCCTCCGATTCCACAGTGTACTTTCTGATTTTCAGAGGAGAATTTGTGTCATTCTGTTGCTGATTCGTTTTAATTAAAAACAAAACAAAACATGGATATCGTCAGCAGCGATACATAGGAACAGAGGCCAGCAGCACCCAGTTCTCATATCTGGTGAGATTTAATTAGAGCCCCCCCCCCCCCAAAATTACCCCAAACAGCAGTAGATGTGCTATGTTGTTGGCTCGTTGTACCTCCGTATCTATTGTTTTCAGATGACATGGTCTGGAGCGCCACAGACCTCACAGTGGGAACTACTAAATTTTCGTAAATAGTAATCTAAAAAAGTTTTCTGGTGAATGTGACGTCAGAATGCGCGTCTCGCTCGTTTGCATAAGAAAATCTATCTTGACTAGTCCAGCATCGGAAGTCATGTGATTTCAAAATAAAGTGTGTGACACCGAGACTATCGAGAAACAAATGCACCACTTAGGTTGCCTAAACAGAATTCATCTCTGCTAAACATTTTTTTCCCAGATTAGTTTCTTCAGATTACAAGTGCAATATTATAATGAGGCCACAAGTAATTTTTTTCTGGTTTAAAATAAGCCTTTGAGGGTTGACTCGCCCTATTGGTCCACATATAGTTAAGGCCAAGTGTCTTTTCTTTTTTTTCTTTTTGCCATTTCATTAATTAAAATGTATTTTAAACCTGTATAAAAATATTTTTGGAGTAAATCATTTAAAAAATATATACATAAATGAAAAATCCTCCATATACATATATGAGGGAAAGAGAGAGAGAGAGAGAGAGAGAGAGAGAGGGAGAAACATAGAATACATTACCACCATGACCATGATTTACTTGCAGTGTGTCTCTTTAATCTGAAGACATACTTTATATGAAGATTTTGGAAGTGGCTGATCATTGGAACTGTGGCTGGATGACAGTCTCTTGTATAATTTTATGTAAATACCATGATAGTGTGCTGTTTAAATCTAATATTTATTATTATTTATTTGTATTGTTGTGGTGTGTTTTATGGTATAGCACCTTTGTTTTGAATATGCTATAACCACAAAATTTGTTTACATACTTATTTTATTTGCCAAAAAAACACTTGTTTTTGTTAAAAGTTGCAAACATATGAGCACAAATATTTTCAAGCGAAAGCTGTAAATTCAAACATTATTTATGGAAAACAAAAAAAGGAGTTTTTTGTTATGCATTTCATTATTTTATTGTTTTAAAGATCTCACATGAGCTGTTTGCTCAATAAAGTGTGTAATTTAATTCAAGCAGTCTCCTTCAGCTCTATGATCTCTGTGAAACTCTGCTTGGCGTTATATATACGTCATCGCCGGTCCTCGCAGTCTTATTGTGAAAATCTTGACCGGATGTGCAGGGTCGTCTGCTTATAACTGACACGGCTATTTCAGTCAGTTGATCCATGGTGCCGCTGCTGAGCAGAAAAACGGCGAAAAGATTTGTAAATTGGTACCACTGGGACCAGTAACGCTTCATTAGATCATAAATCCTCAATAGGACCAGTTTAAGGTAAGTTTACATAGATACTTTTATGTTGTGCTCTATTACTAACTTACATTTACTAACTGAAGGGGCTGTGGCTTATTCGCTAATGTTGGAGCTAACTGAGGGCTAACTTTATTAATTCGCACTTGAAGGAAGTTGGCTTTACAAACACGAGAACCGGTATTTAGTCGTGGGAAAGGTCAGATAATGGTAGCGCTAAAGTGGTTTCAGGTGTGTCATGGACTGTAAAAGTGAAGTTGAACTAGTTCACCACTGACTATTATCACGGTTGCAGTAACTTGGATATTCCGGGGACCTGTAGTAAGACTTAAGCCAGCACAGTTAAGTGGTAATGTACTAAATGTCACCGTGATTTATGTGGGATTTGATGTTATTGTTATAAAGCAGAGTCGGTCAGCTGCTTTAAGCTGTTTCACCTCAACTGTTCTCACGTTTTTGTAATTCGAGTTTGGAGCTGAAGTGGTAAAGGGCGGGGCAGGTTTCGCAAGTAAAGATAACCTCCTAGCTTGCACGCTGTGCTCGCAGCATTACATAATTTTAACATTTTCCGTGGAAACTAATAGATTGGTATGTTTGTCTGAGCTCTGACACATGCCCTCTTGATCTGCTCTGCTCAGTTTGCTGCAGTGTCATCTGGCTGCCAAGTTCTGCCCTCCTCCACTCCTGTGCTGCACATATCCCGACAGTCTGTGTCTATATTGCTCAGAGCTTTGGGGACGGACTATAACAAAACACCTAATGGTCATGACATTTGCCATGAATGAGTGGAAGTTATCAGTCATCATGTAGCAGGAGAATTTAGAGATGGATACTAAGGCGGAGATTTGAGGTCCTTGTGTTTTGTATGTGTAGTTTTGTTGTCAGGGTAAAGCAGTAGTGAAAATGCACCTGGTTCCTTTTTTTATGAGGGGGGGGGAAGACATCCAAAATGATTGGACCTTCACATAACCAAGCTAAACTTAGAATGGGTGTTCCACTTCAGGCTGAGGACACTTCACTGCATTTTGAGGTACTGTTGTTGGTGTATTCCCACGAAGAAGTTAAATGACTATGGGCCTGCAACACTTGATGAGACTCTTTACTAGAACTAGAATAAATAAATAATATGCTACTGAGTTCATCTCATAACCAAACTCCCCCGTGTTTTCACAGTCTCTTACTCTTGTGCTCCTCGACATCATGATGGGTGTTTTGTGCAGCTGTTTTTCCTCTAAATAAGAAGTTTTGGTGGCCACCAAATATATTTGGGCTTTCCAGGGTTGGTTAAAGAAAAGTAACTTTATTTTTTCTCTAAGTAGCATTTGCATTTACTTGGGCATAAAATCTGTGCCCAAGAGGACTTTTACATTGGTGTTTTTTGACTGAAGGCTTTCTTTTGGTCCTCTTGACTCAAGCAGTGAATGTAAATATTGTGTTCGTAACTGGTAGATAATTGAGTTTTAAATTGAATTAATCGCCCAGACCTAATTCAGTTCAACATAATCCTTATTTATTTTAGATTAGGACTTCTTATTACAGTTTAAAAAAAGAGTTCTTTCTGTCTCCCTTTATACCAGCCTTCTTCTCTTTAGCTTCCCCTTGGAAACGGAAGATTTGGGGCTTCTATGAACACCTGGATGGTGCCTGAAATTACCGTATTAGTGCTATCCAACCCACTGCATGAGCATTTGCCATTATAACAGTTAGGGGTGTGCGATATGACCAAAATCTCATATCCCGATATAAGAATTCTATCGTCCCGATAACGATATAAATCACAAAAATGTAACACTTTCTGTAAATTCTGTGAATCTCGGGCAGCTCGACTTACGGAAGTGTTTCCAGCTGCGCGTCATGTAGCTGGAATCAAGTGTTTTAACAGATGCATGAAACTATAAATTTTTAGACATAAGTTGTAACAGCTGCCGTTTTTTGTTTGTTTTTGTTATTTTTTTTTTTTTTGGAGTATTTATTACACAGCGTGCTGCGGGGAAAAGCCTCTAAGGTTTGAGTCTAAGGTTTTGTTGTTTTTTTTTTTAACTTCTCATCCGTAAATAATCTGCTCTTTCATGTGATTCAGTTTATTTTGAAAAGTCTCAACAGGATCTTGAGCTTTATTGTGAAAGGTTTATGTGGAACATAAACAAGCGGACACGTGATGGTGTTACCTTCGTTGTTGCTAACCACAACGCATAAAAACAGACGCTTGTCCATCCATAGTGTGGTTATATAAAATATAAGAGAAAGAGAGAAGTTTAAGAAATTAATATAGCCACTAGAATGACCATCAAAACGATGAGAAAATATTGCCATAAACAGTTTATTTTCCGACACCATGAAACAAACGTAAAATGAAATGATAGCTGTTTTTATATTGTCATCCGATATATATTGTTATATCAACAACACTAATAACAGTATGTAAAGTACAAAAAATAAGTATTGCTTCTTTTATGCCAATCCACTTATAAACAAAAATAAGGATAAGAAATTGATCTGTAACAGTTGGTAGATTACTTGTTTGCGGTTCTTTGCTGTAGGGCTGCCACGATTAGTCGACTAGTCACGATTACGTCGACTATCAAAATCGTCGACGACTGATTTAATAGTCGACGCGTCATTTGAAGCTTTGTAAGATCACAAAAGACGCAGGAGTAAGTAGTAGGATTTAAGAGTGTAATAACGGACTGAAACAGAAGATGGCAGCACTGCATGTACAAGGATGCCAGCTGCCGTTAAACCCCGAAGAAGAAGAAGCGGTGTCCCAGAATTCATAGCGCAGCCCAGCTCAGTTTCCAACAATGGCGGCAGCTAGTTAGTTTTAATATTACTCTTATTATTCTTTCTGGGTCACAAAATAAACGTTTAACGTATATTTAGCGAGAATGTAGCTGTGTAAACCTCAAATATCTGCTCAGTTTACCAAGACACCACATTTTCAAAAGCGCTCCGACGTTTTCTGAGACGTCTGTTACCCACTAGCTCGATAGCTAGCCGGGGGCAAGGCTCACTAGAGCCTGTGAGAACACCGGACTCCCGGCAAATCGTTTTCAAACCCACTGCCGTCTGTCGCTACTCAGGTTAAACATATATAAGTCACTTAGATAACTTAAAAATGTTATTGTTTGGCTTTTTTTAGTATTTTATTTGTTCCTGAGTAAATCGGTTTGGCTGAGAAATCAAGTTATAGTTTTTACAAAGCGGAATAAATGTCAAGCAGAAAACTGATTATCAAAAGTGTGAGATGCTGGAGAATATACTCCGGTGTCCTGTTATATTTTAGATAGCAAGGAGTTTATTAAACTTCACCGAAACAATCTGTAAATTTCATTAAAATTTGTTAAACTATAATCTTGTCTTTATTTTTAGTTAGCACATACCTTACACACTTAAAGCTGTAAGCTAATGATAGTTCTATAAGAGCAGATGAATGCTTGTGCAGTAAGCTGTACGTTTTGCGTCCAATGGATGATGATCTGATTAGTCGACTAATTGCAAAAATAATCGGTTACTAGTCGACTATCAAAATAATTGTTTGTGGCAGCCCTACTTTGCTGAAGACTTTGCATACTGCTCATAATGCAAGACTGGGGCTTCCACAGGAAAACATGCCTGGTGGTGATGTAACAATCTCCTCTTTCCCTTTCATGTAATACTGGATTTCCCTCCATTATGTTTCTCTCCATGCTGCTGGCATACCGAGTGGAAAGTGCCTGAAATTGTGGAACAAATGCCATTGTTTATCCTTGTCCACTGAGCAACAGGGGGACTGATCAGTGATGTCGAGGCTACAGTTAACTGGGTGTTGACGGACCAGCGGTTTCATTGTGTAGAGATCTGAGGCTTCTTAACTATAGTTAAGTTCTACCAGTGATGTCTGTAAGGGCCACAGATGCTGTTCTGGAAAGGCATATTCCTTTAAGAGCAGCTGTTGAGCTCATGTGAGGAAAGGAGGGCAGAGTTGACTGAGAGTGATAGATATTAAAGGTCATGGCCTGTGATTTTATTTATTTTTATTTTTTGGTGGATACTACTACTACTCCTGAGTGCACAAGTTTTTTTTTTTCTTCTTTTTTTTTTACCCTCCTTCTTTAGCACAGTTGGTATTAAACAATGTCCTGCAGTGAAAGTGCAATATTGAAGGGATAGATCAGCTCAGCTGCACTCTCCACCACAGAGATTGCAGCTGCTTTGTACTACAATAAAGTAAAATGGAAACATGCAAAACCAAAAAAAAAATCACCCTTGCTCTGGTAAGTAACTTCCATGTGATTAGCTTTCAGCACATATTTCATTTTTTGCATTGTTTTGTGTATGTCATGTATGAAAATGGTTGAAGTTGCTCAAACATTTAGTCTACCCTCCACATAAAAAAGTATCATAGCTTCACAACTAATCAATTTCCTGGTTCTTTTACCTCTTATGGTTTGCAGTAAGGCTGCCACAAACGATTATTTTGATAGTCGACTAGTCACCGATTATTTTTTTTATCTAAGTCACTGACATATCATGTTTAACCTGAGTAGCGAAAGTCCGCGGGGGGTTTGAAAACGATTTGCCTAGAGTCCGGTGTTCTCGCTGGCTCGAGTGACCACTTAAACCCCCCAGCTAGCTAGCCAGCTGGTGGGTAAGAGATGTCTCCGAAAACGTCAGAGCACTTTTGCAAATATGTGATGTCTTGATAAACCGATCAGATATTTGCACAGCTACATTCTCGCCTGAAAACATCTTAAAAGTTTATTTTGTGACCCAGAAAAAGTAATATTAGAACTAAGTAGCTGCCGCCATTGTTGGAAACTGGAATTGGCTGGGCCGCGCTATGAATCCTGGGATGGTTTGGGGGTTGAGCTACGCTGAGGAAATGAAGAACGCATTTGTCGATCGCAGTTGGAGGAGTCTTCGAATTTGGAAAGCCTTCGTCACGCTGCTGTAACGTAATCGGCCTCCAAAGGATGCGGCCTGAATTTGGACACAGCTACGATAACGGAGTTGCTTCTTCTCTTCAGGGTTTAATGGCAGCTGGCATCCTTGTACATGCAGTGCTGCCATCTTCTGTTTCAGTCCGTTATTACACTCTTAAATCCTACTACTTATTCCTGCGTCTTTTGGATCTTACAAGGCTTTAAACGACGCTTCGACTATTACACTTGTTGTCGACAATTTTGATAGTCAACGTAATCGTGATTAGTCGACTAATCGTGGCAGCCCAGTTTGCAGGCAGTTAAATATCTATCAATCCTTGAGTCATTAGTGGCCCATTCAAAAATTCTTGCAAATCTTATCTGAGGAAAAAATATAGCAAATGTGGATGTGCCTTTTCATTTAATTTTATAAGTTGTGGGTTCTTGCTTATACTGGCAGATATCCAGACTAACATGTATTTGTCAGGCAACAAAAACTGACACAGAAGTCATCAGCATACCTCCAATTACTGAATGCATTTAGATGGCGGCAGAATGAGATTGTGTCACATGAATGGAGCAATATCTGTGTTTCACTATTAAATGTTGTTTTACTGAAAATGGCCATCGTATCACAAATCCTCATCAAACCACTTGCTTTGTATCATCTGGTGTTCTGATTATGTTTCTCAACCACTGATATAAAGACTGCTTTAGGCATGTGTGTGCCTGTCGGCTGTATATGTGTGCTCATTTCTGTGGTGCGTACGTCCTGTTGTTTCCTGCTTTTCTGCTTCATTCATTACTATCTGTGACAGTCTGCAGGGCACTCTGAGGAACATAAACATGCAATGAGAAGTCTGTCTATTGGTAGCTTATGGAAAGGAATATGCCCTTGGTAAAGGGTGTGTTTTGCTTAGCAGTCTTTCCCACCATTTGCAGAAGTCACTGGGAGCTCGTGTCTTTTTACAGACGTGACTCAGGCTTTCTCACTTCTTGCCAGCATACTACAGTAAGTGTTCATGTGCTTTTAATAAAATGGTCATCTTTTGCCATTCATCAGCACTGGTCAATGTCCTGTTTTTGAGGGAATGCACAGCATTTATCAGTTATCCCTGTGTCCTACATAATGACAAAATGTCACATTTTGACATTATGTTATGCCCAATGCGGAGAAATTATAAATCGGCACAGCTAGAAACTAATGAGATTATCATGGAAAGCCCCATGAAGGAAAGCAAATCCAGCTATAATAAAGACTAAAAATGTTGAACACAGTGCTAGACGAGTCTTTTTTTTTTCTTCCTCTTCTTCTTCCTCCTCCTAATAATTATACATATATGCCTAAAGATATGTGGTGGTCTGTGAATACATCCTTGAACCTTTACAACCTTAGAACTGTTACAACAGCAGCTAAAATAACAGTAAACTGTTTTAGAAGTTAATGTCATTCATATAAGAGTATTGAACAGACTTGAGCTCGCTTTATACTAATCATATCTATTTAAAACAATATGATTTTAAGGAAGATGATTTTATTATTATTTTCAATAATATCATATGCTCAACCTGTCCTGTTTTACTGTTTGTTTCAACACTTAAGCAGAGGTAAACTATACCTCATCAGGTCGTGCTCACCCTATTCGGAGTCTGCTTTTTAAACCATTCACAAAAGAAACCACTAATACTACTTTCCAAACAGACAGCCTAACAAGTGTATTACAAAGCAAGATTAATGGGTTAGCGAGTTATGTCAAGTCTTTCAGTGTAACGAAGGTGGTTCTGTTTTAACCTGGGAAGGGCGCCATAGCAACCTATGCTGACCACATAACCTTTTCCAGTGTAAAGTCTGCTGTAATTTCCACTTTATCTGACTCAGATTTCAGTAACATTCAGCTTATTATAGAATTATGATTATTAATATAAGATCTCCAGCCTGCAAAACTGTAGCACCAAAGGAATCTGTTGTAAAGTTATCATAGTGCAAACTGTGCATCACATTGGCCTGGTTTTTCTTGCATACAGAACTGTTGCTACCAAACCCTCCCAATGCATCCTCAAGCAAGGTTTTGGTCTTTCCTGAAAGCAAAATTAAATCAATAGGATTATATTTTCATTATGATGGGACTTGCTTTACTCAAGCATAAAATAAATTTTCTTTAACAAATAGCCCAAAAAAGACAATGCATAGATTTCAGTTAAAGTTAAAGACTTATTGCCCTAGTTATCTACTTGTGTACATAAACACGCACCAGAGAGTTCTTTGAACCTGGAAAAACGATGCTGGAATTTTATTTTTTTATTTTATTATTTTTTTTCATTCAAAGATTCTTGATTTTTATGCAGCATCTTCTGTGTTGGTATATTTGCCCCTTTCTTTGGAAGTATGCAGTATCGTTCAGTGTAGAACTTGAGTCTTTGATGTGGCAAAAAAGGGAAATGATGTGTCAAACTCACCCTTTCATGTGGGCACTTGGAGAGCCAGGGCTGGCAAAGAAAGTTGATAACCACTATCAAGATACTGTTATCTGTTTGGGGTTTTGTCAGTCCAGCTAACTCGAAGAAAGCCTGGCTGTGTTGAACTCAATTCGTAGAACAGCTCTTTGGTGTGTTTTTTGCAAAATGGGTTTGAGTAGTGACAGTGTGGGAATTTACTTAACATGCCATGGCTCAGTCAGGCACTGAGGAATGTATTTGTTCACTTCTATCTTAAGGCTATTGTCAGCAATTAAATTCCACTGTGGTTAGTACATACACTTATCAGACTTCAGTGATTATGCAATTTCTAAGCCTGTAATCTAAGGCAGTCTATAGTCTTGATTAAATCATACATTTAGAAAGACACTTGTCATTTTTATTCAATTCAAATTTAAACGATAAACACTCTCTACTTTAGTTTCCGCATATTTAAGTGTTGTGGGGTTTTTTTTGTTTTGTTTTTTTTTTTTTGCTTGGGCATAGCAGCATAGTGTTGAAATTTCCAGCATTCTCCTACAGTGACAGACTGAGTGGACTTCAGACCCCAGCTTAGTCAACACCATTGTTTACAGTTCTGGCTCAAGCTGTGTTCAATTGTTTAGCACAGTCCACACAATGTCCTTCAGAGCCAAGGGTGTGCAGAGGTTTTCCTATATAGGAATTCAGTCTTTGTGGCGATTTTAAGTTTCTTTTAAGTGTGTAACAGATTGTCCTATTCATCCTTGTTTATTTTGAATGTAGCTACTAGAACAATCACCTGCTCAAACATATCTGTATCCTGAGAATATAAGTATGTAGTTTTAAACTGAGTTTTCATATCCCCAAGCACATGAACACATCTCAAAATGTTGATGTTTATGTATCTTGTAAAGGCAAAGTCATATTCTCAGTTTCATCCCCTCCCATGAGTAGCAAAACAGAAATGTGTATGTGTATTACTACGGTTGTTATTGGTTTACTCATATTAGGTCATTATGATGTTATTGGAGGTTTCTGTTGAATTTTCTTGCTGGTTTCAAATATCCTTGCCCCTTGACATCACCTTTGTTTTTGTTTGGGCGTTTTTTTTTTTTTGTTTTTTTTTTCTCTTCCTGTCACCCACACAAGTAGCTTGTGTTGTGTAGTCCACTGTTGGAAACGGCTGGTAGGAGGGATAGGACAACAGGATTGCACATGCCCCTTAATTCTTGGAAATTGGCTCTAATTAATTTTGTTATGAAGAGGTATCTGTTTGAAGTTTAATGATCACATGCTCATCATTTACACTCTTCTGGCTTGTCTCTTTTGAGATTTTGATCATCTATACCTCTTACATGATTTCTTATGAAGGATGGTCTACAAAGAAAATTGTGAATTTTGCACTATACGGTCACGTCTAATCAGTCAAGTCTGTTTTGTTAGAGCTCAAGGTTAGTTCCCCTTCTCCACCCATCATTGGTTCAAAAGTGTATGATGACTGAACAGGGTGTGTGGTGTTTGTTAACTTAAAAGGGACCCATTTTGCTCATTTTTAACTCAGTATTGTTGTTTTCTCTGATTCTCTATTAAAGTGTGTAGCTTACATGCACAAATGTAACCCATTTAACAACAATAAACTGAGTCAGGAATGGTGTTATAACTGGACTAACTTTTTGATGCAGACAAAATGCTCCACAACTACAGCTTATTAAAGCTGTCATTTATGAGAAAATTAAAGTTCACCTTTTTTTTTTTTTTTTTTTTTTTTTTTTTTTTTCTTAAAAAGAAAAAATGTATAGAAATGGTGGCACACCATCTGTTGTTGCATAGTTTCTTCTGAGTGTGTGTATTGGCTGTTAGACCGACATAACTTCACAGTTTAAGAGAAAATTGTTCATTTGCCTCCCTGGCCTGTGGACACCACAATACTACCCTCTGTCCAAGTCCTGCCCTGGAGGCCATGGGCCACTGACCATTGATGAACAGACCCACAGAGCAGTGGGCCTCATCTTCTCACTGTCTCGCACAGCTGAAAGGGGCCCAGTGTGTTCATACTTGGCACTAAAGTGAATCTTGTGTTATCCAGTCGGAAGTGGACAGCTCTCAATTGGGGGTGAGAATTGTTAGATTTATAAGTTGATTTTTTTTTTTTTAAGTTACAGATCTTAAAAAAAAAAATAGAGGTAGAACATGAACGCTTTAATTTGCTATGTTTTTATTGAAGCCACATTTGACTTTACTACCTCAGCATCTGAGCATTATTAAAAACTTCAAATTACTTCTGCTGTAAGTGCAGCTGAGCACAGACTTTGCTGGGTGAAAGTTCAAATACACTTTGAAGTGCCCATTTGAGAAGCATTTGCATCCTGTTGATACTTGCAAACTGTCAGCTGACATCGGTTAGATTCAACTCTGATCTGAAAATGTATATGAGATACTAGAATGAAAAGGGCCTCCAAGTTGATGAGTATGAGAGGAAGGAGAGGAGTGGGAAATTTAGCAGAGAGGAGTGAAGGGAAGAATAAACTGCCTGTGTTTTTTTTTTTTTTTTTTTTTTTTTTTTTTTTGAGGCTTTTGAGTTTGAAATGCTGGATGCGAGGACTCAAGGAGTAACAGAGCAAAGACTGTCGTACTAGTCTGGAGGAAACGGAAGCTGCCCGCTGTGCGCCTCTTGATGGTTTCTCTTTCTGCGATAATAGACTCAGTGTTCTGTGAGTAGCCGCTGTGGTTTCAACTTGTCATATGTGCTGGTGGGGGCGTGGGGGACCCACCTGCTGGCCAAGATTATCGAACCAGATCACACACTCTGCATCTGTCTGAACTGCTCTTCTGAACCTTTTATCTTTCACATCTTATCTGCGTCTGAACACAGCTGTAGTCTCTGTGGAATTTTGTGACAGAACAGTGATGTTGACTAAATGCTGTTTTCTTGGTGGTTTTGTAATGCATGGAGGGAAGACAAATTTGAGTGTTTAAAATGTTTCCCTTCCTCCTTTTTGTTTATGAACATCAGCTTGTCTCCGCCCCACACATTTGTGAAACAGAAAGTTAAAGTAATAACATGTGAACTAGACTGATTGTAAAAAGCCTTGGACCTTTTTAAATGGAGTGTGGTTTGTGCTCATAACATGGATATTCTGACTTTTAATTTTTGCATGCGTTTTCTCTAGGACCCACACACTAAGTGTAGCTTTGGGCAGCAGCCATGTCAGGCACCTATGATGACTCCATGATTGATGTCTCCAGTGACAGCTTCTGGGAGGTGAGATGCATTAAATCTTTTCTCTGTTCTACAGTTTGTAACTTGGTTATTTACACTTTTTTTTTTTTTTTTTTTTTAAAAATGGCTCAACTCAAGCAAATGATTGAGGATCAATTATAATATAATTATGCTCTAAATCATTCTTGGGAGGGGTGTAACTGCTCTCCAAAAGAAAGCCCTTTAATAGAAAACAAGCACCGTAGTTTGAGTGGGTTTTTTCTTTCTTTCTGTATATCCATCAAGTTTTATTTTCTGGTTTGCAGGTTGGAAACTACAAGCGCACCGTGAAACGGATAGACGATGGTAGTCGGCTCTGCACAGATCTCATGAACTGCATTCATGAGCGGGCGCGTATTGAAAAGGCCTACGCACAGCAGCTCACAGAATGGGGGAAGCGCTGGCGGCAACTTGTAGAGAAAGGTAAGATTAAATTGTACATAGTTAATTTTTTTTTTATATACATAAAGATTTTGCTTTGTCTTAAGTAAATTGAGTTTAGTTTATACTGTGCCGGTTCAGTTGCCTAAAGGCTCTTTGGGTGAAAAACCTACAATAAATTATAATTATTGTAGCATCTTAATCTTTCTAATATATTTATCACCCAGAACAATGTGCTGATTCATCATCAACAATGGGAAATTTGAGCTCAAGTTGAATCGAAGCGTGAATTTTCTCAATAACTCTGCCGTCAGGACCTCAATATGGCACGCTGGAGCGAGCGTGGGCTGCTCTGTGTACTGAGGCAGAGAAGGTGAGCGAGCTTCACATGGAGGTGAAAGCAGCATTGATGGGAGAAGACTATGAGAAGCTGAAGAACTGGCAGAGAGAGTCCTTCCACAAACAGATGATCGGTGGCTTCAAAGAGACTAAAGAGACTGAAGATGGCTTCCGCAAGGCTCAAAAACCCTGGGCCAAGAAACTCAAAGAGGTGTGAATTTCAAACTTCTCATGAGCTCAGGACATTTGATGTGAGTTAGGAAAAATGTAGTTTAGCTTTAATAAATCATGAGCAGCATCAGCTTTACTCTAGAACTAAACATTTAGGTCAGGCTTCACATTTGAGGATTGCAAATCAAAATTGGGCTTTACAAATTTTAGTCTGGCACAAACATCACTTTGTTCTCATTTTAAATTTCATCCTCTGGTTGTATGGTCTGTAGCCTGAAAAGACAAGCTAACAAGCTACCAAACAACGAATGTCACAAAAAGGAAATTTTAAGGGTGACTATCTCAAGAGGTGGAAGTACTTAATTACTCAATTTTAAAGACTGCTATATTTATCACAAGATGATCTCAGCAGTCGGAGAACATCATTTCTCTTGTGAAGTTTATTTTTAACTTTTTGGTTTTTATATGCAACCATGGTTGCATGTCAGATGATCAAAAAACACCTTTGTTGCTGAGGAAGGACAGTCTTTCTTATGACTCGTATGGCATTCAGCAGTATCCCTCTGGTAGTTTCTTCAATTGTGCTTCTTTGAAGTTGGATAGGGCAGAGTAAAATTTCTCAACTTAAACTGATGGCTATTATTTTGCTCATTTTCACTTTAATTTGTTAATGTCATTCACTTTCTATGGTCTGTGGGTCAAAAATGAAATGCACTCGGTGGATTTTGTCTTAAAATTCAGTTGATAAAATCGAGCGAGTCCTTTTGTCTGCTTCAGGACTTTGGCTGCACAATTCTGAGACAGTTAGCACATGTTGATAAACTGTTTGGTGCTTAGCAAGCTTTCCAGTTTTGCCATCTTATCTAAAGCAAGGAAGTCATTTATCATCTTGCTGATCACAGCTATAAATTTTACCCCTCAGTTCTCATGAATACATTTTACTGACTCGGTGGTAGTCATGGAAAGAAGAGCAAACAATGTCTTAAGCAACACCAGAGCACAAGCACAGTTGTATCTGGTTAGTGTTGATTTTGAAGGTTACTGCCAGGCATAGGAAAGGAAATGGTGAGGGCACAGAGGGAAACTCCTTTGGTTGAAAATGAGGTCTATGTATTTCCTACTGCTACTTTTATTTTAGCCTGTTTACTTGTTGGAACCTACCCCCCCCCCCTTCTTCCTGGGCATATTTATGACCGGGCATGTTGCAACCTTCAGGCTCCCACTACTTCCTGTGAGTATGATGTCACAGGGGATGGTGACATCCTGGTCTGTCATTGAGCAAAACTGTTTAGTGATGGAGATTTATTGATTGACCAGATGGGCAAGGACAAGCGATGAATGACAGAGAAAATGAGGGTAATTAACTGGCTAGCTGACATGGGGGAAGTGGGTAGTGTGTCAGTATCGGACCTGCCTTCTAAACTCACTATGAAGTATTTTATTCATAGGCCCGAGCCTTCTTGTTTTGTTTTTGTGGACATTAAATATTTTTTTTCTATTCAGAAAAGGGAAAACACACAAATGTCTGTTATAACTTAAAAATTAGGGCTGGCTCTTGTTGTTTTGAGCCATCTAGCGTAATGATTCCAAATGACATTAAAAAGTTCTGCTTTTTCGGTGAACAAGTGTGGTCATCAGTTTCACATAAATGTGAAGGCAGCCACTTGAACATTTTGGAAGGCATAACAAATGTTGTTTGCTTACATACTTCACTGAAAGTTTTCACATAAATTAAGGCTGGGTAAAGAGGTGGTTATATCTTCAGATACCAGTGTTAACAACTCTGTCCACACTTCCTCACACTGTTTCAAGTTACCTGGTTACACACGACTTGTGTCATTTCCTTAATTTTACTTTAACCATCAAACCTGCAGGTAGAGACTTTGAAGAAGGCCTACCACACTGCTTGTAAAGAAGAGAAGCTTGCAGCCAGCAGGGAGACTAACAGCAAACTCGAGAGCAACAATAACCCTGAAGCCCAAAAGAAACTCCAGGAAAAGGTGGAAAAGTGTCAGCAAGAGGTCCAGAAGGTACAGTTTCCTGTGGCAAGAGACTAAGAGGGAGGCTTGTAACTGGGAAGACATTTTGTTTTGTCGCCCCCCCCCCTTCTTAGCTGAATGTGGGAATCTGTGTGAGTGTTTGTTTGTTTTGGGGTATTTTTTTTGTTAAATGTGATTTATCATTCCTTCCCTTCTTACCTTTCAGACTAAAGAACGTTATGAGAAATCCATCGAGGAGCTGAACAAATTGACCCCTCAGTACATGGAGAACATGGAACAAGTGTTCGAGCAGTGCCAGCAGTTTGAAGACAAGCGCATTCAATTTTTCAAAGAGGTGCTGCTGGAGGTTAAGCAGCACCTGGACCTCTCAACCAATCACAGGTCAGAAATGACATAACATCCCTTTCAGAAAGACACAGATGTGGGAGAACTTGGAGCTTTGAATAGTTGCGCTTAAAGTGTATCCCTTGCCCTCTGTCATTGTAGATATCAGGGAGTTTACCACACACTGGAAGACACAATCTCTGGCACCGATCCTGAAGAAGACCTAAAATGGTTCCGGTCCAATCATGGTCCTGGAATGCCAATGAACTGGCCCCAGTTTGAGGTAATGTACTAAAGACCACACGTATTTAATGCATGAGTGTAAATCGGCTAGGGGAAGGGTTGAGTTCTGAGAGCAATGGCTAGAGGTTTCCAAATAGTTTTTTACATCCGAACCGGACGCTCTGTTTGACTCCTGTCACTCTGAAGAGTGGGTTGTTGTTGCAGACTTGATGAGATGATTATATACACTAATAGCTGTTATATATTATTCAGTAGGGTAATTTAAGAATGAATTAAAGTACTTTAGGAAGCGTATCTTAAGAGCTGCGGGTACTCTTGAGTTACAGCTCACCACAGCACCACAGGTCAGAAATGGGGAAAACATCTGAATGAAAAAGTTTCAAGGGAAGTAAAGCATTTGGCCCAAGCAGGAGTTATAGCCTTCTGTCACTATTGGCATTGAGACACCAGAGGTGGAAGTAGATCTGTCTGCGGGTAAAGCTGCATGCGCTTCCACTGATACAATTTATAGTGTTTTTGAATACTCTTGCAGCCAACTTCTTCCACTTTTTCTGCCTGAATAGTGCTTATCTTTGGAAGTTTAGGTTGTTTTGTTTTTTTGGGGGGGGGGCGGTTAAAGAGGAATATATCTCCCCTTAGATTAAATTCTACACAACTGAGAACTGCTATCCATGGCACATTTAAGTAAACTGAATAAAACATCACTGTGTCTTCATTTCCCTGCAAGATGGAGATTTTTTTCGTTTGTGCAACTGTTTCAGCAACATGGTTTAGGATTACATAGTGTTATCTGCATTAAACCTGTTGTACCCCTGCTTTCCTTTCCGCATATTTGACAGAATTTGGAATGGTCTCGTCATCGTCCCTCTAAGAGATGGTCCATTGTAGTGAGTTCTGCATGAGAGGGCTATTTTCTCACAGCAGCCACGGGGAGACTATTTATTCCCACTAACCCTCTCTCATTCTGTGTGTGCCTTTGACTCAAGTTGCCTTAGTGAAACTTAACTGAGACAAAACTTCATGTGGTATATGCAGACAATATATGAATACTATCAGTGCCAGTCAAAGGTTCAAGCTTCCTGACATTTACTTTTCCTCGATATCAGAATTGCTGTAATTTATCTTTCGTCTTTCTAACTTTTGGACTCTGACCCGTCATTTCAGCCTCTGAGGCATTCCTGCAGTTCATGTGAACTCTGCAGTGTCACATGATACTGTGTCATGGAAGACTTTGGTTTTAAGTTATAAATCAGAGGGGTCAGAGAAACAATTGGAGCTCTGAGGTTATGCTTGCATCCATCTAAGGAAGAATAAAATTATGTAATAACCTTCCTCTTTGGTTGAGGGGGAAAATTTGTTGGTGCTGTTTCTCTTTCAATGGAATATGGATGCTGCATATGTCTGTATATCTTTTACACACTCCAATATAAACAGACATGTATGCACAGTTTTAAAATTAAGAATTGGTGGATCAGCTTGAGAAACGCTGAACTGATCAGGGACTCTGGGGCTGTGTGTTTAAGATGCTGTGCTTATGTTCTCCCTGTACTAGCTGATGGGCTTGTTGATTCACGCTTTTCACTTGGCTAAGTTTGGCACAGTTGTACGGTTAATTTTTAATAGGTAATTTTTTTTTTAATGTGTAACAGGAATGGTCCGTAGACCTCAACCGAACCTTGAGCAGACGAGAAAAGAAGAAGCCATCAGAGGGCATCACATTGACGGGCATTAGTCCAGCTGGGTCAGACCAGCCTGTTCAGCCTGCCAAAACCAGCAACAGGTAGATGTCTGATAACCCATTGTTCACTGTCTTTGTCAAACATGCAGAGAATAGAACATCTGTTTTAATACACACATCTATCCAAACTCACCACATCAAAGATGCTGCTGCACCCTGTGCATGGCATCCTACTCTTAAGGAATGGCTGTAAACTTTGCATGAGGGAAGCTCCAGGAATGATGTTCAGTTGTGCAGCCGTCCCCATGGCAACAGTAAACATTTTGATACAGATTGTTGGGATAAAGTTATCGTCAAGAGACTGAAGTCTGCTGGTGCATACCTGAAAGCATGCCAAAAGTACTGTGAAAATACAACCCACGCACATGCTTTATAGGCATTCATATTGGTAGTGACAAGTTGAAAAAAGGGCCGATTAGTCGGACATCTGTACTTAAAGCAAGTGGGCTAAGATGTTATGTCAACTAATACTGTAATTAACAGACTCATTTTAAGATTTAAGCAAAATATCGACACAAACCCTCTTTCAGTTTATGGTGAGTGAGTTAATCCTCCATTGATCTAATAAAATACATAAGGGATTTAAGGCTTCTATCAAAGTTAAATGTCTGGCGGTTTTTAATAATATGAAGGAGTCTTTCTAAAGCGATAAGATGGGAATGTAGTTGTCCCCAGGCATCTGTTAACTGTGTCGTGGCAACAGTACTGTGGACTTGACAAGTCATGGAAATGATGACAAGACTAATTTAGATACGCTCTATAAAAAATTGGTTAAATGATTTGTGTGTGTGTGATTGGTTTTTATGGGCCTGTGTGTTTTGGGAGGCCTCAACTCTTCACATTCCGTTGTAGCTTTGTAATCTCTCAATTTAATGTGCAAACACCTGCTGTTTGCTCTTAACAAGCAGGAAGATGTGTGCATTTAAAACTTGTGGAGGAGTGTGTAGAGGAGCTGATTGAGGGAATGCCAAGCATGGAAAGTATTTGGCCTCTGACCACTACCATTGCACTTGCTGCCACTCCCCCATATAGGCTGCTTATTGTTGGTTCTTTTTTTAACATCAGTGAGTATGGGTACTTGTTTCAAGTCTGATCCCTATCTGTAGTCACAACTTGGATAATGGTGAAACTTGTTTTTGAGTCAGTGTCAGACTTGTCTTTTCTTTCCCTGTGTTGTTGGGGTTTTCGTTCTCTTTTGTCCTTGATTTGAAGTGTCAGACATGAATCAAACAGATTTTAAAACTCTTAGAGCTTGCTTAGAGCAATGTCAAGTCTTTTAATTCGTGATTATGAGGTCAACTTTGGATGGTTTCAGTCAGCTAAGTTACACTGTACTAGACTCCTACTGCAGAAGTGTTTGCTGTAATAATGCCACAGGCTTAACTCGGAGAGCATAGCATGACTACGCAAACAAAGGCGTTCACATTTCTGTACTTGGGGCCAACTGATAACTGCTTCTGTAAATGTTTCTATAAACAGGGAGTAGGAGTCTTGTTTCCTCTGATACAGGCCTTCTTCTGGTTTTTTTGCTCCTTGAAACACAATCACATTAATAGGAAGTAAACAACCCTCATGTGACTTCACAGGGTTTTTACACCTAAACAACCCACAGCTGGCAATTAAGGGCTCAGGGAGGGGCTCACTGATGTTTTTGATAGCTTTGTGATAATTATGACATGCAGCACTTATTAGTGGAAAAACAAGTCGCACTAGAATGCTCTGTCTGTTTAGTTTCATGCTTTGTTGATGTCACTCTTTCATATAAATATGAAAATTACTGGGTCTTCCAGCTGTCCTTAAACCTACAGTTATAGCCCCACCTCTCTTGCTGTTGCTAAAAGTGCAACAGAGGCAGAAATCTCTAACCTTCAGCTGACTAATTCTATGACCTGATTAAATTCTAAAATAACCTTTTGCGCGTGGCTGTGTTTCATCTAGACTCATACACTCTATTATCAGGCTTTAGAAAATGTAGCCCATGACGGGAAAACCGTCAGACGGCCCTGCTGAAAAAGCAGGTGCACAAGCATATCTTTTTTTTGATGGAATACATGATTCAGTGCTGGGAAGTCTTACAGAAAAAGTTGCTTCTTGAGTGCTGTCAGTATTTTCCCATCTTTTTAAAAATAGAGTAAAGCCCACATTGTTGGAGGGACTTTGCACAGTCTTCTGTACAACTCTTTGCTCAATGACTTTTGTCTAACTCAGTTTTGAATATTTACTTAGACGGTCTTTGACTATGCCTGGCCTTGTTTGGGGTTGGATACTTAAACTGATGTCTAAACTCATTTCAATCAAAGAATGGCGTAAAAGATTATGGAGTCTGACTGTAAGAGCTCATTATAGTTACATGCACACTACTGGAACCTGCTGGGAAATCCATGATGTTGTGCAAGACCAGCCTTGTTTTGTTTGGATTCTCACTGTTGGGTTGAGGGGTTTAGTGAAAGGCTGATAGGACAACTTTAACTTGTGTGATGTGCTGATGAACTTCAAGTTGTTACCTCACTGGACACATGTTCATTTGCCCAACCATTTTCTTACATGCTTATGAACTTAAATCCCATCCCAGCTGTCGCTGAGCGAGAAGCTCGGTACACCATGGATAGGCTGTCAGTCCATCACAGCAATAGCCCTTTAGTTTCCTTTTGGACTAAAATATCGAATGGGTCGATGATCCAATCTTCTTCTGCTTCCTGTTATGCATAACTTTTTTCTTTTCTTTTTTTTAAAATCCCAAGTGTGACTCTGTATGCATGCTTGTCAACAATCTCTCACTGTGTCCCATGTTGTCAGCCTGACTGTACCAAAAGCTGCACCTGCGGGCACGAACCCGTTTGACGAAGATGACGATGAAGTGGGGGAGACTGCCGTGGAGCAGGAGATCACAGTCAACAACACCGTTGTGAATAAAGAGGAAATAAAAACGTTGGTGAACCGGAAACGCTCACCTGCAGAATTTTCTGTTTCTACCTTTGCTACGTGGAGCGTCGTTGGTGTCGCGTCTCGTGCATTTTCCTTTTCTTGGTTTCTTCCCACTACTTTTTCTTCTCTCCTTCCTCAGGTGTCATGTTGTGGCTCTGCATGGTCATTGAATGGCATTGCACACAAAGCCTGTGTCTTTTCTTCATCCCTAACAGTTTCATGTCTTGCAGAACGTTAAGTATATGCGCATGGAGGCGCATGCTTCTGCTGTGGAAATGCATTGTTTCTCTCTTACAGTCAGATCTGGATATTTGAAATTGGACTTTTTTTTTTTTTTTTTTTTTTTTTCTTTTTTGTGCCAGCTGATAATTTAAAGGCTCTTTAAAACAAAATGAGTAAGTTTTGTGTATCAACTTTTATTCATTTGAATAACAGTTGTACCTAATGGGTGGAGGGATCCAAAAATAGCCTTGAAACCATAAACTGGTCTGACTGTAAATTATTCTTGTTGGTTTTGTTTTTTTCAGCTTTGCCTGCCAAGTTCCTTCTGATGTTTAGGTGGCTCCCTCTCCTGGTCAGAGTTCAAACGCCAATCATGCGTTGACAATTGTGATTTGTCTTGCTTCATCTTGTTGTGCTTTGGTTTTTGTTTTTTTTACATGTCACGTTGATGTTTTTTTTTTTTTTTTTTTTTTTTTTTTTTTTTTTTGCTTTGCCTCCTATTATTTCTCTCTCTTCTCCATAGACTTCAAGTTCTTGTTGTCAGTGGCATATAAGCAATTTTGAAATCATTTATCCTGCATCAACCAAATGCTTGCTTTTTAGTCTTGCAGTTGTTTAGACTGACCCAAAAGGATAGTGGGGTTTGTTTGTTTTTTTTTCCTTTTTTTTTCCCCTCCCCTCTGGATTTGGAGATGCATTTTTATGCTTTTGGGTTCCAGTGTACTGTTATTGGTTTTTATTCCCCCCCCCCCCTTTTTTTATTTATTTTTTTTAATTTATTTATTTTTTTTGCCCTAACCAAACTCTTTCCACCTGCCTTGACGGTTTTTCTTTGACGTGTGAGGCAAAATACCAGGTTTTTACTATGTGGTTGGTCTGTCTGTCCAGTGCAAGCAGTACGGAGAAGACTCCAGACTGGTCGGATGAGGACACAGCTGGTAACCCTTTCTCCACCAATGGTGAGGGTAATCCATTCGAGGAAGAGCCGGCCTCTCCTGTTGTATCGGTGCCTGTCAAAGCTCTCTACGACTATGAGGGACAGGAGCAGGATGAGCTGAGCTTCAAAGCAGGTACATGACTAAAAGGGGTCAGTTTGGCCTCAAGTAATCATTTATGAAGGAGATGATGATTTCAGTAATGTACACCTATGACCACTTCATTAGGGTACATCTTAGAGTTGGACCTCCCTTTGTCTTCAGGGCTGCCTTAATTCTTCATGGCATTGATTCAACAAGGTGCTAGAAATGGCCCTCAAAGATTTGAGTCCATATTGATATAGTTGCTGGAGATGCATACTTCCATGATGCAACTCTGTTTAATCACATCCTAAAGTTGCATCCCCATTATTAGATTGCGTTCTGGTGACCTTGGTTCTGCTCAAAAAAAATTTAGAGCTGCATATTTGACGCTGCTGCTGTAAACTGACTTGATTCATTTTTTTTTTTATTTTTTTTTAACTTAGAATGACTTCTGTATATGTACATAGATTAAGATTGATTAATATTTCTCTCTCCCCGTTTCCAGGTGATGAATTTACCAAAATAGGTGAAGAAGATGATCAGGGCTGGTGCAAAGGCAGGCTTAAGGATGGACAAACAGGCCTCTATCCTGCTAACTATGTGGAAGACATCCAGTAATGAATCGCCACAGATGGAAACAAATGTGAAGAATGTGTTTTATGAAACTTGACGGGCTCTTATTTTCAGCCCTCTTTTCCTTCTTTGTGATGACTGGATTGGAGTTGGTGGAGGACAGAAGAGAAGGGTTTGTAGAGCTTAGGAGGACCACTTTAGTCACTTCTTACCAGTGGACACTGTTGGAAACTAACTGCAAGTTTCCAGAAGATTTCAGGAAGATCCAAGACGATTTGCTGTTGGTGTAAGATGTTACTTAGAATCCCATTTATGCTGTTACAGAAATAGCTATTCAAGTACATATTAGATAAGACTGAAATGTGTGAATTTGGATCATTTAAAAAAAAAGAAATAAAAAAATCGCTGAGATTACGATCTTACAAATAGTCTTGCATGCGAAACACAGCCTTGATATGAAAGCCTGTTTTTAATTCATCAAGGGAATTGAACCTTTTTAATAACCAGTACTTGCATTTCTCCTGAAAGAATCCAGTCCATAGATGTTTTTTTATTATTTGGCCTGAATTGTGAGATTCATGAACTTCATTTTAAATTAGTGTTTATATTCTCATTTCTTTCGGGGTTTTGATTTTTCCCCATTCAGTTTGTAACCGTTGTGGTTGTTGTTGTTGTTGTTGTTGTTGTTGTTGTTATTTAGTTTTTCAAAGGAATGGTAAAGGTCCTCAGTTCACCTTTATTCATGGGTAGACTTCCTTTAGTGACTGCAGCTGAATGTATTTGTTTTTAGTCATGGATTGTTCACTTTTACTGCGTCCACTGACCCCACTCCCTTTCTCGCATACCTTTCTGATGATTGTAGATATTTTTCAAGCAACACTGGAAGTTTCTCACTTGAATCTTCTAAGTTCAGTTCTCGAGTCTTGTCACATGCCAGGTTATGGGAGAATATTTTGTTTGATTTAGATTTCATGTTCTAGCAATAAAACCACAATTGAATATCGTATTGCATATACATTAATATTAGAACAAATCAAACATTCTGATTGGATTATGTGCAGGAAATTCTTAATTTATGATGCCTCAAGTGCTTCTGTTGTTCTGATGCTGAAATGTTGTGATGGAGAATCAGTTTATACATTAACTGAATGTTTATGGCAAACGTTCATCGACCGTTACTGCTATATCTGTAAATATGATTTATATTTTCCCTTCAGAGGGCCATATGAGTTGCTTTGATCACAAAATGCTTTGTGAAAAATTAATTTTCTTTGGGACCTATGCCATTGCTATCACAGCCTTAATGCCCAGTTTGCAAATATGAGCTGCACATCGTTCACAAAGAGCATTCATAAGTGCACCAATTAAATAACTATTACTTTTGATGCCTTTAGGCTACAGCAGAGGAGGAAAGTTTTGTTTTGTACATCAGTGAGGAAAGATGTTTGAGTGTTGCTAGCAAAATGCAGCGACAGTTATACTTGCACAGAAAGGTTTGTAATTGTTGTCCCACATCACAATAAATGAATTTGCTGGGAAAATATACAGATTTTCTTCTTATATTTTCACTGAATGTCTGAATAACTTCAATGAATTTAAAGAGACTCAGAACTGAGTCTGTTTCAATAGGTAACACAAACCGTTACAGATTTGATCACTATTGTACTTTATTTATTAAAAGAAGTTTGACTGCATCTAACTTTTTCTGTTGCTGTAATTTCTTTTAATATATAGTTTTTTGTTTTGAGGGGTATATCCTTACTAGGCACCATATGACTGTAAAATAAGTTTTATGTTGTAGCCTTATGCTATTCTGCAAGACGAGGATTTAAACAATACAACAAAGTTGAACAAATCTCAACAAACTGGAATATGCAGTTGGATACTGTGATAAATCTGACTGTTTTGTTTTTAAGGTTTGGCATCAAATCCATCCAAGACAAACTAGACTGGATGCAGTTTTTCCCACACACTGCAGGTTTCTATTTATAGTAAAGTTATTTTTCTCTCTCTCTCTCCATTAAATAGTCTTGACACTGGTGTATTCCCTGGTGTTTCAGCTGGTATGATAACCATTTAGGTTTCCAATAAACATGCATCCACAAATCTCATCTCTTTTCAGAGACTCATTTCATATGACACACATGTTGATATGTTATAAACTTAGAAAATATTGGACATTGTTTTAATGGGAACTGGGTGTGTGTTTGTTTTTAAAAAGCCGTATAGCCCAGAGTCACTGCATTGCTTTGTTTGGTTTTAAAGAAAACTTAATGTGTGTACAATATATTAGATATAAAGTGAAAGGTAACTTGAGCTGCTCCCTTATTTCCCAAGTTGTCACCACAGCAGATAGATCTGCATATTTCATTTGGCACGGGATTTAGCTGGCTACCCTCCCATTTTTCTATACACTAGCTTGGGACCCCCTGGGTCTGGGTGTCTCTTCTCACACTCGGGGAAACTCAAGTAATCCGAGTTACATGTGACCTTTCACATATAACCTTTTAAGCAATACACCACAGAGCAACTCGATAACAGTCTAAAAAAAGTGTTATTGTATTCCCTCATAAGAATCAATATAAAACATCTAACACACATATATACACACATACCTTGACGTTCCCTGTAGGGGATGCCACAGCTGATAATCTGCCTCCATTTCACCTTACTCCTAGAATTCTCTCCTTATCATTAGTAATAATGATCATATTAATAATAAAAAGGTGCCACAAAAGACGGGAAATGACCTACCACATTCCAAAATAACAATAACTAGATTTGATTTGAGCTTTATTTCTTTTTCGGTTCAAATGATCCATTTTTCATGCATTTTTTTTTTTATTTTATTGAACTATTTTATCATATTTTAGTATTTTTTATTTAGTGTTATTGCATCTTATTTCAAGACACGTTATTAAAGTTATATTGTTCAGCGTTGTGTTTAATGTTTTGGCTGCGGTCACACAGAAATGCATGAAATTCGAAGATACGTAAGCTATCGCTTATATGATCTAAAACTACATTGCCAAGAAGCCTTTGCGACAATAACACGACCACGGATCATTTCCAGCCAATCAGCGTCCGCCCATGGTGTTCTCTTACTGACGTGTCGGGTTTAGTTCAGGGGAAAAACACGGGTCTGCTTTTGATGCTGTTCCTTTAACCGCCACACACCAACAGGTAGAAAAATGGCAGAACCCAGCAAGCAGGACATTTCTGTTATTTTCAAGCGACTTCGTTCCATCCCTACGAATAAGGTGAGAGTTAAATAAATACCAGAAAGACGGGTGTATTCTGGTGCACAAGGAAGTCCGCTGAACTAAATATCTGACACGTCGCACTTTATGGGAAACGCCACAGCTGGCTTCAGTTTGCGACCAATTTAACAGCTGTCTGACGTGTGTCATCTTTAGAATAAGTCGGGTTTAAAAAAAAAGTGTTTTTAAAACGTGCAGAAGCAAAATATCACAAAACTTAGAAATTGTAACCTGACGTGACGTTAGCAAACGGGCTGACAGCTAGCTAGCTACATTTTGACAGTTTACATTAGCCGTGTTTGTTTAAAGCTCAGTTTCTAAGGCCTTTTCTCGACTCGGGTCATGTAAAAGACAGAACAGACATCTTCAGGGACAAAGATGTGTTTGCGACTCGCTGCTGTAACTATTATCTGTTGATCTCATTGCTAAATTAACGCCACTTCACCAACAGCTGTTTGAGTCAGTAGCACAGTCTCCTGTTTACCCTCACAGCTGTTGCTTCGTGTAGTCGGACACTCTTCACGCTCTTGGCCTCCACCCGTGGACCATTCTACAACTGCGTTAATTTGAAAAGAATCTATGCATAAAATACTACAATACCAAATATAGTCCTGAGACAAAATGTAAATCCAGTTGTTGAAACAGTGGTTACGAAATATTTTATAAAACACGTCTTGATAACTTCCTTATAAGCAAATCGCGTGTTAAATATAACAAGCAAATTTCCAGCTTAGAAATCCACTTCTTCCAGATCCTTCTTCCTGTGTTTTTAAACATTTTGTTAACATCAGCATATTTTAAAGAACATTATGCTCTGTAAATTGTGTCCAACAACACATGTACGACCTAATTCGCCTTAGAAAGGAAGAGATAAAACAGTAAGATGACATGTCAAGTTGTACATGTGCCAACACCATGGGTAGACCAAAGGTCTGTCCTCTGACATATTTTTTTTATTTTTTTCAATTTTTTCTGACTAGTTAAGTGCATTGAGTGCATTAGTCTAACCAATACAACACTGTTACTCATATTACCAAAGGTTCAAAGTATCCTTTATTTATATGACCACATTTATCCCTAGATAGCATATTTTTCTGAGAAAACGCTAATAATAGCTATGATTTGCAACCCTGTTGACATACATATAAAATAAACATGTCAAAATCATGAAATATTATTAAACAACACTGCTGTGGTCCTGAGTATTTGTCACATTTATGTCATAACTGCAAATAAAAGTACTATATTTCAGCCACGTTAACTTATTTTATATTTTATTTATTTTATTTATATCTGTAATTTATATTTTATATTGTGATTTTTATCTGTACCATGATTTTACTGGAAAGCACTTTGGTGTACTTTGGTCTTTAAAATGTGCTATATAAATACATTTTGATTGATTGATTGAATCTTGTTTCTTAAAATCTCTTATTTTAACCAGGTTACCATATAATTTTTACTAAATAAAAAGTGCACCTTTGATGCCTGAACTGGCCATATCAATTTATTATTTGTTTTTATTACTTACATCAAATAAAATATCTTTAAATTATCTATATTTAAAAAAAAAATAGTCTTCTCCAGTTATAGAATGATCTGTCTCTTTTGTTAATATGAGGAATATCTCGTGTGTTTGTATATATTCTTGCTCTCTGTCCCTCAGGTTTGCTTTGACTGCGCAGCTAAGAACCCCAGCTGGGCCAGCATCACCTATGGGGTTTTTGTCTGTATAGATTGTTCTGGGACTCACAGGTCTCTGGGAGTGCACCTTTCATTTATTAGGTAAGTCAGAAATTATATATTTTCCTTGGAGTTGGAAGTAAATGGACTGGTGCTTATGTCAATGTGTGAATGAGGCTTGTTGTAAGAAAGTTCTCAAATACAGTAGAAAATGTACAAGTGTTTTTTATCTAACATCACACACTCCAATAGAAGCATTGGGATCTTTGGGTTCAAGTTTACTTTAACATGCAGACTAGAGGAGCGAGTTTGCAGACAGCCTCCTCTTCATCATGAGCCACAAGCACCTCTAACAAAATAATAAATCAAGAGTAAACAACAGTTCAGAAGTGTGTTCAATGGGAAGGTTGTGTTTGAGGATTAAACACTGAGAAGATTTACAGTGCGTTACTGACACCTGCTATGATGTATTGTTTGGAGATGTTGGGATTAACAAAAAGACAGGGGGCAGAGCTTCCAGATTTTCACTGGGAGTTACCAGGACATGCAAGACTAGAAAAGAGTACATCAGAGGGATGGCTCAGGCTGAGCGGTTTGAAGACAAAGTTAGAGAGGCAAGGCTGAGATAGTATGAAGATATGCAGCGCTGAACAAAGGATGCTGAAGATGAAGCTGCCCAATGGGAGGAAAAGAGGAAGAAAACAGAGAAGGTGTTGGTGAGCGTTGGTGTGACTTAAGAGGATCCCTGGGATAGGGTGAGATGGAGGCAGATGATTCGCTGTAGCCACCTCTTTGAAGTGAAAGTGGATGTGAATGATTATTTTTCCGTTTTTACAAACAAAAGTGCCTCGACTCCGCTGTTGCTGTAATTTTTTTTTTTTTTAATTAAATTGAGTTTAATAAAAAGTTTTTGGTTTTTTTGCAGTATAAGAAATTAGGATGTGAAAATATCAGCTCGTTAGGATAGTATTAAACCCTTTAAAAAATACAAGACAACAGCAGTCATAGAAATGAAAAGAAGATAAGATATGCACAGTGTTTTGATCAAATTCACTCTACCTTTTATAACCCAAACTGCAAAGATGTAGTGCAATATGGACTGAACAGCTCAGAAGTATACTCTCAGCCAAAAACAGGCCTTTGTAGGGTAACTAAGCATGACTGGTGTTCTTATTGTTAAGGCATAGGATTGTGTTACCTGTGTAATAAAAGTAAACTTTTAAAAAGATAAGCAATTTAAAAAAAAAAGAAGAAGAAAAAAATAAACTGTCATTTCAAATGACTACATTAAAAGTGTGTAATGTAATAGTAAAGCTATTGTAGGCTGCTTCCTTATTTTGCAAGCATTCACCACAGCAGGTAGCTTCACATGTTTGACTTGGCAGATTTTTATGCTGGATGCCCTTGCTGACCCCACCCCAAAGGGATTTATTTCTCCTCCTGGACTTGAACCAGGGATCTTTCACTTTTTGGGCGAATGTGTAAACTACGAGCAGTAATCCTGGATATACGGTACATTAATTGGACATAACAATCTCAAGAGACTTATTGTAATTTTGGATAAAAATAAATGACTTAAGCATCCAAAACAAATAAAACAGAATAAAGACGCTTCAGATACAGTGAAGGATAAGTGGAACAAAGGCAGCTCAAGCAAGGAGATGGGAGTGGATAGGGTTCTGTAACCTCAGGTGTATGTTTCTTTGTTCAAACACACATTCTTCAAACCCTGATCCTGTTGTGCCACACAGGTCCACCGAGCTGGATTTTAATTGGTCGTGGTTCCAGCTAAGATGTATGCAAGTTGGAGGCAACGCCAGCGCAGTGAGTAAAATATCAGCACACTATCATCCGGTTAAAACTCCAGCAGTGTGTGACACAAGTGTGATTCTACCTGTTTGCTTTCCTGTTTCTTATTTGACCTCTCGGTGTCAGATTGCATTTTTCAGTCAACATGGCTGCAGAGCCAATGCCGCCAATGCCAAGTACAACAGCCGGGCTGCACAGCTGTACAGAGAGAAGATAAAGACTTTAGCCACACAAGCAACCAGACGCCATGGCACTGAGGTAACACTGACAGGCTGGGTTACAGTCTGAAAACACCTCCACATTTCTCCTCAAGGGGGGCGGGGAGAAACCAACCTGGGGCTGAGAGATTAAATTTATTAAACACTGGCTTCCTGGGTATTACCCATATGCTTATCACACTTATAATAAACGCTCATATAATTGAATCATTTTACGGCTCTTGTTCTCCACAGCTGTGGCTGGACAGTCAGGCTCCTCTGTCTCCAACAGGCGACAAGCAGGTGGATTTCTTCAGTCTGCATACACAGGTATAAGTGTGTGGTTTCTTCAATTGGGATTTTGTCCAGAACTTTCCACAGATATGCTGCACAGCCTGACAGCGATTATTAATTTCACTACGTGTGTCTGTGTCCTGGCCAGGCTGTTCCTGAAAATCTGAACATGGCCAAAATGAGTCTGAGCCCCTCCGCATCAGAGAAGCTTTCAGAGCCAGAAAAAGATGAAGACCGTAATGGTATCTTTGTGTCATTGCTTAATAATCTGATTTATACTGACTCACTGCAGTTTTATATTAAAATAGTTTTGTGGCTCATCACATGTTTATCTTCAGGTAACTCAGAGGAGGGTCCCAATGTGGAAATGCTCAGTGTTTCACCAAAAGCAAACCCAGGTTTGAGTCAATACTGTGCATGTTTAGTTAACTCTACCTAAATGCCCGTAAAAGTCTGTCTAAATATTGACTTCACTCTGTCTGTTGTTTTCTCAGAGCCCTCTTCTCTTCTTAAGAAGAAGCCAGCAGGTGCCAAGAAAACAGTATGTATAAAGTTTTATATTGGTGTCATAATAAGTACAATAAAACTATTACTTAGGTTAAGGGAAGAGGGTAATATTCAGAGAAAAAATTCAAGTAGTATCTGAGATAAATTTTAAGACAAATAGAAAGCCACTCACGTTGTCTTACTTTACAAGCTTGGGTTAACCTGATCGTACTACACACCACAGCCACGTAGGGAGGGCCACATTTACACCCAAGTTAGGCAGTGCAGCAGTAGTCACTGCATACACACACATCACATGATTGACCTGAGGGGACACAAGAACAGGTAAATAAGGTGAATCACAACAACAGTAGGCACCATTTACTGCCAATAAAATTAATTATCTTTACACGTTTGTTTTAAATAATGAATTGGGGTCCCATTCCACATGTCCCTGCAGTTTGCACTGCCCTGCTGCCACACAGACCCATTTATAAGAGATTATAGTATAGTATTATGAGAGGTTGTTTTTTGTTTTCTGAATTTTCCTCTTTTAAAATGTGTTTTTAATCTTAGAGATTCTGAATGTTATCTCAGAATACAAGCTTCTACCCCAGCTCCGTTATCTGTTTTATTTGGTACATCATTGTAATGTGTATGTTTGTGTGCAGCTGGCCTCAAAGAAAGGCGGTCTGGGTGCTCAGAAGGTTAGCAACCAGAGCTTCTCGGAGCTCGAGAAGAAGGCGCAGGCTGCTGACAAAATCAGAGAGAAAGAGGAGAGCTTTGCTGGTGCCAAGAAGAACGTTACAACTGAGGAGTCCATGTAAGAATACCCATAGCTTTTTATTTCTTTTTCATTCCATCTTTCTTGTTGTAATCAATTAATCGGAAAGCGAATGTAACTTTGTGTCCTCTATGGCAAGATGAAATCCATGGCTCTTTCTTCTCTTTACCTCAGGAGAAAGGGGCTAAATCATGTATATTACTTAAGCTATGCACCACATTTGGCTCGTCTGTTTCCATCTCTGAGCTTACCTACTTTTTTTCTCCTCAGTGCTCCATCCATGCGGCTGGCCTACAAAGATTTTGAGCAGCAGAGGAAAATCGAAGAGCAGAAGCTGAAAGGACTAGAGGGGAAAAAGAAGGAACAGGCTGAGAGACTGGGCATGGGTCTGGGCATGAGGAGGTAAGACAAATTGAGAGTGAGGGGGGGACAAACCTCTAGTAGATTTAAGATTTTTTTTTTTCCCATTTTAATGTGTCTCACTGTCATTTTTACTCTTTCTTGGCTCTTCTCTGTAGTGGAGTTTCTCACTCTGTGATGTCAGACATGCACACCATCCAGCAGGACAATCCAATTGGAGCAAAGACCACCAAAGGACGGCGATTTATTGATGAAGATGACGATGAAGGGTCCTTCAGCTCTAGGTCAGATAAAGTTGATGTTGATAATATATAAAGAAAATGAAATCTTGATACTGTGTTAATAATATTACAGGTTTTTTTTTCCTTTTGAGTGAGACAGAGACGGGTATAACAGTAAAGCTGTAAGAAATATCAGTAGTGAAGGTAGATGAGTTTAATAGTTGGAGTTGACTATCCAAAGTAGTGGACAGTTGATAAGAGAGGTGAAGAAGAGAGTGCAGGCAGGGTGGAGTGGATGGAGATAAGTCTCAGTAATGATTTGTGACACCAAGTGTGAAAGGGAATGTTTACCAAATGATAGTGAGACCTGCTTTGATGTGTGGTTTGGAGATGTTGGCACTGACAAAAAGCCAAGCTGAAGATGTCAAGGTCTTCATTGGGAGTGAGCAGGGTGGACACGATTAGAAATGAGTACATCACAGGGACAGTTCAGTTTGAAAAGTTTGGAGATAAAGTCAGAGAGGCAATGCTCAGATGATTTGGACATGTGGGTATATTGGACAAAGGGTGCTGACTATGGAGTTGCCAGGCAGGAAGAAAAAGAGGAAGATCAAAAAAGAGGTTTACAGATGTAGTGAAGGAGGACATGCAGGGGGTCGATGTGATAGGTCAGATAGATGTTTGTTTTTTCTTAAAAAAATTACTGATGCAGTTTGATTAAAACATATAATATTCTAAATTATCATAAATAAAACTGAGTATGGTACAAAAATATATATGGTGTGTGAAAAATGTAGTAGCTCTTAATGATTAACAGTTGGGGAAACCTGAAGTAGCATTTGTTGTGAACATCCGTAGCCTTTTTAAACAGGAGTAATTCTTCTTGGTGCTCTTGCACTCAAATATATCAGTTATAGACGAATGAACAACTTGGCAAAGTTCATTCTTTCAATTCAGACTGTGTTGATATTGAACTATGTGTTGCAGAGCTCTTTGTTCTTTCTGTTTCTAATATTTCTTTATGTTCAGAGTCATTTTCAAGTTACAGGATTAATGTGGGATCTGTGAGCACTTCCCTGACACTGTAGCATGATGAATGGGAGTCTATAAATCTAACATTTGCATGCTAAACAATGTGCTGACTGTGTAAATTTGGGTATCTTAGTGTCAGCGTACTAGTAAAGTCCATTATCTCTCTTTTTGTTCCACCTTATATTGTTCTTGTTGGCTTCTTTCTTCAGGGTTCTGACTCGCTTTGAGGACCAAAGTGAAACCTCAGACAGTTTCTCTTCACGGTGGGGCGATGGAGATGATGGAAGAGGCTGGATGAAAGAGAGCAAGAAACCAGAGCCAGACTTTTTCTTGTCCTCCGCTATAACTTCATTTGATGACAGGTTGGTTGTTTAAACACAAAACTGAAGCTTTCTACATGTTTTTATGGTTAGGTTTAATGATTCAAAGCAAATTTTAGTTAAATACAACAATCAAAATTAACAGCAAATTAAGATAAGGGCTTTCTAGAATAAATCTGATTATGTTATCAAATAAAATAATCAGATTTATTCTATTTTATCAAATAAAATTACTAATTTACAGAAAGAAATTTTTTACACCTCAGCCGCAAAAGGCTGATGGGTGACATGCAATAACTCGAGAAGAAGGCAAAGTAGAACTTTCAAAATGATAGCATAAGTGCGTCTGCTAGCTGGCTGAGGTGTAGTGCTGGTGGTCATCAGTGTTTTTTAATTGTAGCTTAAGATACTTTTTACACAAAGGTAAGACTCTTCAGTCTTAAATATGTTTGGTGTAATTTAATTCAGCGTGTTCTTTTAAGATACACGAATTGTGCTTAAAGTACTTCTTCCTGTTGTCATATTATTATTTTTTTCTGTTGGTAACTGTTATCAGGCCCACAACCAGAAGGAAACCAGAAGCAGCAGCGCTCTCGGACACGGGAGAAGCTCGGAAAAAGTTTGGAGATGATGTAAAAGCCATCTCGTCTGATATGTACTTTGGAAAACAAGACAACTCTGAGGTATACAAGCACAACGTGGACACACATTCTAAACCGTGCTTTTCCTTTGATTTCATTTGGTGAATACTAGACTGGGAAATCACATTTAAAAACTGTCTGTATTTGTTCCTTGGAACTTGAGATAAGCCTGAACATTAGTTCCTGAAGGTCTTTAATTTAAATAGAGGTTCTTAAATGGTCAAACATAAAACTTGGTTGAAATTTTCAAAATTTTCTGTTGTTCAGTATGAAGCCAAAACCCGACTGGAGAGATTTTCTGCGAGTGCATCCATAAGTTCAGCCGATCTGTTTGATGATCCAAAGAAGCAGACTGGTAAGACATGACTGTCTCTTCTTTTCTTAGCGCTTGTATGTTGAGCCGCTCGGAGGAACATCTTAGTATGATTGTTTGTTTGTTTTTAATAAGATGCCCACTTGTGTGATTCTTTAAAGTTGGATTTAACAACCTGTTAACTGTGCACTTTTCTGATACATCTTCCAAACTCCAGGTAATTTTGTCAGTAATGAGTAGACAAACGCGCCACAAATTCAGCTGTGTTCTTAATTTTATTGGGGACTTCGGGTCACTGATTAATGCCGGTTGCTAAAACTGTATCATAAGAGAGAAACTGCACATGTTGGATGCTTGTTCCAGGCTTAGTTAGGTGGTGGTCACATTGAGAAGACAATCTTGGCCTATCCTACTTGGTGTTACACTGTTGGGTGGAATTTTAGGTGGAATGGAGGTTTTCCACCTAAAATTCCACCTGTCTGATGACCCTTGAATCTCTGCTAGAATAATTACATAATAAGTATTGAACTGTGATATAGGTTGTAATATAAAATATTATGCCCCTGAAATTATGAAAAGAAGTCTGACTTTTGAGTTTATTGTGAAGCTGTGCTGAAATTGTGAGTAATTTATCTCACATACACTGAAGTTTTGCACTAGCTCCAGAGTGATTAACCATACCGACTGTGCATACTGGTCGAACTGGTCTCAACCCTTGTACGTCAGAGGAAATCTAAATACCGTAAATTCTTTCATATGATCATGTGAAAAAGCAGGTTTCACAAGACTGAAAACATTAAATACACACTTACTGCTTCCACAGGCATTAAGAAGGTAAGTAGCCTCCAGGTGCTGCTAATCAAAGGCATTTGAGTAATTGATTTTGAGCAAGTGTGAACACCTCTGTGACAGCAGACGTTTTGTTTTCCTGTTCTGGAGCATTCGGGGTGAAAGATATCAGCAATGATCTTGAAGAAGCAATTGTGAGTGGAAGTCACTAGAAGGTCAGACCATTCAGGATTTGTAGCATTTTATTATTATTTTTAGTTTCTCTGTTTCTGACTCTACAGGCCTCAGCATGTTGGCATGTTAGATGTTAATGGTCATGACTGAACAAGTATAGTTTGTTTGGAAGGATTGCCAGTTTAGGATTGCAAAGTTGCATCTGAACAAACCACGAGACTTCTGGAACAATGTCCTTCATACAGATAAAACCCAAAGTAGGGATGTTTGTTTGGGGGGGCTTGCAGTCACAGAGACCCCCATGAATTCCTCTGTATACCAAAGTATTGTAGAGTCAAATGAGAGGCCATCTGTCCAAGAGATGAATCTTAAAAAAACTGGGTCATGCAGCAGGACGATGATCATATCACAGCATTGCTTTAACGAGCAGGCCAAAATTTCTCCACAACAATGTGAGAAACTTGTAAGATCATACAGGAAATGATTGCTTCAAGTTATTGCTGCTAAATGTGCTCAGCAGGCTACTGTACTTTGTTTTACACAGGACTGCAGAGAGTCTCCTGAAAACTGTCTTTTTCACATGACTGTACATGCGAGTGGCTTCTCCACGAGTCCTCGAGCTTTTTGTCTCTCTGTCTGCTTGACTTTTTGCCTCGTGTCCACAGCGAGTTCGTACCGTCTGAGCAACGTACTCCCCAGCGCTCCCGACATGTCGCAGCTCAAACATGGAGTGCGCTCAGTTGCAGGAAAACTTTCAGTCATGGCCAGCGGCGTAGTTAGCTCAATTCAGGTCAGTCAGATATATTCCAGCGTATGATAGAAGTTCATCAATAATGACGACTTCTCATGGTGCTTTTTTAATTTCCTTTTTTCAGGATCACTACAGTTCCTAAGTGAACATGTCGGATTCACCGTCCATAGGTATCTTCTGTTTGCCAGTTAGATGACATTTCTAGTGGGTGCTCATCGTGGGAGAGTTGGGAGGAAAATATAAATCAATGCTATGAGCAAGTCTGCAGAATGTACTTGTATATTGTATATCTATATCTAGTTTTTTATTAGATGATGTATATACATAGTCGTAGTCTTTGGGATCAAATCAAGATGAGCAGAGCACAATATTTTTCGGTGGAATTATTTTCCCCCTGCAAACACCTTGAAGGAAGATATTTGTGTACATACAGCTATGAAGAATATTCAGCCTGCATTATGTTAAGTTTGCTTTGAGCTTCGGGGTTTTACATATATAGAAATGCTGTATGTAGCAGTCTGAGGAGCTAGGAGGGCTATCCGTTTGATTCCTTTACCTCCGTAAGTACTTAATTCAGTAACTCACTCATCACGTGCACTTTGTAGTGTTGTTTTTGTGCTTTTTGTTTTTTTGTGCCCCTTCATGCAGGGTTGAAAGTGTCCTTTCTGTCCCCAAAGTGCACTTACATTTGCTCTTCCAAAGGCAGGACCAAAAGCTGATTTAAAACAGAGGCCTTGGGGCAACAGATATACTTTTAGTAAGAGTACTGTAAGTTATGTAAACTGATGCGTCACTAGCACATAAGTGTCATTATCCTGTGAGTCGCAATTTGTTGTTGTTGTTGTTGTTGTTTTGGAAGTCATGCAGAAATGCTTATAAAAAAGGAATGTGATATGTCAAAGTTTTAAGGAGTAAAAAAACAATTATTATAAGATATAAATATTTCTTTAAAACAACAAATGAGCTTCGTAAAAGCTCCAGTTGCATAGAATTAGATGCTATGAAGAATTCAGTCATCATTTTAAGAAGTAATTTTTGTTAGATTATTGTTTTTTTTAATGTTCTTGAAATAAATGCCTAATCATCTTGGTAAATCTCTAAATTGTACACTTAGTATGGCCCTTGGATCGCCTCTATAAAACTTGAAGGATTTCTTGATGTGCTGAGACCTTTTATGTAGCTTTCAGGCCTCGTTTCCACTTTAAAAGAACAATGTGAATGATCCCTTTAAAACCATCAGTTATTTTTTTCTGTTACTTTAACTGCCATCATAAAAGGTTTTAACTTTATATATGCTATTGTTTCTAAACACAGTAGAACTACAGGCAGTGCTTGAGTTAGATTTGATATCTGTTCAGAGTAAAGCTTGCGCTTTTGCCTTTTTTTCTGTCCTTTATCATTGTGCAAAGTTAAAGGGACTAATTAAAGCCCGGACTCCGTCATAATAGTACAGACTAATTTCTGAGAAGCTGGAACATCCCAGGAGTTTGATTTGACATGTTCAAATATGAAACACTAAAGAGGTTCTTAAATGGTCAAATATATTTTTGTTTTTTGGGTTTTGTTTTTTAATTCCCATCAGTAAATGCCCTAGTCCGGAGATCTTTGATTTACACACCTTCTTGTTGTCTCAATCTAGGTATCTTTTGCACATGTGTTGGAAATTGTGTGTAACAGCTTTTACTTGGGGGCAAAAACTAGAGTGCAACCAAGTCGGCATATATGTTTTGTAAGATTGTGTCTCTGCCGTTCTATATTGTTACATGTAGGAGCTTGTATAAGCTGCATGGCCCTTGTAGCCCTCAAAATAAATATGTCAACACATCCTGAATATGAGATGGATTAAGAAACTTGTTTATTAAAACTCTAGTCCGCTGTGAACTGCTACATACAATCTTGTATAGGGGTTTTTCATTAATGAAAAAACTTACAGATAGATTTTGACCATTTTTGACACTCAAAATGTAAGTACGACTTTTGGGAATATGCCAAATAAAATAAATAAATGGTTTGTGCTTAAACTTTTACTGTCTTCATTATTTGTGTAAATGTGTCCGTGGTCCGTGTGCCTGCAAACTTTTTTTTTTTTTTTTTTTTTTTTTTTTTTTTTTTAGATTTAAGTGGGATTTGTTTTTTCTTTTTAAGACTTCTTATTCACAGTACTGTGCAAAACTCTTAAACATCCAAGAACCCAGCCTGAATCTTTGAAAATGCCAATGACAGCACAGTTTGACAGGCATAAAATATTTTTGCATTAACAAGATGATTCTCAAAGAGCTATTGGCAGAAAACCTTTATCATCAGGGTGAGTAGTGTGCCCTAAAAAAACTGGAGGACCTGAGAGATGCATCTGGCCCTTCTATTGTCCCACCCACTCAATTTTCCCTTACCTACTGTACTTCCGTATCTTTTGTAAATTTCAGTGTTTCATGCAATTGATGCATTCATTTCCAATTTTTCTCTATAAAAATATAAAAGACTAAAGGGTGGCTCAAGACCTTTGCGTGTTTTTATTGGGCAAATATCACTTCGTTAAAAGTCAATAGTATAAACCAGATAAAAGCAGCAGTTCTCGCTTTAAAAAGCTGAAACGTGATCTCGTCTTTTTGATAAATATCTTAAATAATCAGTGAAAATTTAAAATTATATCAGTAAAGTTCTCTTCCGCATCGGACAGTCTATCAAATGTTGATCTACTTCTGCAGACATTAATCCACTTTGCCCAATTTCAGAGCAAATTCTGGCAACCGCTTACGTGGCCGGTTGTTGCGTTGATAGTCGTGCGGTCATTGTCGGAAATTTGATGCAAAATCAAACAACACTGCTAAACCTGGCGAAAAGTTGCTTAATTTAAAGGTTTCATCACGAACAAATAATCAGTTACTGGAGTAAAATGTTTCTCTTTGTGTTTATAGCATTTAAACAACTAAAAGCGTTGGTGCTTTTAACTAGTTAAACATTACAGTATTAATATTTACGAGCTTACGAAGCACCCCTTGAAGGTCGCATTTTTCCAAGGAACAGGGGTAAAGAAAAAGTCCTTTTAAAGCGCCAACACACGCACACTCAGTCCGTTATTTTTTGCGTTTTTGAAGTTGATTTCTACATTATGAACTTCTCTCTAAAACAGGAGTCTTGTTTTTCTGTGCAAGGTAACAAACTCTGGTAAGCCCGTTTAACTCTCTAAATAGGCTATAAAAAGATAACCAGCGGTTTATTACTGCGCTAAAATGCCTACTGAACTAAAGCAGAGGAGGAAGACGCAGGCACAGAAGCAAAGCGATGAACCATCAGAAGGCTCAAACGGGAAAGAAGAAACGCAGAAAGTGAAGACTGAAGCAGGAGACAAGACAGGAGTGAACAAAACGTCCTCGGGCCTGGACATTAGAAGTGTAATGTGCTTGTTGTCGCTCGCAGCTTGCGGGGCTCTGAGCTGGTAAGTCCACATATTAGTATTAACGCTTTCTTCAGAACTACAGAGGACTTCTCTCTGAAGGTTTTCTGACTTTCAGGTTGGTGCTGCAGCAGAATGAGAAGTTTTCCCAGATTGAGGAAAAATACAGATCTCTACACGGAAAAACTTCCAGTCTGTTCGACATGGAGGAGGAGATTGTCAGAGTTTCCAAAAAGGTACGTTTGATTGACTGTGGAGCAGATCCAACGTGTTTGGACCATGAATCTGCAAATTTTGATGGGTGTGAATGTCAAATACTTAGCGATCTTTAAATATTTAGCCCGACGATAAAGAGTGTAATTCCCCTAGAATTAAATCGATTTTAAGTGTATTTTACATGAAATTACGATGTAATTATGTATCTATAAATATTTACTGCTAGATACAGTAGGATAAGGGTGTAATAATGTTTTTAGGCAAGAAGAAATAATTATACTGTAAGTATCAGCGTAACTACTTTTAAGTAGTGCTAACTCCAGGTATTTCACAGGAAAGAAGAAATCATTGAGTTTTATGTCATTTTAAGTTGCGCCCAAGTAATTTTAAATAGCCCATAAGTAATTTTAAGTAGTTTATAGCTTGTATGTTAACATGTATTTTAGAGAAGATGTAATTAGAAGTTATTATACTGTAAGTACTATGTGTAGGTACGTTTAAGTAGGACAGCACTTCAGATATTTTACAGGAAATAATAACTTGGTTTTAAGTAATTTTAAGGTTTAAGGAAGTTATGCATTACTGAAAATTAGTTACAGTGTAATTATTTATTGGCTCCTGTAAAAACGTGAACTGTTGCCCCTTATTCTACTGTATCTAGTAGGTATTTGTAGGCAATTATTAATACTTTGGATAAAATAGATTTTATTTGAGCGGAACTGCTTTTTAACCACACACTGTATTATAAAACCCTACCTTTTTTTTTCACTGGACTCTATGGCTACCAGATGTTCTTTATTTCAACATAGAATTTAGTTCTTTGGGCAAAACAAATAAACTTAACAATGATTGTGTTGTATTGGGTTGCTTAAGGAAAGCTGTGAGACAAATATTCCAAAATCTGGACACATAAAATCCAATGTGTCTGTTCACCTAAATTCCATTTGAGATTATTGCATTTCAGCCCATTTGAATTTAAGTTTAGCAAAGAAAAAGTGTTTTCTTATTATATTTTATTTATTTTATATATATTTTGTTTAACCTCAAGGGAGGGGAAAACTATGGTTACATTTTTTGCAGAATTAAACTTGCTTAGTCTTTGCATTTCTTGAGAAATTCTGGGTTTTTTTTACTCACCTCAAACATATGCAACTAACTTTAAGCATCAAGTCAGAAAGGATGCTGCTATACCTTTTGTAAATTCCTATGTTTTAAAAACACCTTAAAACCTTCCAATATTACCCAAAGTCAATGACAGAGCAGAAACAACTGCTTTGATTTTTCTTTGTTTAAAAGATGTCACCTGAATTTGAACCAGGACCTGTATTCTCATGTGATACTGATTTGAACCACAAGATGGTGCAGCAAGCCTTTATTTACCAAAGCAAGTCATTAGGGGTGCATTGTTATTTACAATTATGGGCACTTCTGAAAACATGAAGTCCACCCAATGTCAAATACTGCCCCCTGGTGTTGAAAGATTTATATAACTACAGGGATAATTACAAAAAGTACCTTTAAGTTAAAGAAAGGGAGAAAAAAAACTATCTTCATGAATTTAATTCTTTTAAAGTTGAGTTATAAGTGCACCACTTTGTGTATTATATGAATACTGCGGATCATAGAGCTCCCACAGAAACAGCACTCCTGTTTTGTGTTGCGGCTGCAGCTTGCCGCCTCTGAGGGTGAGCTACAGGATGCGGTCTCCACCATCTCCCTGGTGACAAAACTCCAGCAGGACATCTCCACCCTCCATGCTGCTGTCACGACAATACAGGCTGATGAAAGCTCTGCCTCCCGTGATCTGGAGAAGGTCAACGCCCACTTCCTCAACGTGACCCAGACGTGGCAAGAGAGTCTGGCAGCCATCACCACCGATCTCACCTCACTCAAGGCCGAGTCCAGGGACACTCATGCAGGAGCCACAGAGCGGGTGAATGAAGCCGAGCGGAGAATCCGTTCACTGGCGGAGAGGCTGGAGGAGCTCAAGGACAGCACAAAGAGGAACGCCCGAGCTCTGGAGCGCACAGAGGAGGACGACGTCAAGCGAGCGCAGGATCAGCTGGATTGGAACACCAAGCAGATCCACAAGCTGGAGGAGCAGATCGGCATCCTGAACAAGAGGGAGGCCGAGCTAAGCTCTCAGCTCCAGGAGCACATTCCCCGTGCGAGGGCCTGCGAAGAGCATCTGCCGGAGGTAGAAGAGGCGGTGCGCTCCATCCTCAAACTGGGTGGAGATCTGAGCGGGATGGAGAAGAGGCTGGAGGAGGTGACCTTGCAGGTGTTCGGCACTGAGGACAGCATGCTGAAAGCAACAAATGAAATCCTCGAGATCAGACAGGAGCTGGACACCCTGCAGGCTCAAAACAGCATCATGAAGATGAAAAATGAGTTGTCCGTGGTTAAAGAGGCGGTCCGTGAACTCACCATGGTGTTGAGGGAAAGTGGGGTTGACAGCCAAATGAACTCTGACGCTCTGGAGGAAGTGGAATGGAATGAGGAGGAGGAAGAGTGGGAGAAAGATGAAGAGGATAAATTGACCGAGCCTTTTCTTGATGACCTCACGGAATGATGTCATTGTTGTTGTTTTTTTGTCCACTAGGAAAAATGAGTAGGAATGTCCTGTTTAACTGTAGGCTGTAAACCCCTTAAGTTGAGTTTAGTAGTATCTCTGTAAACTTTGTACCTCACTTTAATGTCAGAAAACTAGCCTGATGTCAACACGAGCTCATTAAAACACTGCACTGTATTACAGAAGTCGGATACATGTACCTTTGTGCACCATTTTATTAAATATGCCCGACTACTCTCAAGGTATCCATATGCACTGATATAGTTTTAAAGCATTAAATGTGCCAGTCTTTGTTCAGTCTTCTCTGTTTTTCTCTATTTTATTCAAATGTAAACTGGATATGTTTTAGGTTTTAAAGTTTTGATTGAGAACAAAGCAGTTTCATATCACCACCTTTGATGCAAGGTCGTCATTGTTGACCATTTTCTTTGCACGTTTTTGTTGTTTAAACAGCAAAAGATCCCCTGATCAGTTGGAAACAAGCAATAATGAACAGGGTCAATAAAATTTCTAAGTGTTAGATTAGATTTTAAACAGAAGAAGCTTTGCAAATATCAAGACAATCCACATATTTGAATGTCACGTTTCCATCTTGTTCTTGTGTCACCTGTTGTGTCACTAAGCTTATTTAATAAAAAAATCTTTTTTTTGTTTTTACAGAACAATGTCTGATTTGTTTTTTCCTCTCAGTGAATCGTCTTCTGTCCTGAGGTGTTTGGGTTTTTTTTTTCCATTGGGGAAAAAACATGTCCTGTACCACCTGTTTCAGTGTGAGAGCGTCCAGCTGATGCTAGAGAGTCTCGGGGGTCAGCGTGGGGCTCTGAAGTCTCAGCTGGAGGGTTTGGAGCAGGATGTAGCTCGGCTGAAGGAGTGGGCTACTGGCTTGACTGAGAAGAGGGCTCAGCTTCAGAGCAGCTTGACTTCACTGAGAGAAGCTGTGGGTCAGATCGAAGCACGGACATCGACCATCACAAAGGACTTTACCAGCAAGGTTATTGATGATGTTATTGATGTCACGCCTTTTCTTTTTCTAGAGTGCAAGTGTATGTGGGTAGAGATTAATCATATTGATAGCAACTCTGGTATCGGTATCTGATTAATACTAGACTAAATACTTACACAGTGCTGTGCAATAATGCAAAGGCCTTACAAAAAAAGCTTTCTTAGTGCTGTTTCAAACATTTCTTTTTTCCCTATGGCCATCTAGGTGTCGTCAGTGAGGACAGATGTGCGCAGGATGGATGGCCTGCACTCTGAGGTGGAGTCTCTGCTGACTCAGGTGGGCGAGCTTGAAGACGAGGCTGCTCGGGTGGAGCACAGCATGGTGAAACGCATCGGGGATGTGCTGGCCAGCAGCATCGATCGAGTTTCCAACCTCCGATCCGCATCTGAACGCAATTCTCAGGCCATAGAGCAGCTCCGCAGACGCATCCCTGAACTCGCCAGCGCCGACGAGCAGATCTCGGAGCGCTTGGTGGAGCTAGAGAGCGGCCGGGCCCGCGTGATAAGAACGGTGACCTTTGCCAGCGACCTTAAACCAAAGGTGGCTAATATTAGGAGAGACTTTGGCGCGTTTGAGCCCCAGTTGTCAGACCTGACTCTTCGGATAGGACGATTAGCAAAAGATCTCATGGAAAGAGAGAGAGAGATCGCTGAGCTTCGACAGACATTAAGCAACCTCACTGCAGTCGAGGGAGATTTGAGCGTCACAAGTAAACAGGTCAACGAGATAGCTGATATAACAGACATTGGAGAGATACACAAGCCAACATGAAAAACAAACCGACACCGGCTTCAATTCATCGATTTAACCCGATTACCTGTCATACTGCTGTTTTAGAACAAGAACAAATACTGAAATAAATCTGTTTTTTATTACGAATAAAACAAATGTGAGCATCTGAACACCCTTGAAGCAATCACTATGATCTGAGGCTGTCAGCTTTTCTAAATGGCGTAATATGATCTGGACCTCGAGGATGAAGATTTGATCGCTTTATTGTTTTTCTTTGCCTGGCTCCATCTAAATGTGTCAGTTTCATTACTTACCAAGTCAAGAATCCCCAGTAAAACAAATACAACTGCATGAAAAGTTTGCTGGTTTTGCCCCCCACAAGAAGTTTCACTTGCACAACTCTCTTTTTTACCTGCACAATTCTCTCATACATTTCCATCGGGTTTCATGCCATGTGCGATGGCTTCTCCTCCTCCTTCTATAATCTCCCTGATATTCAGTATGGGCCACATAATACTAGCTTTAGGGGATACAGTAGCTTGACATTTTGAGGAATGTGCCTATTCGCGTTCCAGCAGAGCTCTGCAGAATCTCTCTCGTGTCTCCAGGGTATATGTGAATTACTGAGTTATAGCTCCAGTTATTGGTTCTGACCAGCCCTGTCACCGATTGCAAGTAGCCACGACAATAAAACCACCTGCCACATATTGTTTGGATCCCCCTCTTCAAACCAGAAAAGCTCTGACTTGTCAAAGCTGGACAAAGGACCTCAGTGGGACCCCTGGCTCCAGTGACCTGCAGGGTGCTTGTTCGGTTTATCTCACAGATGCTCGATCGGTTAAAGTTCTGTGGAAATCGGAGGCCTTAGAAGCTGTGTCATTCTTCTCTATTCATTTATTGCGCTTCCTCTTTATAGTTTTAACTGTCAATTAACTAATAATTACTGCAGTTTTTAATCCTCTCCAGTCCAGCCTCCCATTAAAGTCAAAGTGCTATATTATGATTTTGGACTTGCTTCACACCCCCTCGGTTCATCCTTTGAAATAAGCCATTTTAGATCCCTTTCTTTTTCCCTTTAACCCACCAACATCGGGTTTAAGTGAATTAGCTACCCTAACTGACATGATGCAAAGCCAGTAAATAAGGAAAGGATTGAACTGTTAATCAACCACTTTCATGGCTTATTCTGTAGTAGTATAAGTGATGCAGATATCCCAATGTACAAGAATTTGGTGTGAGTACTGCACTACTAGTGTCTTATGAATGCCAGAAAAAAAGGTTTTCCAACTTAAAAAGATTTTATAAAGCGATGATCTTTCAGTGCCAATGGTTTTAATGTTGTGTCTGATTAGTTTGGCAGTCCATGACCCTTTTTTAATGTTTGGATAATATCTTACTGACATCACTCCCCACGCATCAGTTCTTCTTACAGCTTTTACTTAACACATTGTCCTAAATCGTCTTACCTTTACCATTAAAGTGCTACAGACTTGGAAATCCAGTTTGTCACTAGAGATATGCAGTACATGAGTGTTTCCTGATGTACTCTCTAGATTACTTAAATAGTTTATTGATGTCCAAATGCCTTAAACCAAAACAGATAGCTTTGAAGTATTCCAATGAAGTGGTCACCCAACCACAGCTTTAGCTGTTGCTGAAGGAAGCGCCTTCCTATGGAACACTTGGTAAAGAGGCAAAACTATTTTTCACTTGTATAAAGAGTTCAGCATCTGGTATTTATTCATTAAGAGGTGAAAAATCGTTGCCTGGACTCCACAGCCTTGTTACATATTATTAATAACACGATGCTGAAGTTATAAATAATGTAGCGAAGACGGATTATGATTTTTCCCCTCTCCCCATCAGCCACTGGGTAAATCATGTCTCTTATTTTTTCATTCCCGCCCTTCCTGTCAATACATTACCCATGATGTAATGAACCAAAGTAAGAAATCATTTTATCACGTAGTTCACACCCAGAAATAATTCTTCACAATTTTGAGTTAACAAGGTTTTTTTTAATTCTTAAAAAACAAAAAAAACAAAGTGAATAAAAACGGGGTGCTCAAAATGAGCTCATTGATCCACTAGAAAGATTAAAAAACAGCCAACTGGCACAAAAACGGTGAGTTTGAAAAAAAGAAAAAAATAGAAAAGTACAGTGCAGAATGAGTGTGGATTCACAGATGAGCAGTCCGTCTCTGCCTCTCTCACTCCTGCTCTAACTGTCCTCATGTTCTTTTCTAGTGTGCAACTTCATGGCATCAACCATCAACTCTGAAAAACCTTTCTTTTTAAAACTAGGAAAAGCTTGTCACCCGTTTGGATTCATTATTGACCCTGTTGTTGCATGTTTTGACATCCCGATGGGACATTGCTAACTACTCCTCCGTGATGTCGGGCTGTTCAGACAGGCCTGCCAGTGACTCTGTGGTCTTCTGCAGGGCTTGCTGCAGGGCAGCGATAGCCTGATCGTGGCCTTCTAGCTTGGCTGCTTTGCCTTCCAAACCAGCTACCATGTCTCTTAAGTTCTCCAGCTGCTCGGGCTTCATCCTGCTGCTGTTGTCCTCCAAAGCAGCGAGCCTCCTCTCCAGGTCCTCCACCTGCTCACCCAGGCTGGAGTCTGCTGAAGGTAACTCTGTCTTGTCTCCTTCTAGAGCAGCTATACTAGACTGGAGATCCTCCAAACTGCTCTTCACTGCCTCCAGTTCTTGCTCCAAATTAGTTTTAATGTCCTCCACAGTTTTCCCCTGTGCAGCCAGACTGCTCTCATGTGCATCATGCTTGTCAAGCAGCGATTGTACTTTGGAGTTGATGTCTGACACTGAGGCAGACATTGAAACTACGTTCTCCTCCGATGCTTTGACTCTGGCTGCAAGGTCATCAGTTCTCAGCAGGGCCTGAGTAGCTGCTTCATTCACTTGCTCCTCCACATTACGAACAGCATCGGCAAACTGCTCCATGCCACTCTCTAGCATCACAGCCTTGTCCTTCAGAGCCTGAAGCGAAGCCTCGGTTGAAGACAGAGACTCCCTCAGATTCCCAGTGGTGTCTTGCATCACTTTCCTCACTGTCTCAATTTCCTGAGACACTGAGGCCACCTCTCGGTTGCGAGTCTGGAGCTCTTCCCTCACTGCACTGATCTGCTGTCTGAGGGAATCACCTGACGAGTCAGCTGCATCTTTGGCTGTTTTAATTTCAGCTACAGCATCAACAATGGCCGACAGCTCTTGTTTGATGAGAGCGGGGTCTTCGATGTCACCCAGGCGGGCTTTAAGATCAGCCAGCTGGCTCTGCGCCTCACTCTGAGCTTCAGTGAACTCTGCAACGCTGGCTTTAATGGACTGGCTGGCCTCAGCTAAGCGCTCCTCAATAGTCTTCTCCAGAGAGGAGAAGTCTTTCTCTCGAGCCTCCTTCACGTCATTGATACCCTCTGAAAGGTCCCTGAGTAGATCATTCTGGAGCCTCTGAAGGGCCTCCTCCACTCTCCTCGTCTCCACCTCGGCTCTCTTCATTCGACTGATGGCCCCCTCCATCTCCACCCGTGTGATCCCCAGAGATGACTCCAGTCCATCCACAACACCCCTCAGAGACTCCACCTTTATAAAGAACATTGGAAACACAAAGACAAATTTTACTCACACTATTTTCTCGCATTTAGATGTTGTTAGATTTCACAGTCTACAGCCGTGCAAATGAAGCTCAAATTCAAAGTATAAAAATGAAATCTCTACAAGGTTGAAAAGATGGTGCAGGAATTTTTCAGTTTCTCAGTATTGTTATTCCTTGAACTGTATCGGAGCTTCACAGTGTAAGATAATCTTATACTGGGGCTCAGTGCAGTCCCTTGCTTCTAAAGGCCACACATCCTTTTTACACAGTTTGCTTCTGATTTATCAATCCTAGCAAACAGAAGGTTTGCAGTGGGCTGCTTTTATGTGCCTGAGATGAATCCTGTCTCCTCTCTCTTTTTGGTATCATTCAGATCAAGCACAAGAAGAAATGATATATGAAACAAGCCTTTTACGGAGTCTCAGTCTCCACTTTAACAGCCTAGATATGAATTTGAATTTTTTAGCAGGGCTGATTTCTGGAAAAGATATTGCCACCTCATGTTCTTTGTGAAGCAAGAGAAAGCTGAATCTCTGCATTAATGACTGACCTTGTGAATCCATCCTAATCTGCCTTGTCCAGCTTTGCAATCAGAAACGACTTGTTCTCATTCAAAGAAACCCGCGATAAAGAAATTCATAATACTGTAGATGACGTATTATTGAGTGGGTCTGAAATTTTATTACCCACTCACATTTTAGAGCTCACAAACACAGACTCCTAGAGTACATGAAGTAAAACCACATTATCCACGTCTATATACGTGCATACGCGTTTATTATAAGGCGATGCTTCCTTTTAGAGTTCTGGAAAATACCTGGATAAAAGAAAAGTGGCGTTTAGAAGTTCTATCCATTGATTCGTATTCTTTCCTACCTACCTGTTGAACGACACTTTCCACTTTGCCGCTCAGTTCTGCGCTTTGCCGTGCGCTCTCCTCGTGTTTTGCGCTCGTCTGGCGGATTTCATCCAGCGCTTGCTGTACGTGAAAAGCAGCGAACCCTGCAGCACCTATTAACGCCACATAAAACACCGTGGTCACAAGAAGACTCAGGCAGCTGCCTGGCCGTGGCGACCCCTGAGGTCCGGGGGCACTCGCTCCGTTGTGGCTGCTCTTTTGGGTTTTCTTCGGCGCATCTTCTTGGCTGGATGCGGCGCTCTTGTCGCTATTCTTTGGCTTTTTCGCAGTCATGGTTAGCGGGAGCTTTGAGACGTGTGTGAGAGAGAGGGCTGCTAGTTTTGCAGTCGTGGATGGAGAGGCTTTTCAGTCCAGTCCCACTGACTGGACCAGCAGCGTATCAGTGAGCGCTTCGTGTCTTTCCCCGGGGGGGCTTTTGCGCTGAGGTATGCGGATGGGGGTTGTCCCATGCCCAACTCCAGGCTCTGAATGGGTCTTGTCCGGTGACATAAAACACTAGGAAGCAATGAATGATTAGTGGGCTGCTGCACTTATAGTAAATTTTTATATTAGGCATGTTTTTATCTTTGCATCACGTGTGATAATCGCATAAAGACAGATTTATATAGGTGTGTCATACTCTCATCATTTGCAGAAAAACTGTGACTTTTTAATAACGTGAAGGGGAGAGAAGAAGAAAAGATTTATCAAAGTGTCAGTCGGTGTGCCATCCACACACTTTTGTCTCTATTATTCTTACAAATTTCCCCTAATGCTGTTTTTTTTTCTTTCTTTCTGCTGATGCAAACTTTCTGCACACAGTTCAGTGAAGCAGCGCAGCGCAGGGAGGGGCACTTTCTGCCCTTCCAGTTTGCTCCTCCTTTCATACGTGGCAGCTGAAGTTTTGGCACGGCAGCAAATCACGTACTGTACACGTTCGCGCAGAGAAGAGACATCAGAAAAGTCACAGAGTCCGTGTGCAAATGTCAAAGTCAGTAAACGCATTATAAAGGTGAATAAATCACCAACAGTTCAGTGGTCTTAGTGATCTTTGTGGCATCGTTAAGTACTCATTCATGGTATATATTTTAATAATGTTGTCATTTTATTCTTTAGGGCTTTTTAATCTGCATCTTTACTGATAGACTTTTATTTTATTTCTGGATTTTGTTCTTTAAACCACATAACGAAAACGTTCTGAGACAGAATATTAGTAATTTTCTGCCCCCTTTCTTAAAAAAAGACGTAAAAAACGACGAAATGGTCACATTCTCGGTTTGAACACTAGATGTCGCTAAGAGAGCGTTTAAAGTCAAAACCAGAACAAGCATTGTTCTATACATGAGAGCATTGCATGTGCAGAACACTGATGAAATTATTGACGTTCGAATTAAATTAAATTAAATTAAATTAAATTAAATTAAATTAAATTAAATTAAATTAAATTAAATTAAATTAAATTAAATTAAATTAAATGCAACTGTCTATGTTTCCCTAAATCTTTTATTCAGCAGAGATGTGCAACATAACAATTTTGCATATAGAAAAGTACAAAAGAATTGCCAATAAAAGGAAGGAAAATGGAAATACTAAGTCAGAAGATGATAAAAATGTTAGCATGTATATGTGGAAAAAAACTATAAACTTAAAAAGTGGAATGAGTTACTGCCCTGTTTTATTCCAGAGGGAGAGCTTATAAGTGATCCAATTCACACCTTGATTTGTTCCTTCAAAATGTACTGAATAATAATTGTGTATTAAACTCAAATGTGCAACAAGTGTAGACTATTAAGAGAGTTAAAATAAGTCAGTGTTACCTTTTGCATTGGCATTGTCTTCTTTTTGCATTTTATGTTTTGTTTCGTGATGCTTAAATGTTTTCAGTTATTTAGAGCTGTGGACTGCAGGCAGGCCAGTTCGGCACTTTCAACCCTCTACTTCTACTACAAAGCAATGCTGTTTAATGGTCTGACGTTTTTAATTATGAAGTTAAAAAAGAAAGAAAGTTAATAATAGTGACAATGATATTTCGTCATCCAGAGGACCCAATAGTGCCTGTATAGCTGGTTGAAAAGTTTTGTAGCTGTCTTTTAAATATGAGTATAAATAGCTAAATTCAATCAGTGGACAGATGTTACGTGGTATAAATTATGCAAAATGAGGAAAAGATTAATTTATCACGAAAATCTTCATTTCATTTAAAAAGTTTTTAAACTTTTTTTTAAGTAATTTGATAAATGTCTTCATTTATATCTTCGACGTTAATTGAAAAAAAAAGAAGGAAATTGAATAAATAAATAAATGGATAAACCACTTTCATTAAAATTAATTTTTAATTTTAAAGATATGAATTGAAATTACATCTTCCTTAAAATAGATCACGCCTTTAAAAATCCTGAAAGAAAAAAACAGAATAAAAACGAAATTAAAAGATGAGACTTGTTTGTTTTATAAAAACCATCGTAAAATAGATTTTCAGAATAAAGTAAGTTACATTTTTAGAACATGTAGATATGACAATGAAAGTACGTCCAAAACGTTTATTAATCGAGACTGAAGTGTTGGCTTGATCAGCATATACTTTTAATATAGTTTAGCAAGCCCCATTTTAGATGAAATGATAAAATCATAAAGAAGACATGTTTATATACTGTAAAACGTTACCACTTGTAACACTGGCACTTACCCGGCTGTGGGTAATGGGAATTTCCTAGCAGACTATGAACCCCGCATTAGTCCCCGCCCAGACGCCGTGACAGCAGACGCCGCTCCGTCCAGGTGTACGGTGTGAGGTATTGCAGTGATCCGGACCGTTTCAGACCTCTGTCGGTATATTTGCGTGAAATGGCCTAACGCGATATGCTTTGTCTCCGAGCTTGTCTGTCACTCGGACGTCCGAAATGCCGTCTCTCCGCCCATCTCGCCCCTCGTCTCCCAGAGAATAAAGCGGGAACACCGCTAACATGAACGCGGGCGAAGGGATCAGGCTGTGAGCTGTGAGTTTAAACCTCGAGTGGGAAAAGCTAGCGGTTTGGCTAGCCAGCTAGCTGTGACACCCGGCGGCGGAGGCTCGGATATCGGATTTGCGCAACCATGGCGGGGCTCATCAAGAAGCAGATCCTGAAGCATCTCTCCAGGTCAGTGATGAGTTGAGGTTAACGCTAGCAGACAGGGAGTGGAAATAAAGCGACGACGAATGGATCAAGCTGTCACAGGCGTTAGCTAGCACCCACAAAAACCTCACTTTAATGAGTTTATGCTTGCCGCACATAGATGAAGGGTGTCCTGTAATTTAACACGTCCCTCCTTTGACTGTCACTGTGCGTTTTTGAGTTGGTAACCCTCACAGGACCTGAGACGTGGCTACCCAGCTAAGTGTGCTAGCACCACGCGAGCTGCTAATCCTCCAGACACTTGCTAAGTCGGGTTGAACCAGTTGTGTAGTTGAGTCAGATTGTTAAAATCAACAATCTCAGCGTTCACCTCAAGGTAGCTTAACCTTCAGCAACTGCCTAGCAGGTAGCTAGTGGGCATACAGTCAATATAGTAATGGGAAGACAGGTGCAAGGTACAGGTTTGTTTACATGGGTTTAAACCCCTTTTATCTGGCACTTTTCGCCTTTGTGTTCCCCTATCAGGCATCATACTTGGTGTACATGGAGCCTCAACGTCCTATTATTCAAGATAAGGTCATTTAGAAAGTGAAATATATTGTCCTGCCCCCTAACTCAATATATTTAACAGCATTTTGCGTCACTGTTAAACACCCCACCATATTATATCTATGTTGCCCTTTAATGCCTCTCCAAACGTCATGGAATAGTAATGATGTAGTAGCGTTCAGCTGTCATATTTCTAATCCAGATCACTGATGAGTAAGTCATGAAAAGCCTACAAGCATGCAGGTGGACTGGTGCTTGGAAAGAAAGAAAAAAGCAGTGAGGTGATTGTCCTCACTGATAAAAACCTTTGTTGAAACTGTGAGGAATTTGTCACCCTGTGGATTATATCAGCATTTGTTATTGCTGTGCCCTTGATGTTCTTGCACAGTGCTGCAGTTAAAAATTAAAATGATCTGCTGCAAACCACTTATTAGTGGCACGTCCTTCAGCATCCTCATACGTGGTGTTGTGTTGAGATAAGAGCATGTACATATGACTGTGCATGCTGTCAGCAAAAAAATAGCATCTACTTTGACAGGAAATGACTGGAGGAGGCGTGATGTCATCTGTCTTTTTGCTTGCCGTCCCTTTTTTTTTTTTGTCCTGGCCTGATTGGTCTGTTTCTGAGCGGAAGAAGACAGTCGACCAGTCCTGCATCTTTCAATTAGGTGATGTCATGATCGAGGTGCTGGTGTCAGAATACCAGAGCAGGGTGGCCCTAAATGCTCTACTGCACGAGTTTGGCCACAGCAGGCTGTGATTCTGCATAGATTCTCTCTGCTTTATCACAATCATTATCTGTGTGCTTACAGCTGCAGTTTATGTTGTGGGTGTCAACAGCTTAACTGTTGCAGAGGACATTCCTCTCTCAAATACTGTCTGTGACTAGGACTGTCACAGTGAGCCAGCATCACATCTTCACAGTTCACTGATCAAGACGTCTGCAATGACCGTTTCCCCCTCTGGGCAGGACAAGTGCACTGAGGCATGCATGACATATTAAACTAGTTGAAAGAGCCCCGTTTCCACGATGTGATCTGTTAGAAGAAGCTTTGTGTTTTACTTTTCATGCCCAAGAATGAGTTTGTGAATGCTGAGAGAGCACTGGCTGAGCTGCTGGCCTCAATGTTTTGCCCTAATGTGAAAGTGTTTAGTCGATAAAGTGTTTCGCAGAAGGTCGAACTCAGGTAGTCCCCGGGGGGTGAGTTAACAACAAGGTGTTTGCTTGTCTGCGTTACGGACTGCTTTGGATATCGACACGACACTGGCTCAGAGCCGGACGCGGCGAGATCCAGTTACACACACAAAAACAGATGTAGCGACGCTATGTTTCTCCTGAAAGAGGCTGTCTCAATGAGGTGAAAGGTCACACTCTCATATAAAGGAATATTACGGAGCTGGGAAAGGAGCTTAATTACAGGTGTTCCAGTTAATGAATGAGCACTCATTTCCTTATTTCTTGTCTTCCTCCTTTTGTTGCTTCTTCATTTCTTAGCACATGTGATTCTTTTAACCCTTTTGTGGCCCTTTTAAAATGTCCTCACTTTCTTCACTTTTCTACCTTTAGTCTCTTAATCTGATTCTGACTGTTGTCATTATTAGTTTATTGTCCTCAGTATACAAATAAATATCCAAGAATAGCAAAAAAACAGGCAAGAGAATATACCAGAACTCAAGGTTTTGTTTTTGTCTGTCCAGCTATCAAAAAATGTCAGTGATTTCTTTGTTTCCATGTCTTGAATTCAGTCCTCCTCAAAGAAGCATACGATTTGACACGTTAAACAACTTTTTATGTATTTTTTTGCTGTGTTTTGACCTCTTTCTTTCATAACGTCATTATGACTGAGTTAAATGGATGCTTATGAATTTCATAGGGCCGTCATATAGCACTACCACTAATTGTAAGTAGAGATGGAACGATACCACTTTTTTATGTCCGATACGATATCATAAATTTGGATATCTGCCGATACCGATATGAATCCGATATAGTGTTTTGAGGTTGAGTTGAGTCTGTGCTTTCTCATCGTTGGAGTTTTAGTGGCCATTGCAGTGGGAGAAATGGATTCATTTCTTCTGTGTTTATCATCACGAGTATCTTCCCATCCTCTGCTGTAGCTGTGTAATAATGCACCATAGTGATGCACTCCACTATTCCCTCTGCTGGTGGGAAGGCTATTATGGCCTGAGTCATGACTAAGTGCCTCGCTTTGGGTGTCTCATCAGTGTGTAGCTGTGAAGTGCTTAGTGTGTAGGTTGTGTTTGTGCAGCGAGTGCAATAGAGCGACATTTGGCCAGGGTCCCTCCAGGCCTTGGCATCCTCTGCTGCCCGTGACTGGGCTGGTGGATTGTTTTCTCCTTCACGCTAACCTTTTCGCTGCCTCCACGGGGCTGTAAATATTCCACAAAGACGTGCTGTGCCAACACATACTCGCCTAACTTTTTCAGGTTGCCTTCATTGTGTTGTGTTTGCGTGGAGGCGTTTAGTAGGAGTTTGTGTATGTGGGATTAAAGGGTCTACCTCCTGATGTCAAATTCAAAAAGGAAGAGCAGGCAAAAATTCCAGGCGTGCAATAAAAGTCCAACTGGTAGCATGCTTGAAGCTTTACTGGCAATATATACTCATCACCCAGTTTATTAGGCACACTTGCTAGTAAGGGGTGAGGCCCAAGGTGTTGCCATCAGAACTGCCTTAATTCTTTGTGGCATAGAGTCAACAAGGTGCTGGAAACATTCCTCAGAGATTTCGGTCCATGTTGTCATTAACGCGTCACACAGCTGCTGCTGATTTTTTTTGACTGTACATCCAAAGGTGCTGTTTTGGTTTGAGATCCTGGGGAGTGTGGAGCTCATTTTTGTACAGTGAAACTCACTGTCATTTTCATGAAACCAGTTTGAGATGAGCTGTGCTTTGTGATGTAGTCATAAAGGGAACAATACTCAGGTTGACTTTGCAGTTTGATTTGCACCAAGACCAGCCTGTCTGACGCAAACACAAACACCGCGTTCAAAGTCACTGACATCACCTTTATTCCCCATTCTGAAGCTCCTGTTTGAATTTCAGGAGGCCATCATGATCTTTTGCATGCCAAAGTGCAGTGAGTTGCTACCATGCGATTAGTTGATGTTAATCATGAGTTGAATTATAAAGTTTTTAATAAGTGTAAATATTAATCAAATATTGCAAATGAGTCCAAAATCGCTGAAGATTTATATAATAGGAGTGAAAACAAATGCAACTGCTTTTTTTTGTTTTAGCCTTTTTTTCTTGCCAAGTCGTTTACTTTCACTAAGCCAAAATCCACCCATCCATTTTCTTTCACTGAGGTCAAGTTGCGGTTTCAATTGGGAATCGAGAAACATGCCGAACGCTTCCTTCTCTGAGTACTTGCATGTCTTTTTGACAGTTGATCATTGCAAAACACTGACGTCAAACTCAAAGCAGTGCAGCTTTACTGTCTACATCATGTTTGCACACTGCAATAATGAGACACGTGCTAAAACCTCGCCGTCTAGCTGCCTTTGAACTAGAATCGGTAAAGAATTGATAAAGATTTTCCCCTTTAGATAATAATATCATTTTCCCTCTGTGGTTGCAGTGTAGCTGATTGAGCAGGGTATTTCACACAAAAATCACTCCAGCGATGTTTTCCAGTTCCTGTTGGGGAATCCCGAGACACTTGGAAAGCCAGTCTTTCCAGTAAGCTTTGAGTCTCCTCCCTCCCTACTGGAAAACCTACAAAGGAATGCACCAAGGAATCATTGTGATTAGATGCTTAAACCGCCTCATCTGTCTCCTTTTGACGCTCCCATCAGATCCATCATGATGTAGAAGCTCCTCATCCAATCCCTAATACTTAGTCAGGCCACCCCAAAACAACAAATATAACCAAATGCAGGACTGTAACAAAAGATTTTGATTATCAGATCATTAATTATTTATATTCTAGTAAATCAAATAGTAAATTTGGGCCATTTGTTGTTGTTTTTTAAAAAAAATGGTGATACTGTAAATTGCAGGTTATCATATCATATAGGTTGTCATTCAGCTAGCTAAGGATAAGTGACTGATGCCTAATGCTTAATCATTTTTCTTAACCTTTGCTATCAGAATTTTGTGACCCAGAACAGATCAAAGAAGACGATGAGATGTGACAGACCGTGGCTTGCAGCCTTCAGATACGGTTAATGAGTCCAAGCTTTAATCTTAGGCATGGCCTTAAAATTATATTTTCATACTCGATGACCTGGCTTTGTATGAAACATTAGGGAAGCTTTTTCATTAAGTCTGATTACTGCCCTTCTTTTAATAGTGCCAGCCGATGGCTTTGAGAAACACTTTAGTGTGATTTAATGTGTGACTTGTCAAATTATCCTAGCAAGTCACGTTCACCAGAAGCATCTTATTGTCCTAATTGGCCTCTAATTACATCCAGCACCTGGTGATCTGTTGAGGAATACTGACCCTAATGAAAGGCGTTATCAGTTCAGGAGGCTCAACCCGCTCTCCTGTTTACACTGAATGGGCCAGTGAAGGATTTAGAGGGCTATTTAAAGCTCACGTTCACATTTTTCTTGTTGAGCCAAGTAAAAATGTTGGAACTTCCCTTTCTCTTCCGGTAAACTGCAATTCTAGGTTGCACAGGAATGCCCTGAAGATGCCGCATGTGTTTCCTGTTTTATCCTCTTTCTGTTTGTCTCTTTGTTTCTCACTTTATGTCGCCGCAGTCTTTGTTGCTAAAAAAAACAAAAACAAAAATAGAGTTGGTAGTCCTCTGAGTCATTCTGGCTGTTTTGCCTCCTCTCTTTCTGGCACTGATGTCATCAGGGTGCGCCTCAAATGCATCGTCGGAGAGTAGGAAAAACCTGTATCCATCAACCAGATCCGCAGACATAAGCATACAGTGTGGCGGGCCAAATCTCTGCTCTTGGTTTGTGGTTGTGTGGGAAGTTGCAGGATCAGCGTACTGTTGGAGACGTCCTTAGCTGAGTTTGAGCAAAATGACTCACAAATGTTTATTAGCAGCAGGTGTTTACTGAACAGCCAAGTCATGCAGATGGAAAAAGAAGGATGAAAAATTGGTGATGCATGTTGCATAAACGTGAACCTTGAAGCAGAAGGTTAGATTAGCTTTGGGTAAGATTCTGAACGGCAGGAGAGAAGGAGACAGCAGCTCACTCCAAACACGACTACAGAGCAGAAACTACAAATGGAGCCGAGGGGTAGATGGTATAACAGTCACTGTAGTGCAGCCACTTTCATTTGATCACATTTTAATATAAAAAAAATAAAAAAAATTTAAACGCTTTAAGGTATTTAAAAGTGGCATCCTTCTTTGTGTATATTTTGGCATGACCCATTTGAAACTAATCGTTTCAAACTGGTTAAGTTTTGCAGGAATTAGCTCTGTGCTGAGTGGTTAATTTTGTCCTTTGGAGAGGCAGACACCCCCGCCTGCAGCCATTAGCCTGCTCTAATCTCTTTATGGGCCTGGATCTGGTCCGGTGAGCTGGAACCTGCTGACTGGAATAATGGCTGAGGTCTAGTGTGGAGAGATGAAAGAGAAAGATGACAGTGTGTGTGAACATAATACCCTCTACCTCTTGCTGTTGACTGGGATCTACCTGCTTAATTTAGCTTTAGTAGCCTTGATATTAGACAGCTGATTAACAGCCTTTTATTTGCTCACAGTAGTGATTTATTTATGGAGTTGAAGGAAGGCAAGAGGAAGCCCCGACTGAGGATGATATACCAGATAAGGTGCAAAGGAGGGAGGGGAAACTAGCTGGCTGATACTTGATCAGCAGCAGAAATGAATATTTCACTGGTCACAAGGCTAAGACGCTCCATCTCTCAGACACAAACTGTTTCTATGTGCATGCCCATGTGTGCAGTGAATTGTTTGTGTTTTGCTTGTAAGAGTTTTAATTAATTAATTTTTTGGACTCATTTTGCTGTGCCGAGGCTCAGTTTATGCTTCCGCAGCTGAATAATTTACACGGATGGCGAATACGAGAAGAATCCAGTGCTGCCAGGAGAAGGTGTTGGGTGTAAAGGAACTGGATTTGACTGAATTATTACAGACACGAGCTGCCAAATCACAAAGCAGTGACAGAGTGTCCTGATAGTCTGGGTCCAGACAGACCATCTGAACAGAAACAAAAACCTTTTGTCTTCTTATGACTATCCAGTTTCTTAATGGCTGCGTAATCATACAGCACCATTTCGGGAATGCTGAGAGTGCAAGTTTTTGAGCTCTTCGTGACTCTCATGAGCTCTCCGTGACTTTCTCTACCAATGTGACTTTAAGAAGTTGCTCTCAGGTTTTTAATTGACTCTTATACTTCTCATTAGGCTAACCTGATTTTGGTCTCTTGTTATATTTTTCAGCTTTTACTATTGTTTTGAAAAATTGATTCAAATTCACCAATCAGTTACCTGCTGATGCCGAACTCACACAATGGAAAACTGTAGTTTAAGAATGCACGCGACCAAAATGATTACAGCTTTGTCCAATTGAGCGAGCTTTGAAATCGCTCCTACAAAGACGGCAACATGGTCTGCGAACAAACGCAGCCAGTTGCCGTCTTTGAATGTACTTTGGTGTGTGAAGATGCCGAAAAAGCGGCAATAACATGGAGCAACTCTGCCATCAGTCTTTTAACAGTTTGAAACTGAATGAGGCTAAGTTGGCAATTACACGCAATCTATTTGCAATAAAACGAAGATAAACTAATGAAATGGTGAAAATGGCAAATCTCTTGGCATCTACTTACACAGAAAGTTTCACGTTAACTACTTGCATTCAAAGCAAGAACCTCATAGATTTGAAATGGCCATTTGTTCGCCAATCTGACTTGCTCAGATTGAGTCCAGCATCGTGCAAATCTCTATTTATAATTGAGATGGCAATGATTTCCAAACCAATCTGCCCGAGAGTAATTGCAGTTGGTCCAAGTTGGACCGTGGTCGTTTGGAGACAGGATCGCCTCTCACTAGGCGACCTGTGCAGTGGCCTCATGATTGAAAGCGGTTGCCCAGAGGTTAAGTTATAGTCACATATGAATCTACAACTCACAAGTTAGTCCACCCCTTCCTGCTATAATCAACCTTTCCTCAGGTTTTGCTGTGCTTCTTCATATGGTGTCACATATCTATGTCTTGAGCATAGACGTATGGATTGTGTTATTTTTTTTATTAGCTTGCTCTAAATTAGGAGGTGGGTATATCAAGATAAGTGTGTCCAGTGTTGGTTGGGTTTAGTGTTGACCTGATTTAATGGTAGCTTTGGCGTCCACGCCTAATGTTATTTCAGGATGGTCACCTCTGCTGACCTCACTAGAAAAGTACAAGTAAGTAAGCACTATGGTGGGTTGAAAAAGCAATAGATGTATTATTCTAGTGCTAAAGAGTTTCAATAATAAATAATTATTTTTTAACCTGATCCCAACCAGTAATATTATTTATATAAAATAACTATTAATAGGAGTCTGAGTTACAGTAATTCAAAGCAAAATGTATCAATATTTGTTTGTGAAATAGACAATAAATACAAAGATCAATCACACGATTTAGATCATGCTACAATAAAACTGCATGCCTGCATGTATCTTGACTTAACAGTGTTGATATACAAATGTTAGGATAACATGGTACTATTCAGTGGATCATGGCATTCTGGTAGAATCTATGCTCAGTTGGTTTACACTCAGTTAAATGTTTTTTGTTTTTTTAAATTTAATTATTTTCTGGTGTAACTGAGAAAGAAAATCTCTTTCTGGTGTCAGTTTGCTATTATTAAAGATGTTCCACATAGTAGTAACAATGATACCCCAAACTGTGGCGGACACTTCTATGGTCAGGTTTCATTTATTTATTGTTTTTTAGCATTTCAAATGAATATCAGGCTAGGATCTAATGCTTTTGTGGGGCTTTATCATGGTTTCACTGCATTCTTCAAATGTGATGCGGACCAAAATTGGGAATGTACAGGGAAGGCCGTGAAGCTCCGGACGGCAAAAGAAAGAATGTGAAATCAATAAAATCACAGTAGTGTTTAGAGGAGATTGTGCTGAATTGGTCTACGGAGATTTCTGCGTCAATGATCAACTCAGTGTACGGCTACTCTGCTAACTATTAACCAATACTCAAACTGTGAATGGAGGCAGAAAACACTTAGGTCATGGACAATCAAGTTTGTGTGATTAAGAGTCTTTACTTTGTGTAAAAGCAAACAGGGACTCACTGATTCAGCATATAGCATGGGACACTGGCAAATACTTATAAATGTGCACCTTATTTTATGAGACTGTGAGGCCTGGGTACACTTTGTCCAGTGTTAGTTACACATGTTACTGTGCTAGACTTACCCCTGCTCTTTTTCAGCATCTGTTTATGAGCTCAGTAGATTATCAGTAGATTGAGCAGTGTATAAGCGATACAAATACAGCTTCAATTAAGTAGAAAACACCTTTTCCAAACACTAGCTGTGGTTTTATGACGTATGTCTTTCCATTCCTGTTGCTGGAATGTTAAATTCAACAGCAGTCATAACCTTAAATTATGGGCTTTTAAACATTTTTTTAGTGTTTCTCAATATAATTTATTCTGTATTTAATATAACTGTTTTTTAAAACCACAAGTGTGTGTGTGTGTGTGTGTGTTGCAATCGACATCCAATACACCGTAAGCGCTACCCTTGGGATTTGCTTGGCTGGCCTGTCAGTTTGTTTACAGCCTGTTTCTATAAATATATCTGGACTCTTCTCGTCTGTGTCCCGTAGGTTTGCTAAGAACCTGTCGCCCGACAAAATCAACCTGAGCACGCTGAAAGGGGAGGGCCAGCTCACCAACCTGGAGCTCGATGAGGAGGTGCTCCAGAGCCTGCTGGACCTGCCCACCTGGCTGGCCATCAATCGTGTGGAATGCAACAAGGCTGCCATCAGGGTGAGACTCGGGGTTGTTCAATTTGTCACCTATTTACTGGAAATGATGACTTTTAGGGAAGAGCTTTGGCTTCAGATGGAAACAACCCTTACGCTTTTATAGAGAACATTAGGACTGGAAACACTGGGTTTAGGAAAATAGATTTGATTTGAGAAATGAGACATGGGTTATGATGCTGGTTCCAGTGGTGCTTTTTTAAGGAGTCATATTTAAATAGATGTGCAAAGCAGATTTTGCACTCAAGTCAAGGATACCTAGAATACTCCATAAACACACAATGTGTATATACAAACAGTGTGCCTTAAAAACATATCATACAAGTGCTGAAGGCACACTGGTAACTTCTAGTGACTTTTTGCACTACATAAGCACTCTCTGCTGGAGCTGTCTGACACTCCGATGCGGTCATGGTGATCAGCCAAGTATCATGACTGAGGGCAGCCTCTGACACACCCTGGAAACGGTGAATGCAGCTGTATAATTTTCTTCATGACTGGACTTTTATTCAGACCAAGGTCCATTTTCCACCTCTGCCTTCCCTCCCCCACCCGACTACCTTCCCCCCTTATCCTCAAAAAGCCGAACCGTCAGCTCATAGCATAATTTTTCAAGCCTTTTCTTCTTGTTTCGATTTGCTTTAAGGTTGCCACTTCGATGTCTGATCAGCTGTAAATGCAATGTACCATTGTTCCCTTGTCTTTACTTGTAAAAGTCCCGTCAGTTGGGGTCAGTGTAAGGGGAATATGATTTCTGAGTGAACAATGGAGCTGGTGAATTGAAACCTTCACTACAACCTTAACGTAGCTCGCTGGGTATTTTTGTGTTTGCTGTTAAACCGGCTTTTAAAATAAAACAGAAAGCAGAATCATATCTCACTTCCTCACTTGTTAGATCCCCATCTGTTCTTTGCATCTTCCTGTTACGGAGACAGTAAGCCTCACACATTCACCTCTTCCCTTTAAAAGGCCGCAATACACAAATTGGAGTAAAAAATAGGTTGCTTCATTGAATGGTCCTGTTGAGTAAAGTTACACAATCGATATCTAGACGGCCAAAGACTCATTTGTAACTTCACATACTGTAGTAGATGTTTCTGCCTCAGTAGTTTAAAAGATGAGCTAGAACCCCCTGATGTCTTTGAAAACCAGAAGGAAGGCAAATGAAATGGATTTAATTGAATTAGACGCACAAATCCCGAGTATTTCCCATTACTTGATTTATGACGTCTCCCAAAAAGGAGTCGCTCTGTGACAAAAAAAACCCCCTGAAACCGAACATAAGCATTTAATCTGTTTTGCTATATAATTTGACTTGAATCAGGAGGCTGCATGTCGAGGATTAATGACGCTCTGGAGATGAATGAATGAGCTGCCAGTCAGTGTATACTACTCATCGATTACATTTTTGTTCTTTCTACTCTGCTGGATTTGTACATCCTGTTGATTGACATTGCATTTTTCATTTCAGTGAACCAAAAATCCGAATAGGTGAGGTAAAGATTAGTTATGTGTAGCATGCAATGCTGCAAAGCTGACACGCTGCTCTACTTTCACCCACAGATACCATGGACCAAGTTGAAGACTCACCCAATCTCTTTGGTAAGTTGATGTGCCACTTTCAATCAATAAGTGAATGTCCAGGATATATGATACACTTTATTAGAAGGTTAAGAGCAGGAAATGGCAAACAAAATGTGTCAGTAAGCTTCCTAAAGCACTGCTGAAGCTTTCCTTTGACGCACTCGCACATATGACGTACGAGAGCCTTTAGTTTCCCGTCTTGAGCCCGTTTTATCTTCAGTATGCTGTCAATTGGCCTTCGTGTTGGTGCTGAACTTTTCCAAAAGCTCGTTTATGTCTGTTCCACTGGCTGCCAGTGTTTCTCTGACCTCCGCCTGAATGAGCAGGCCACAGGTGTCAGGTTGATAGACTCCCAGTCTCCAGGTAGCTTCAATTCCCAGAACACGGGCCAGTGAAAACCAGCAACAAGAACACACAGTACACCTGCCTACACAAAACCTTTAGACGCCTTCAGCTCTGAGCGTTGTGAACTTTCTGGGCTCAAGGAAACATTTTTGTGTTTTCTAATGTGCATTTCCTCTTCGGCGTTCATTAGTTTTAGTGTTAATTTGAGCTTTTTCATATCATACTGTGTTTGGTATTTATCAGGAGCAAGATTTAACACATTCAGGTCTAGCATCAAAGTACAAAAAGATAAAATACACACCAGCGCTTCCTGACGATTGTTGGATTGGCAAATTTTAATACGTTGACAAAGACTATATAAAAGTAAGGCTGTTTGCTTATTTTGCATATTTTAGCTCATGCAGCCAGAGGATTGTTGAGCTCATGACATACCAAGGCACCCGTCCCTTCGCCAACTGGTTACCAAACCTTTATCGCAGAATCACTCAGCCTGTAATGCTGCTCCGAGTTTAATCTGGAGCAGATTAAACAACCACCTAATGGCCTTCACTCAAAACATGCTCATGTTTGTCAAATGTCTTTCTCAATGAATTTTTATTCTCATTAGATTGTGCAGTACAACCAATCAGTGATAAGACCTGACAGGACAACCAATATACTTCTGAACTGTGATCGATAATGAGTCAGATGAGCTACTATGTCTATGACATTCTAGTCTTTGACTTGCTTGTTCTTTCAGACTTTGGATAAAGTGGTGATGGAGATGAGCACCTGCGATGAGCCTCGTCCACCCAATGGCCCATCTCCCATTGCAACAGCATCAGGACAGAGGTGGGCTTTTCTTTCTGTCATACTCATTGGGATGAGTCGGATGAGCAGTGTAGGCAGCAATGAAGTGCTTTCAAACTTTTCAACAGTCCAGTTTTTACTTGTTTTATTTTTGCCTTTTGAATGTGAATTAATGCTATATATATATATATATATATAGTGCTGACCAGTAATGGCAAAAAAGTATCAAAACTAATTAAAAACAGACATTTTTAAAACAGTTCTGTTGTGTCACCATACACCACTATAAATCAAATGACTCTGAGGGGCAGCTAAAACAGTGTCAGAGTACTAGCACTGAAACCGGAACCCTCCCACTCTAAAAAATATTAATTAATCAACCACTAGTATAAAAAAGGGTCATTTTTATGAGTTAACAATGGGATGGGAGTTTATTTCTGATCATAAAGGTCACAAATCAAAGTTCAGAGATAAGACTAATATTTACTTTGCTTGTTATACAGCTATGAGTGATCAATAAAGCTTATCTTCAAAAATTAATGAATACAAAACATGGCGGTTATTTAGATAATGTGTGAGGTTTTTGTTTGTTGAAAGACGCAGATGACTGACAGGCTACTAATGATCTATTGCCCCCCCCCCCTCTCTGTGCATCTTACAGTGAATATGGTTTTGCTGAGAAGGTGGTAGAGGGCATATCCTTATCAATCAACTCTATTATCATCCGGATCAGTGCCAAGGCCTTTAACGCGTCTTTTGAGCTCTCGCAGCTGCAGGTCTACAGCGTCAACACCAGCTGGAGCATCGGTGACCTACGCTTTACTCGCATTCAGGACCCCCAGAAAGGAGAGGTCGGTGTTTGTTAGTTTTAAACAAAATAAGGGTATTTTGACACACAACGTTCTCATTTACTGCCCTTTTTTCTTTCGCTCAGATTCTGACATTTAAAGAGATCAGCTGGCAGATGATCCGGATCGAGGCCGACGCTATCCAGAGCGCCGAGCACGAGATGTTGAGCGCCCCCATCCGCCTCATCACCAACCAGTCCAAGATCCGAGTCACTCTCAAGAGACGGGTTAGAAACCACGCATGTGCCCTTTCAGATATTCATGCTATGACATTTGACGGAGCAGGCTTGAAACCCAGACTCTAGGCAACATCGGCTTGTCCACTGTGAACAATGACCCCTCTGTGTGGCCTCACAGGCTGCAGGGCCAATAGCAGTGCTTCATTAAACAGCTGGTGTTTATTTCAGCCAAAATGGCAACCAGTATGCAGTTTCTTCAACACAAAGGGGATTTTAGTGTGCTGAGCAAAAGTAATTGGCCTGCTGAGTTCCTATTGGACAAAGATACAGATGCTCCTTAAACTGCAAAACCTGTATTCGGTTTGTTTGTTTTTTTTTAAATCTGATAAATGTTCTTGTGAATTCGGTGTCATGTTACATTCCTGGAAACTCTTGGCGAACCTCCACCTGCATATTGCTTGTTTATAGCAGCTCTTCTGTGTGATTCAGATCAAAGACTGTAACGTGGTGGCCTCCAAGCTGATTCTGATCTTGGATGACCTCCTGTGGGTGCTGACAGACTCTCAGCTCAAAGCTATGGTGCAGTATGCCAAGTCCCTCAGTGAGGCTATGGAGAAGTCTGCACAGCAGAGGAAAAGCATGGCCACAGAAGACCAGGTACCAGTCAGTGACGTTTTCCACGCATAGAGAACGCTTATCATATTTTCTTACCTTTTTTTTCCCCTCTTTCTGTCACCCTCCCCATTTTTCCATTTTTCCCATTTCCTCCTCCTCTTCCTGTTCATGCTCTAATTGTGTGTGAATGAGCCATGGTGTAATATTTAGTCCTCGTGCTTGTCAAAATCACGTCTGATGCCCTATTTGTGCCCACAGTATGTCTTTCACTGTTGCTTTTTAGCATCTTTCAGTCAGTGTCCTACTTTCCTGCTCTCTACACACACACAAAGACACAAAATGTACAGACAGCCATCGCCCACTCATATTCACACCTTCCTATATCTCAGCAGCTTTACTTTACAGTAATGAATCTGTTTCCCGTAAATTGGCCTTATATGCCACCTGGTGGAAACACAGAGTACTTCACCGCTCATCTTTTTTATTGGACTCATCAATCTTCATGAGTCACTCTTGTAGGAAATGAACTGAAAACCTCATCAGTGACAAGAATAGGATGATCTATCAGAGCGTTTATAACACGGGCAAAGCGTCAACACTTAAAACGTTCTGTGTTCTCCAGGTGTCATCGCCGCCCCCTTCAGCCCAACAGGTGCGCACCCAACAGGCGTCCTCAGCTGCTGACCAGAGTGCAACCATGGCCAAGCTGTTCAGCGCCTATGATGTGTGCGAGACATCGCACCATCTCCAGATCACACACCTAGACCTGCACATTTGCGATGATATCCATGCTAAGGACAAAGGTAACGCATGTGCAGCTTTACACGTTCACTTTATTAAGCACACAAATGACTAGTATGATTGTTTTCAACTTGAGGTCTCTTGTTTTTTGCTTCTGGTGTATAGTCGTCAATAAAAGGATAACCGGTGGAGCCATGCAGCTTTCCTTTAGCTCCATTACTTTGGACTACTACCCTTTCCACAGAGCAGGTATGAATTTAGCTGTTGAGATCAGTAATCTGCCAAACAAAATAAACACTGTTAACTTTAAACAAACAGAGAATTTATTAATTGTATTTCAATCTTCATAGGTGACAGCTGCGCTCACTGGATGCACTACAGCGACGCCACTAAGACGAGAGAGAGCTGGGCACGGAGCCTCCTGGATGAATTCAGGACCAACGTGGAGATGTTAAAGAGCACAGTTCGAGACCAGCAAGGCCCGAGCCACACCCACAGTTCCCCAAAGCATGGTAAAAGCACACGCGCTCACACACAGGTGTTAGGTGCATTTTTGTTGTACCCACAGCACATCACCCCTGTGGGTTTTCTGTCCTCCAGTGTCCCTTAGGGACGATGTGTATGGCTCTCTAGGAAGTCAGGAAGGAGCGGGAGGAGGAGCAGTAGGGCTTAGTGAGACACACTCCTCACTACTAGATTGGAGCCCACACGCACAGCCTCCAGCGCAGTGCTGCTGGTGCCTGGAGCCAGGTATCGCGGTGTGTTTGCGCACAGTTTGGTGCGGTGATACACACCTTTGTCTAGGCACAGAAGTTTCTCATTGGGGAACTGAGTTGTGACACTGTTTGCCGCCCTCTCTGCTGTTGTGTTTTTAGTCATTTCCTCTTGTTTTACCTACACATACCTTCTTCTTTTCCCTCCAGGTAAGATAAACACGTCTTCCAGCGCTTCCTTCAGTCCTCCTCCGCCTCAGACTCCCAAGGCTCAGCTCATGTCCAGCTCAATTGTTCTCAGGATGGCTGACTTCAGCATCTATCAGGTTCAGTAATGTTGCAGACTTTTTCTGCAGGAAATCACTGAGGCTGTATACATTTTCTCAACTACCTTTAATTCATTTTTCAGGTCTCAACAGCAGACCAGCGCCGCTCCAGCCCCAAGACCATGATCTCCTGTAATAAGAAGTCCTTGTACCTTCCGTCAGAGATGCCGGCCATCCATGTAGAGTTCACAGAATACTATTTCCCTGATGGAAAAGACTACCCTAGTAAGACTTGTGCCTTGATACTCAAGATACATTTATTTTCTCACCTCACAAATAAATGAGTTGATCGTGCGCTGTGTAAATAACAATTTTTCTAAACCCGGGCTCTGCTTCATGGTAGGTTTTCTATCTCCCATCACACTTTCGAGTCCATTTAGTCCAATCAGTGAGCTGTGGGGTTAGTCATTGACTCCTGTGTGGCTGAGAGAACATTGATTTTTCTGAATTACACTCAGTGCTCTGGATGAGGGATCACCCAATTAATTCATTTATGGATTTCTCACAAGCTCTTAGCACACATTATGAGAGCCACTAAAGGTTTTTTACTTTTCTGACTTCAAGTGTGCAGCCAAGAAAATAACATTTAGCAAATTAAGTACCATTCCTTCCTCCTCCTTTTTTTAATACGTATAGTGTCTTATTACTTTCTGCTACGTGTTTCTAAATATTATGTAACCTTTCCATCTTTTCCATCATGTTTCTGCTCCTCCAGTTCCGTGTCCAAACCTTTATGCTCAGCTCAATGCCCTTCAGCTGGTCCTGGATCCTCGCAGCCTGGTGTGGCTCAACCTCTTTGCCCTCGACCTGAGGCAGAGTCTGGAGCAGTTCATGGAGATCTACAAGCTCAATGACTCTCAAAAACCAGACGAGCATGTTGACATCAGGGTTGACGGCCTCATGCTGAAGGTAAGAAGGATTGCAGAGGGATAGGCCGTTTCCTGGTTTGAAGCTTGGACTGTATTTTCTCGGATTCATGCCTTTTTAAAAAAAATTATTATTATTTCTCCACTAGCTCGTAATTCCCACTGATCAGGACTCTTCTTCGCCTGCTGACCTGCCTCGCTCCATCTCAATTCAGACTTCAGAAATGGCAGCCACTAACACCCGACACCCGGCCAACTGTACACGATCCCACCTTGAAGCCCTTCTGCAGGCCTTTGAAGAGGAACCCTTCTTCTGTTCATCTTTTTCCTCTTTCCCTCGCTCCTCATCCTCTTTACCAATCCTCCATCCCGTCTTCCAGCGCCACGCTCACGAACAGGACACCAAGTTGCACGACATTTATCGGGGCCTAGTGGTGCCCACGATGGGCACGGACGCCCTCAAGATGCCTGCAGCCACTGACTTTTGGGCGCTGCACTTTGCCCAGTTTTGGGTGGACTATGAAGGAACCCGCGGAGGTAAAGGGCGGCCCCAGCCCTTTGTGGACTCCTTCCCTCTAACTGTGTGGGCGTGTCAGCCAGCAAAGCTCGTCCAGCATCAGGAGAAGCTGAGGAGTGCTGCTGGACCAGGACTGTCCAGAAGCTCGTCAACGGAGGCTGTCGCACGTTTACAGAGGAAGCGATTATTAAAGGAGTATTACAGCACTGATGCAACGACATCATCACCTCACAATAGCAATTCAGCACTGCCAGCCAGTAATGGTCTCCATAAACCCCTCTCACTAGACAGTCTGCCCTCCTCATCCTCCTCTTTGTCATCAGATAAAGATGCAGATGTGCATGTGTTGGTGCATGTGCAGAAGCATCTGAGCGCTCAGGTATTTTTTCATAAAGGCTTTTGTATCTAATTAGCTTTTTTTTATTCCATATCTTTGGTTGGTTTGAAACCTAAATAGGAAGGAAAATCTACTTAATTGGTAATGGTAACAGTTCTGACCTGACCTGTTACCTTTACAGGGATAAAAAGAATAAACATCACAGATTGAAAAGAGACAGGAAAGTTAAGAAGTTAAACAATAAACCTTTGATAGTTAACAACCCCCTGAAAAAAGCTTCACAGCATTAACACATTTATACATCTTTAATAACGCCTTTATTCTGTGCGTGTGTTTAGGTAAGCCATCGGCAGTATGTGTTTCTGATGCAGCTTCAGCGCACCATCAAATCCCTGCAGCAGACACTACAGCAGGATATGGAGAAGATGAGCTCCAAGAGAGACCGCAAGGATCCTTCCCACCATCCGGCAGATCGCCAGCCGTTCACCGTCTGCTTGGGCCTCCTGCTCAAAAGCGCAGAGGTGTCCCTGCTCCTGAAGCCCATTCCGCAGCCTGAGGGTTCAGGATCTCCTCCAGGCTCGGAGCTGTCGCCCTCAGAGAGCCGAGGAACTCTGGAGCCTGCGAGTAATGCGAGAGACGGGGGAGAGAAAGGCAATGAAGGATCTGGCTCAGAAGGTGGAGGAGCCAAGCAGTCTTGCACTGTAGACCAGCTGCTATGTAGCCATGGCTTAGAGGGAGGACCCATGCAGGTTCCTGCACCTCTCATTCCCGCTTCCACTTCAACTACACATCCCGACTTGAACCACAAAACGTCAGTGGAGGAGAGGACTCCAGCTAAAAGGACTGGGCGGGGGAGTTCAGATGAAGGTGGCGAGGTGCTGATGGATGGGTTGTCTGGAGGTGATGATATGGGATCTAGGTTAGACTCCAAAAACCAACCATGTGACCATCTGCCTGATCCACTCAGCAGCAAAGACTGGAGCGACAAAGACAAGGCTGCAAAGATGCCTCAGTCAATATCCAGGTATTCAGTTTGTCTCACGAATGCTATTAGTTTCCACAACAGAGTCATTACTAATACGTTAAGGCAGAACTGTGCTGCTTCAACATTTAGACTCCGCTGAGATAAGCCAGTAATTAGTTTTGTTTATACAGTTCAGTTTCACACATTTGCAGAAGAGGAATCGCTCTACCAGGAATCAGATGCTCGCAGTACAGGCTGTGTAAGTGCATTATTAAGTTAGTACTGAACACCAAGAGATAAACAAAAAAAATATTAAGGATTCAACAAAGCATAATTTTAATAAGGTTAGTCTGCTGATGATTTTGTTGATTAACAAGTTAATCTTTGTAGAATCTTTTCCAGTCGGGAAAGCATGTTAAAGAGGCCATTACAATGTCAGCATCCTAACTAATGTTGTACAGATGCTTGTTTTATCCAACCAAGGTCTAAAGCCCAAATTTGCTACCATACAAGGACTAGAATCACACCCATAAAAAAACAAAAACAAACATATCCCCTGAAAGGCCGTCTCCTTGTGTCATCACTTTCATCACTCCTGCTGCGTTTGGATCACTCTCTGGTCGATCTGACTACTCGTTCATGTGCATTTGAGATTTGCCCTGGTTTTCATTTATTAAAAGTGACCCTACAACCTAAATGTAACTTTGCAGGGAGCCAAATGTTACGAACAGGGCTGAGGGGGGATTGTGTTGGTGTGGCTGCACCACAGTTCAGGATGTTACAGCAGGACTCTTTATTAAGAAAAGGATGCCCCCGGTTGTGTTAGTCTTGAAGTGTTTCCTTCAGTTTGGATACTCTGTTCTCTTCTGTGCCGAAGAGTGCGCTTGTAGCTGGAAACGGAGCTCTCGTCACCAGGGAGGAAACTGCGAAATTGCAAATATGCATTTGCAGATCAGATCATGGCTTCCATGGAGTAATCCAAATATAACTGAGAAACACAAAAATAGGCCCTTGAAAGTGACAACAGGCAACTTTAAATTGGGATTTGTTTGTTTTTTATTTGTGGAGTTCGAAAAAGTTTTGATTGATATTTTATTTATACAACGCCCAAATAACAGCAGCAGTTGCCTCAAGGCGCTTTATATTGTGGGGTCGATTGTACATTAATACAACAGAGAAAACCCCAACAGTCATATGAACACCCTATGAGCAAGCACTTTGGTGACAGTGGGAGGGAAAAACTCCCTTTTAACAGGAAGAAACATTCAGCAGAACCAGGCTCAGGGATGGGCAGACATCTGCACTGACCAGTTTGGGTGAGATGAGGAAGAGTAATCAAATGTGGAATTGAGAGAGGGGGGGAAACAAACTCAAACAATCTTAATGTTTGAAGCTGAAATCTTAATTTCCATATGATCTTTAAAGCTTGAAACATACCAATTAAACCACTTCCAGACTAGTTCAGCCTTCAATAAGTAGTCCAGAAATGTTCAGCTGATGACTTGATTTAGCTGACAGAAAATTAATTGACAGCAGGGTTGTTAGTTAATGAACTGATAAAGTTATTTATGTAGGAAAAAGGCTAAACAATCCCTTTTTTTTGCCCAACTATTTTAGTTGCATGTAAAAGGTTAAAGTGGTTCCTTAGGTGACCGTCATATGAAACTAGTTGTGCCTTTTATAAGAGAGAAAAGCAATGGAGTAAAATATGGGGAGCAGGAGTGTGTAGGCACAGGATAAGACAACGGTACTAAGTGCTGAGTACACCCTTAGCTGCAAACATAATGTCAAAAAAATCAAATATCTATTAGATTTTATAAGTAAACCAGCAAACATATTTTCTACTAGATGATTTGCACCCTGTTTAAATAGCGTTGCGGTGCTGAATCCAGAGAAGTGATCGTATGTCACAGTTGTCAGACTTTTGTTAAATGATCCAGACAGCTTTTTCAGAAAGCCCTCTGTGCCTCGCTGTCATTGACCTACATGAGTCTTTCTCTCACTAATTTCATGTCTATTCCTGAACACAAGAGCTGTGTGTCGAATTCCCACATGAGTGCTCGTCAGTCTGAATGTTCAGTCTTCTCACATCACCTGTCTCACTTTCTGAATGTTGGCCGGCCACAAGCTGCTGTCTTTTCTTACATGTGTTTTCTCATCTGCCGTCTGTCGACATTTGGATGTTCTGTGTTTTAACTCATTCATTTCCTTTTCTGCCTCTTGACCTTTGCTTTGACCCATGCGAGGTGTGCGTGTGTGTGTGTGTGTGTGTGTTTTCTCTCTATCAAGGAAAGGAAGTTTGTCTGTGGTATCTGATCTCCTCAGCTCCTCAAACTCCAGCAGATCCACCTCCCTTTATTCCATGTCCAACATGTAAGCCACTGGATCTGTGACTAGCTGTGTTAATGAGGGTGTACATGTACCCTGTGTGTGTGTCCTTGTGCTTGTAGTCTGTGGATGAGCACAAATGCAAATGTGTATATGTGCATCCTCTGTGGGCATGCATTTGCATGAGCGCATGTCTGTATGTGTTAATTTTTTTCTCCCCTCTGTTTGCTGTCTATTTGTTAACCCTTCATGGTCGAGATGAAATGGGAAGCTCTTCCTTTGTGACAGTCCCCCCCCCCCCGCCTTGTGTTCTCAGTCTGTTGGGAGCAGCTTTATTTTTTTGTCTGATCTGAATTTTTCTTGAGATTATTTCTGGCGCTCTGGTGAGGCTAGCACACTTGGTTCTTACGTGACCTTAAACAACACTACACAAAGGAATGAAGCGATATTTAATTCATGACTTGTCGAGTAGGCTCTGTCAGCTCAGAGAGAGCACTGTGGTGTCGGCTAGTGTCGGCATAACACAAACTCCTATCAGATGTGATAAAATAGTTTCACTGGACTCCTTTTTTTATGTCACTGTTACTCAGTCTGTCATAAATTAGTCATAACTTAGAATTAATTGCATGCATGAAAATTGTACCTCAAGCAGAAACAGAGTGATTGGAGTGATTATGGTCACTACTGTCACACCTCCTCATGCGCCCGTGTATGTGTGTGTGTTGTAGTGGTCGTTTGATGCGGGATCGCTCCCAGTCCAGTTTCTCTGTATCCTATAAAAATATGAAGAAGAGCCCCTCTCTGCAGTCCCTGGACAACATCTCCATAGATAGCTACCTGATGGAGGATGGAGACACTTACAGCCTGCTGGAAAGAGGTAAAAATATCGTGTAGTTGCACTAAGCTCCACCATTTTATCCTGACCTTTGGACTTCTTATGTGTTTCATGGAGTAGAGCATATCTCCGCAGGGATCAAGATTTAATGATTTGTGTAGGTGTAGTTGCAGCTTGCTGTTTGGCCTTAAGGTGGCAGCATTGTGCTGGTTGTGCGTTGGTGAACTGGATTACATGAGAAAGGAAAAAGTTACACTAATGAATACAAAACATGATATACTATACTGCATCAACAAAATTTAGGCCAACAATGCAGAAGCTGCGTGTGGAAAAAATAACTACAGCCTTAAGGCTTCCATAGGGATTAAGAGGGTAAAGAGTAGGCAGGTGCTGTTAATCAGATGCACTTGTAAAAGCTGAGGTTTTGGTAAACTGGGAAGGGTTTTGGGCATTTTTTTCAAACAGTCTGAAGTCCATCATCTTACACTGAGTGACTATTTAGAAGTGGGAAACATTCAACACAGTTGCCAATCTTCTCAGGAGTGGATGATATAACAAATTCACCAGAAGTTCAGACCCCTGCAATGCTCAGATAAACTGTAAAAGCCCAAGAACTGCACCTCAGACACTACAGGCCTGTCACAAGACAGGTTCATGTCTTAAAATTTAAAGTTCATGACAGCATAGCTAGAAAAAAAGACTGAACAAGTACGGCGCGTTTGGAAAGGTTGTCAGGACAAAGCCTCTTCTCTCTAAAAAGAACATGGCAGCACAGCTTACACAAACCACAAGACTTCTGCAACAGTGTCCTTTAGACAGATGAGACCAGAGTGGAGGTGTTTGGACATGATTCACAGCCCTATATTTGGAGAAAGCCTGACACAGCATATCAGCACAACTGCTGGGCGATGATTTGGGCATGTTTTGCAACCATAGGACATGGGCACCTTTTGCAGTCATTGAGTCCAGCTAAAGCTTGGCCCAAATTGGATCATGCTACAAGACGATGATTCCAGGCAAAGTAGCTAATTTACAACAGAATTGCTGCAAAAGAAAAGAATAAAGGTGCTACAGTGGCCTCAACCTGATTGAGCTGCTGTGGTGGGACCTTAAGAGAGCTGTGCATTAACGAATGCCTGCAAACTTCAATGAACTAAAGTAGCAGTGTTGTTAAAAAGGAGTTGCCAAAATTCCTTCTTAAGGACTTTGAGACACTGATTAAGTTAGACAGAAAAAGGTGAGCTCAGTTATTGCTCTTGTAGGTGGTTCTGCAAACTATTGAATCACGACATGCACTTAGTTTATAACAGATCCTTTTTATTATGTGTTATGTAAAACGTTAGAGTTCATCAGAGGGTGTATGGTTCTCTTTATCATGATCATACATGTGTTTATTTGTCTGTGTGTGTCACATTTGTATTCCTTTATGTACTTTGCAGACGACGTGTCCATCTCAGGCTTCAAGGACGTCATCAGTGAACAAAGCACCGCAGAGAGCGCCATCGAGGCAGCGACTGGTCAGGAGCACGAGGGGGGAGAGTCCCCCGACTCTGCCAGCGCAGCATCACAGAGCATTGATGAGCCCACCAAAGATACAGTAAGAAACAGAGAGTGGTTTTGGGATGAACAATAAAAAGCCAGCATGCGCAGCTTATTCGATTTTTAAATATGTATTCCTCACCCCCAGGTGTCAGTGCTGGTGTTGAAGGTGCAGTCGGTGTGTGTGGGCATGGAGGCCATGGGCGAGAGCACAGCCGTGGCTCTGGAGGTGGGCCGGGTCACACCCAGCCAGCTGGGAAATGTCAGCCTCAGACAGTACCTCAGCAACCGCAGCCTGGGTAAGAAATGCAAGTCGGCTACGCGCATGTTTTAAAGTTTTGTCTGAGAATGAGCATGAGACAAACAGCTTTTCATGTGAGCTCTAATTATTTTTGAGTGTTTTTTTTTTTATTTAAATGTTACAAATGCCAAACTATCACATGAATATTGCCACATTGTCAATTGATAATTAGCAAAACCAGTGCTAATACGTAAAATTGTGTGCACCTGTGTTTGTTAATGGATTTAGACTCAATCCAGCTACAGCTTTTTTTTTTTTTTTTTTTTTTTGAGGAGGTGGAGGGTGGAGTGTTTCAGAGAGTAAGAGGGATCATTAGGACAGGGACAGGAAGGAACATGTGATAAAGGTCCTGGAAAAGACCATCAGGATACTGAGGCGACACCTGACATTAAAAAAAATTGTTGTTCACATTTGAAATGATGTGGTGAACAGCAGCTTACATCAGGACATCCACGTTTCTCTCTCAGCAGATGCCAGTGAAAGCAGGAAGGTGATATATAGAGAGTGTTTGGGGGGGAAAGACGTTTGTTCTCAGTTACAGCAGTGATTTATTGATCATTTAAGGCTTTGAGTGCTTCTCAGATTTGAGAATGAATTGCCATCCTTGGTGGAGTTTCTGGGACAAAGCCAGACATTTCATGGCACATCCCTGTGTGATGATTGGTAGATGAATGCAGCCTGAGTCTGAATCCACTTATCTTCTCAAGTGCACACACACACACTCGCACACTCGCACACTAACAGCCCACCACTACCAACCACCCCCTTCACCTTTTTTATTTACCCTCCATAACTCCCCACAGGTATGGTGTGTTCAGTACCAATACCTGCACAAAGCAGCCAAGGTAACTGCTGCGTGTTAATGCGCCATCTGTAGCCTAGCGTGCATGCTTGCATTCGTGCCTCTTTTTCCATCTGTGTACGTGTTTGTTTGTTTGTGTACGTGTGTTACGGTTTGCAGGACTTTCTCAGTGGCATGCGCTGCAGATGCAGACGGCGTGTGTTGCAACGCATGAGGAGTGTGTGGTGCTCCTTTTTTTTTTTTTTTTTTTAGCAGCAGCAGCACGGGGTGCTGATGTGGTATTGTGTGTGTGTGTGTGTGTGTGTGTGTGTGTGTGCGTGTGTGTGGCACTTAACAGAGGATAAATGTGACCGTAATGGAGTGAGTGGTCCCATTATTTGCAACATTAGGCCTGCAACCTTCAAATCTACGCACATTCGTGCCATATTTAGGGTAACAGCTACTTTTTGTGCTGACAGCTTTAACCCCAAATCCTCCCATCCTTCCTCTTTCACCCTCTCTCTCCATCCTCCCCTGTTTTTTTTCTTTTTCCCTCCTACTACCTCATCTCTCCACTGCAGCAGACTTTGCAGTTTCAGTCCAGTGATTCAGGCAATGAGAGAAATGCCAGCTTTACCCCTCGCCTCCTCTCCTTCTCCTATCTCACAAAAGCTATCCTACCTCCCCCCCCTCTTCCTTCTTTGTTTCCCTCCACCTTCCTTTTCACTCTTCCCTCCAGGTCCTACTCCATCTTCCTACTAATCCTCTGTCATTCACCCCTCCCTTTCCTTCACCTTTCCTTTCCTTCATCTCTCTCCCTCTGTAGGCCATTTCCCCTCCCTCCCCTCCCTGTCTTATCACAGTCATTCAGTTCTTGGCTGCCGGCTCCCTCGCTCTCTCTCCTCACCCACTCCCATCTTCCCTCTCTTCGCCTCAACCCTGGCTGCTCAGGATTGAGAGAATATGCAATTTTATCTGAGGAAAAGCTGACAGAATTCGGTGTGTGTGTGTGTGTGTGTGCGTGTGTCTTTGAGTGTTTTTGCTAGGCGTGCAGTTGCCCTACAGTATTAACCTTCTCCTGACTGTCCTTTAGAGAGCGTTTGAAAGGGAAGCGACGCGCTTCTCGCTGTCATAATAAAAAGAGTGATTTCTTTAAGTGGCCATTTTCATGCCTTGCTAAGTGTTCCTATTGCGACTCTCTCACCTGTTCAAAAACTTGTCTGTATTTGTGCGCTTGCCCAGTGAACGTCCCCCTTTTGTGTGCTGACGTTGACGACTCCTTGAGACTTTTCTCACTTCACGTCTTCTTTCTCTCTGTACTCATTTTTTTGTCTTCTTTACTTCTGTTTCTCAAAAAAAACCCAGCAAAAAAATAGGATTCTTACAGTCACATTTTGTAGTTCCTGTAGTCATATTCAAGTCTTTCAGGGGTAAAACTCTTTTTTTTCATTAGTACACCAGCAAACCTTTTTCTTTTCAGCTCCTTGGAGCTTAGATGTGCTAGGTGTTTTATTCATATAATAAATAAAAAAGTATTAAATGAAAACTTTTCCTTGTATTTTCCACCAAACCCTCAAGTCCCCAGGCTTTGGAAATAATTAAACATTACAGCTGGAAAGAGCCGATGGGACTGTAAAAGATCTCCTTCAGCCCACCTTCTTAAATCCTTCCGGCTTCTTTTCTTTCTTTCGTTCTTTCTTTCTTTTTAACTTTCTGTTCAAGTCAGTCTCCCACTCGTCTTTCTGATGTTATTCTTCCTCTGTCTTTTCATTCATCCCACCTCTTACTTTGAGCTTGTGTAAACCTGATATTAAAATTCACCCTTTATTTAGAAGAAGTAACCGTGATGACCTCGAGATGTTTTTGACACATTTTAGGAAGTAAGGAACGTCCTTAAACTTCACCGTGACAACAATGTGAGCATATTAAACTTTATTAATGTCTTAAATGCCCTGCTCAATAGTGCCTAATAGTGTATAGTCCCACCTGGTGGGTGTTAGCAGTGGATCCTTTTCATGATGTAGTTTGCGGGGTGACACCTCTGTGGAAATCACCGATGCTCAGATTTGGTTGAAGATAATTCGAGGTTCAGTGCCCAAAGCTCTTTGTGACATTCTTTTAGCGGTTCCTGAGCAGTTTTTGGTAGTGTGACATGGTGTGCTTGGTCTGCTGCAGTGTTTTGGTGGGTGGTAAGTGACATCCACGTGAATGGTAGCACCCAAAGAGTCTGATGCTTCTTGATTTTTCAGCCCCAGCATTCGGATGGCAGGATGAGAATTAGCTTAAACAGCAAGAAAGCATGGATCCATCCTGCCTTGTATCAACAGTTCAAACAGCTGAGGGTAGAGTAATTGTTTGGGATAATAGTGGGTTTTTCTGGTGCACTTTGGACCCCATAGTATCAACCGAGCATCATTTAAACACCACAGCCTTCCTGAGTATTGTTACCGACTATGTCTGCCCATATTGTACCGACTGTTTGATGACTGCTTGCAGCAGGATAACATGCAATGTCACAAAACTCATTTTAAACTGGTTTCTTGAGCATGAAAATGAGTGTCCTTTACTCAGATATCTCCTACTTCCATCCACTGGATAAATCTGCAGCAGCTCAGAGGAATGTTTCCTGCACCTCGTTGAATCTGTGCCATGAAGAGTTAAGTTGTTTCTGAAGCCAAAAGTGGATCAAACCAAGTACTAGCAAGGTGTACCTAATAAAGTGACTCTACACTGATGTTGAGAAAAGGGAATGAAAAAGGAAAAAAAGAGAGATTTTGGCACCATCTTTTTTTCTCTGACATAAATTTGAGACCAGTGTTCATAGTAGGTTCAAAACCATCTCGAGATAAAAGTTTGCAGTCAGCTAATATCAGCTGATGGTTTGACCTGATTACACAGAGAGATTAAAACGGTCCAAATCTTGAATTAGACAAGAAGTGAAATTTTCTTCTTGTCAGATTCCTGGGCACTTTCAAAAGACACACCAGCCTTATTTCATGTTGGGTGGATTTTAATGTCGGGTGTGTTTAAGCACTTGTCTTATCTCCAAGCTTCACAAATGTGGCGTTGATGTTAACAGCTTATATGTCTTCCTTCCCAGCTGGCGGCGAGACCAGCTCTGCATCCATCCAGGGCCTTCACGGTCCGGCGGTCCGGGCTCGGCTGGAAAGCGGGCCCTGGGCCGCCGCCCACTCCCCGTTGGCTGAACGTAACGGCTTCCTCCAGCTGCAGCTTCACGATTACACGGCGAGCTTCATGATGTCCTCGCTCCGCAACCTTTCCCTTTTCCTGGAGGACGACTCAGCCTCCCAGGTGCTGCCCATGGAGATCAGCATCAGGGACACACACATTGATTTAAAGGTGAAAAGACTTATTTCAGTTTTGTACTTTGCAAAGTTTGTGTTTTACCCCGAGGTTACTGTTGCAGAACACCAACAGAACTGTTTCAGTGGGAAATTTGTCTCATTGCTTCAAATCCAGTTTTACTAATGGAGCCCATAACTCACTGCCTCAGACTAAAGCACCCTCTTGTTATCAAGTTAAATATTTTGAACAGTGGCCTAATTGGCATTTGGATTTGAACTAAAGGTTTAATGACACAGAAAGAAAAGGCCTTTCTACTCTCTGTTTGGTTCTTTCATGGTCAAGCAGCTTTGCTGTGGAACTGATTTGAGAAAATGGATGTGGACTAAACCTCTCCCTCATTCTGTCTCTGGTACACTCAGTCCCAACAACATGTGCTGTGTCTCCTGCAGGATGATGACCCTCGTGATAATCCCAACTCGGAGCCCTCGCCGGTCATGCTGCACATCGACAGCCTCATCGTACACAGAAGAGACGACGGGTCTTTCTCTATAGGAGGTGACAAACGTGCGCGCATTTTCATCTGCCAGATATTTCCACCTCCACTCCAGCGCTGATTCACTGCAGTTATATAAGATGACCTATTAAGTGGCTTTTTAAAGTCCACGCTCGCTGCATCCACACATCCGAACTCCCTCCTCTTCTCCCTCTCTCTTTTTTCCTCACAGTGGATAGAGCAGGTGAGGCCAAACCCAAGCAAGCGGCCTCAGTGATTGACAGCTCTCTGAGTCCAGTCCCTGAGACTGTGGGCGGCATCTGTGGTGTTTCAAAGGCGACGCAGACTCAGGCTCTGCCTACCAGCCCCCCTCCATCTGACAAGGAGAAGGTGAGAAATACAGCAAAACACAGTGGAAAGAGAGCGTAGAGGCAAAAAATAAACAAACACCACATGTGCAAACAGTGTTGATGTTCATGTTTTTGTTCTTCTTCTTCGTCATTTTCTCCTACAAACAGCTCCAAATGAGAATGTTGTTTCTTTCTGATCATTCTGGAGGCTGAAGCATGGTGTGCCAGGTTTTGCTTTGGTAAAGCTATTCCAGTTCTGTGTTTGGCTTCAGCTTGTTTCACAGTGGGAGTGATATTTAGAAACTTAGGAAAAGCATTGCATTTTCAGCCAGATCTACAATCTACTCGATGCTTATTCATTGCCACCAAAATAGCTAAATTACCTTTTAAACTTTATCCCACGGCGAGGGTCTGTTTGGAATTACAATACTGTTTAAAGTCTTGAGCCTCTCTGCATTTATTTTTGCTGGAAAAATGGAAATTAGGTGCAGCAATTTATTGACCACCTTTATTCTTCAGCACAGCCTGAACTCTCTTAAGCAAACTTTCTTGTAATTTCTTTAAGTAGTCTTCACAAATAGTTCTCCAGGCTTCTTGAAGGACATTCAAAGTTCTTGCTTGGATATTAGCTGCCTTTTGTTTTGTTCTTTGTCAAAATGATCCCATGTTGCGTCAGTAATGGTGAGGTCCAGGCTCTGAGGAGGCCAGTCTGAACCCACTGCCAATCAGGTGCTTTCCAGATACAGATATTGGATGGTGAGACCATTTCTGATGAAGCGTCAGTGAACAGTAGATGGATCAGCTGAAGGGTCAGATGCATCTCTCAGGTCCTGTTTCAGGTTTTGACTGGATATTTTCCTATTTCTTAAGGAGATGATGACTTTCATATATAGATAGCTTTTTTTTTTTTTCTTCCCCTTTTGTCCTCCACTTTTTCAAGTTCCTCCAATTTTTTTAAAGACACACTGCACGCTATGCTGAGATACACTGAGCTTTTAGCTAATAGCTCTCTGGGGATCACCCTGTAGGTGCAAAACTACTGTTGATGAACAAATTGTGTTTTTGAAACTGGATGTTAGTAACAAAGAGTCTAAATGGTCTCTGTCCATTTCTTCTATTGATTAAGACTGCTTTGAAATATTACCACAAAATCTGTCTCTTTGCAAGCACAATAAAAAGAAATGAGAAATGACTCAAGACTTTTACATCATACTGTAGGCAGCTAAGACCTATTGTCTCATCTGGCTTTTTGGTCACGGCTAAAAGACAGAAGTCATTATGTGCAAAAGCCACACTATAGTTCAGTGGAATCAGACATGAAAAGCCCCTGAAACTGTTCACTGTAGCCGTTGCTTGTTCTTCTTCCTCTTTGTGGTAAAACTTGCTGCAGTCGTTATGTTTTCTGTTCAGCCCAACTTTCCAAAGAAGCAGTATTTCTCTTAAGTTTTCGTATAAGCAGCGATCCCTGGGGGGGTACAATAAGCCTACCGATGAGACACCTGAATGACTTCATACCTGTAGGGAAACTGAGACTGGAATGGTTGGAGCTGGCTGATTAACAGCAACTGAACTGCTGAGAATGTCAGCGGTCAATGTAGGATGAAATGTTCCATATTCTGTATGTGGGGCAGATTGTGATGTTTATTTATTTCTTCTTTCAGATGCTGATCGAAGAGAATGAGTGTTTAAAGGTGGAGCTTTCCCGGGCAAAGATGGCGCTGGCTGAGGCTCAGATGGAGAAGGACTCGCTGCTTCACCGACTGAAGAACCTCAAAGTCAGCACCAGCTAGACCGCCACTCTCGAAGACCCTACAAGTCTCGCAAAATAAGAAGGAAAAGAAGATGATTTTTTTTTTTTTTTTAAACTACAATGGGGGCTCCCTTTTCACGAGCCACCGCGTGACTTCAGACTTATACAAATAAAACAATCCTGAGTCTTTGACGACTCTGAGAAAACGCATTTTTACAAACTCGTCATCTGTTTTGTTTTCCACTTTTAATTGCGGACAATTCACACGTTTGCAGCGCCAAGAAGGATAAAATGCGCACCTGTGTGTGTTTGTGTGAGACGGCAAGAGGATGAGATTTCTAACTTTGGTCGTGCCTACAGAAAACCATTCCCAGAAACCTGCTTCTGTTGTTCAAGTTTCAATTAAAAAAAGCATCCCAGCTTTTCGTCAGTGAGCTTCACTCAGACCTGTAGGCATGGGGAAACGCTGAATGTCGTATCTTCAGAGGAATGTCTTACTTTGCACTGCGCTGAAATTCGATTTGTAATCCAGCGCTTTCATATTCAGAGGGGAGCGACGAATCATGTTCCTGCTCGTCCTCGCAGCGTGTACAGTGTATATTGTGCAAGAATGGGAACACATAACTATTTTCTACAGAACTTTGAATGATTTTGCAGTGATTCAGTTGAATGAGTGTATGTCTCAGTCAGAACAAGCATTTCTTTACAAGTAAAGTGTGAATTTCCATGGCTTTGACACCAGTCTGTTCCTCCCCGCCCGCACCCATTCCCATTTATTTTATTTTTTTTAATTATGTGTAAATAGCTCCTTAACATGTGCTGCACTTTTAAAACTGAGGCAATGTAAATACAACAATCAGAACTGTGAGAGAAAAGTTGAGCCGACGAGTAGAGACAGTGGAAATAAACATCCACTCTGAGAAAAGAGGAAAATTAGGGCACCGTAAAGCTGCCTGATTACTTAAGTGTGTGTGTGTGTGTGTGTGTGTGTGTCTTTATGTGAATTTTCTAATCTGCCATCTAATGTAATTTTATTTTATTTTATTTTCCGTGGACGCACAAAGACTATCTGTTCATGTGCCCATGCCTCACGCTTGTGCGGCTACTTTAGGGGGAGTGACTTTTCTAACAGCACATGCTTCGGCACAGCACAAAAGGATAGTTTTTGGCGTCTGTGGATTCGGAACATTAAATCGGTCTGAAGGTGCATTTATTCATTTCAGGATGTTTGTTTTTTTTCTTTTTAATTTAAAACAATGTTTTGATTTGTTTGGTTTCGTGAAACACAGCTAGTTGCCTCCACGAATGAGCGATTCAGACTTGAAATTAGATTTTTAACAGAGCTGTCTTCTTAAAGAGGAATGTTTTACTTTACGTCTGCTTTATTTTGGCCCATTTTTCCTAGACTTAGTTTAGTTTTTTTCCCCCCCCCCC